AATAACAATCAATTCGGGCGCGTGGCGCAGTTGGTAGCGCGCATGCCTTGCAAGCATGAGGTCATCGGTTCGACTCCGGTCGCGTCCATAATTGGGTGTTTTCCCGAATAAATTTTTTTGATCTGAAAACTTATATGTATTCAATTTTTTTTTCAGTTTTTTGTTTATATCTACATTTTTTTTGGGAAGCAATCTTTAATTATATAATAGTTTCATCATTTATAATGAAATACTGATGTTTAATTTTTTATTTATTATTAAAAATTATATTTAAGGTCTATTTCCTGTATAAAGGAATTAGGTTTTTTGTCCATGTAAAATAAAATAAAATCTTTTCCTTGATGAATATGAATATCTTTTCTGTGATGAATATGTATGCTTCAGTTATTGGATTATTTGATAATAAAATTATTGTGAATTTGGGATCCGAAGATATATTTTCATTTGATCTTGAAAATCAATCTTCCAAGTTGATTCTGATACTTTTTGGGTGATGATGTGTTGATTTCATCATTCTCTTATTCATGAAAACTTATACTGAGTAGAGTGTAATATTCAAAAACTCAAATGTTCTTTTTCTACCACTTAGTAATACTAATTTATAATCTCTTAAAATGAATCAATATTAAAAACAATAAATAATCTTTTCATATATCAAAAAAACAAAGAAAAAACACACAAACATATAGTTATATCAAGGTTATAAAGTTTAAAAATCTATAAATTTTTTCAAACTATTTATCAAATGGGCAAAAAAAAACAATAACCGATAATAACTATAAAAATTAACCCCTATAAACAACCGAATTGAATATAAATTCTCATACAATGAGAATAAAACCTTTTTTTTTATTATATAGAACCCTATATTTCTAACCCAAACTTTAAGTATATCTAACCAAATTTTCTTTAATTCTCCAATTTAATTCATTAAATGTTTTTTCTTTATCTTCATATTGATGTTCATAAACAATTCTATAAATAGATTTTAAACGATCAATTGAAATAACAAATCTTTGACTCATAATAACATAATCATAAAGTGCAATACTTTGTAAAATTTCATCTTCATTTTTGAAAAACCCAATTGAATTCCCAACATTTTTTGATTTTTTAACTTGTTCAATTAAAATTTCATCTTGAATTTCATTTTCATAACCAATATCAAATATAACTTGTGGTAAATCATTAAGAGTTTCTTCATCATCATCGATTGAAGTTAATGAAGTTGTTGGATTTAAAGCTGGTGAAAAACCTGAAGAAGATTGAGCACTTGTTGAACTTAATGAACTTGAACTATAACTTGGAGTATTGAAAACTGAAGATTGATTTGAAGAAGAGAATGAACCACCATAAGCTTCACCAATTGCACCACCTGGATGTCTTTCACCAAATATTTTTTTACGTTCATTTAAATCAGCAATAAATAATTCAGCTAAAGAAATTGAAACAGCATCAGCTAAAGTTAAACATAAAGTTGTTGAAATAGTTGGAGCAGTTAATCCATAAATTTTTTCTTCAGTTAATTGAGAGGGTAGTTCAGCATAAAGTAGTGATTTAATTTGTGGATGTTGTGATAATAGGGATTTTTTTTTATTTGTTAACAAGATTATTGGAGTATTTAATGAAATATGAGGTAATAATTGTAATAATTCTGGAGATTTCCCTGATGAAGAAATTAAAATTAAACAATCACCATGATCAGCTCTTAATATACCTAAATCACCATGTAAAGCTTCAGTTGGATGTAATAAAGCACTATGTAAACCTAAAGAATTCATAGTGGCAACAGTTTTAGCGGCAATTTTATGAGATTTACCAATTCCACTAATAACAATTTTCCCATTTTTTAATAAAGAAGAATTTAATATATTTAAAGATTTTTTCAATTGATTTTGTGAAAAATTTGAATGTTTATATTGATTTACTAAATGATGAATTGAACTTGTTTGATTTGTTAATATTGAATCAAATGTTGATAGTGAATTTTGAAGATGAACTTCATGATTTATATGAGGTTGAGGTTGAGCCGCCATTGTGTAATATGTAATAAATCTAGCAAAAATGAAATAACAAGTAGCACCCTTTTGAATCACTTAGGATTCCTTGATAGAACTTCCCTTTGATAACCTGATAACTTGATATGTGTTGGTGTTTTATGGTGGAAATCTGGGTATTATAAATTATTTTTTCCACCACCGGAAATTAATTTTAAATTGCAAAGTGTGGGCTTTGGAGCTTTGTGGGTGTGGCAGATGGTAATCAAATCGACAACGGTTGAGTCAAAGAATTGTCAAAGCAAAAGAGCAATTAACCAGTTAATTATGTCAAGTAAAGTTTATGCAAATTAAGGTAAAACAACCCCTTTATTACTTTGAAGTTTGTTTATTTGAGTTTAATTAATGGTTACCTATTCAAGTCTGAGATCAAATTTAAATGGACCCTTATCAGCGTATTACAAATAAACGGAAATAAAGATAAAAGAAATTATAATGAACTCGACGTAGTTAAATAAAACTAGGCGTAGCATCAATCAACAAATGATTATATGTTAATCAATAATTGGTGATGTCTTTGTAGCTAATACGACACTACAATACTAGAATTTGATTTAGTATTGCTTATTGCTATATATCTATGTACTTCATACGCGTCAGTGGTTGACGATGATTCGTTCATAAGGAGTTTATGGATTTTATAACCTCAGTTGGGAAAACGGTTTTTTCTTGATCAACATAAGATTAAACTTTAAACTATACAGCTATGATTATTAAAATAGATCTAGAATTAATTATTTAGCATAGATAAACAGTAAAGATGTGTATGATTAGGTATATGTAATTGATCTATTGAGTCCATACTTTGTTTTGATTGATTTTGATATACATAGTATTAAAGCCATTCTGGGGTGCATTTTCATAGCAATCTACATCAATAAAGTTATATGTATAAAATTAAATCAAATATTAAATCTAGTCTTATATATATATAGTTTAAATATTCATTAATTACATGTATATTTCTTGTTACCATCCCCTATTTCCCCTATATTTGTTCATAAAATCATTAATTATATATTCATCCCCATATTAAATTCATTAAATTACATAAACCACCACCCCATGTTAAATTTTCTAATAAATTTCTCAAGAAAAAAGGTCTTATCCAACCAAATAAATTTGCACAAACTATACCATCTTCTTTTTCAATTCCTTCACCTAATTTTATAAAATTTTTTGGTGGACAACCTTTCCAAAAATTCCACCATTTAGCTCTTTGACATAATTTAATACGATTTAAATGTTTTGTTAAAGGTCCTGTTGGTCCTTCAATAAATTTCCATTCAAATGGTGACCAACGTTGTCTTGGATCTTCTGGTGATAATTTATCATCACCCCAATGTCCTTTAAATAATAACCAATCTCCATAATTTAATTCTTTGAAATTATCTGGTTTACTTTCATTTGATACAGGTGATAAAATTTCTCCATCCCATGTATAACCAAGATAATTTTTTGATGGATCCCATAATGGACCTCTATCTGTAAAATCTGATAACATACCAAATGGTAAATCATGTGAATGTTGCCCAACACTTGCATAATTTGCATGTGTACCTCTTGAACTGAAAATTATTGGTTTTTTAGAATCAATATCAGATTTTTCTAATGCTTTATAATGATATCCACCACCACCTCCATGTGCAGACATCCAAACAAATATTGGTAATCCATTATAAAATCTCATTAATGAATGTTCCCAATCTCCAATATGATTACCATATGGTCCACCACCCATTACAAAAGGACCTAAATTAAATGAATAAAAATAAAACCAATAAGCATCAACCCATCCATTACCTTTATCAACAACAATTAAAACAGATGGTGCATTTTTAATTAATCCAGATGATAAATTTGGTTTATTTTGTTTACCAGTTAACCAATCAGGATTATCATTAAATTCAAAATCACTTGTTAAAAATAAATCATTTGTATTTAAATTTGGATCATTTGCATATTCACCAAGTTTTTTTAAAGATAATGTTTGATTTGTTAAAATAGTTTTATTTCTAAATTCTAAATGGAAATGTTTAACATAATCTTCAATATCATAAGGTAAATATTCTTCCTCAGTATATAAATGAACTAATGGAGCATAATCTAATATATATTTTGGTATTTCACCTTTTTTCAAAAAACGTTCAGATTTAATAATTGGTAATGATTGAATTGGTGGTAAATTTTGTTGTTTCTTAAAATTAGGTATACTTGATTCAATATATTTTAATGTTTCTTCATCATTTGTATTATAATCTTTAAAATAATCATCATTTAAATTTATAATTAATTGATTATCATCATTATCATTTGAATTTGAATTTGAACCTAGCGGTATACTTGTAATTCCTGGTACTAATGTTATAACAACCAAAGCAAACAATGTGTAGTTCATCATTATGATCAACTTGTATCGTAGCGCTATATTTCAATCTTCATTAAACTAATTTTTGATTAAATTGTAATTGTAATGGAAATGAATTAAATTGAAATGGTTTTATTTACTTTTCTCCTATACAACCGATTTCCGAATTCCTTATATGAAAAGTCGGATTTCACCTGGTTAACCAGCTTGAGCTGACCATATCTAATTCCGACTCTATGACACAAAATCACTTTTCTTTTTTTTTGGGCCAATTTCCAAATTTATGTTCAACTTGTTTTCGTTTAATCGTTTAAATTACAATTTTTAGTTTTCAAAATGCTTATTATTTTATTAATTTTATCTTTGAATATTCATAAATAGTCGTAAAATGTATCGTATATAGGTCTTTTCTTGGTTTTGTTCTGGTTCGTTTAATTCATTCGTTTAATATGCAATATAATCAGAAACATCAGAATCTGCAGTTATAGATCTTTGTACTGGAATTGTTAACATTCCATCTTTATAATGACGAGTTTTATTATGATTTGAATTTAATAAAACATCTGAATCACTTGATCTTTTTGTTGTTTTAGGTTTAGTTGAATTTCCAATTTGTTGTTGAGCAGGTATAAACATTTCATTTGTTTCAATATCATCAATTTTAGAAATTTCAATAGTTGGACGTGGTGATATTGTTGGTGATTTTGTTGATGATTTACTTGATGAACCTTTAGATCTTGAACGATGTGAATGACGACGATTTGAATGTGAATGTGATTGAGAATGATTTCCATGATGATTTCTATGAATTGGCATTGTAGAACTTCTTTTAAGTGTACTATTATTAAAACTATTATTATGATTTAAATGATCATATTTACCATTAATTAAATCTTGTCTTGTTATTATCTTAACATCTTTTGTTTGTAATGATTGACGTTTAGCTTCTTTAGTTGGTATTGATTGTTTAACTTCTGAATTTTTTGTTGAACCACCTGTAAGAGTTGATGGTCGTAGTATAATACCTTTTATAAATCTTGTACTCTTTGTACAAATATTTTGATTATTTTTAATTAAACTTGTTGAAGTTCCATTTGTTGTATTTGAATTTGAATTTGTATTTGTATTTGATTGATTATTACTTTTACCATTAGCTAAATCAAATGGGAAAGTTAAAATTCTTGAAAAATTTGCCATTATCATTGTATAATGTTGTATTAATGTATTGATGAATTTACTATATGAACTTCCTTTCTTGGCCGCCACGTCAATTGAATTGTTTAGAAGTATATTTCAACTAATGATGTTTATGAATTCAAATATTATAATACTATAGTAAAGTGATTATATGAAATATAGTATAATCATTCAATGTCAATCTATAGTGCCAGTTCTATCGTCATCCATAAAATCAGGGATATAGATTATATTTAAATGTAATATACAATTAAATTTAAACTTTTATATTATTAATTTCTAGAATGGCTTTAACGCATTACTTATAAATCAGTTCCCATCGTACGAATTGAAAAAATTTATAAGCTGTTAGCTTAAAAACTACTTTAATATGCATATGGAAATTTCTAAAATTCGGGTCTCGGTCATATAAATTTTCCCTAGTGCAGCGAGTAACGGCGACTCGCGAGTAGCGGATGAAGGAATTAAAAACAAAAGATTGATTCCGGCCGAAAATTTAAAATTAATAAGTTTAAACGTAATACGCGTTGACTTAATCAATTAGGAAATTAACACCATCAAGACCCTTTTAAACAATATTGAAATCTTTTTACTTTATAATTCAACCAAACATTCTCTATTCAATTCATACTTACAGACCTAACATAAAAACACTTACATAATAACCTGTTGTTTAATTGTACCATACTCAAAACCTCGGTCTTTAATACTTAAAATTCCATCCTCGGTACATATGAAATTATTTAGTTTTGAGGTCCGAATACTAGCACTTTTGAAATCCCTGTATACGTAGTAATTAATACTAGATGAAGCGCTGGATGGAGCGTGATATGTGTGAACTTGGTATATGTTACCGAATTCGTACACAAAGTGAACAGATTAGGCTTTAAGTGTCAACAATTATTAAGGTTATTCTAGTATTATAGCTGGAATCTCGGGATAGGAACTGACTACTTTACTTACTTTATATTACAGATAGATCAACTCCAGCTTAATTGTATTTTGGCGTGATATATGTACATGTATAATTATATGGTTGGTCATAAGCATTCATTAATTATTAATTGTCTATATAGGTTTCATATGTATATATAAAATGTTGGTCAATGTTATTAGGAAACGGATGTTTTGAAACTATTCTATATCCATAAAGTAAAGATGATCTTTAATTACTTAGGTATTAGTCACACAATATCAAATAAATGTTAATTACTTTGTGTGGGGGGTTTAATTCTCCTTCAAATTGGCTTCAAAGTACTTATAATTTAATTAAATCTAAAATGATGGAGAGTTTTTAAATAATTTATCAGAATAATTTGAAGATGATCTATTTGATCCAGTTTTGGATTTATTTAATGAATTATATCTTTTTAAAAAATTTTGATTAATTTTTTTATGTGATATAACTGGACTTGATATTTGATTTTCAAAATTATCAATTGATTCATCATTAAAATAAAATTGATTTTTTTCTTCATTATTAACATCAACATCATCATACTCATCATCATTTTCATCTTGTTTATTAAAATTTAATTTCTTCACTGTTGATGTACTCAATGGATTTTTAATTTCAGATTTCAATGGACTTGGTATAGCATATTTAATTTGACTATAATGATTTTTTAAAGCCTCCATTCTTTGTCTTTTAATTTTTTCACTCCCAGGAATTATTGAATTTGAAATTATTGAATTTTCATTATTATTAATTGGAGTTGAATTAGAAATTGATTTATTAAAAATTGATTGAGATGCTTTTTGAGGAGTTTTAGTTATTAAAGATTTTGAAAAAATATTGGAATTATTAATATTATTTTTAAATTTTAATGGTGAAGGATCTTCTGAAGTAATATTACCATTATCATCATCATCTTCATTAGTCATTAAACTATTATTACCAAATATTTCATCTTCTTGTTGATCATAAATTTGAGAAAAATTCAATTTTAATTGTCTTTGTTCTTGAATTTCCCAAGTTTTACCTTTCCATAATAATAAAATAGCTCTACAATGAGCACGATCCCATCTTCTTTGGAAAGATTTTATATTTTCATTATTTCTTTTAGATTTAAATGAAATTAAACTCCATTTTTTTAAATAATTTAAAATTATTTTTAAATTTGCATCATTTTCATATTCTTGAAATTGAAAATTTAAATTTTGAATTTTTAAATAACCAATTTGTAATTTTGTAAAACCTGTTGATATTAAATTTAAATTATTGATTTCATTTGATTTTAATTCCATATCTTTTAAATCATTAAATTTATTAATCCATTTTTGTAAAAAAGGTCCTTGAATTAAAGTTTTTTGGAAATCTTGTTTAAAAATTTCTTCTTGTTTTAAATATGAATTATATTTATGATTCCAATTTTGGAAGACTGAATTTATTGTTAATTGATTTTGGAAATTTATGAATTCTTTAGCTTTTAATTCTAATTTATTTTGTATTTTCAATTCATATAAATGTTTCCATTTTTGGAATTTTGTTTGTAAAATTGATTTAAAAGATTTATTTTGGTAGAAATTATCAGCTTTCTCTTCCATTGATTTTAATTTTTCCAATTTTTTTTGAAATTTTTGATAATAAATACCTTGATTATAAACATCAGCTTTTACTTCTAAAGATTTATTTTGTTTAAATTGAAGTTTCCAGTTATTCAAAAACATAATTTTGGAATAAGCTTCATAAGCTTCATCACCAATAATTAAAGTATTATTTAATTCAATTTTTTTTGATTTCCAAATTTCCCAATATTTTTCTTGTTTTTGTAAATTTATTTCATTGGATAATGAATTTAATAAAGTTCTTCTTTTCCAATCTTGGAAAAAATTTGATTGAATATTGAAATCTTTAGATCTTTCATAAATTTTCCTATTTATTGATAATTTCCATAAATTCATTGAGTTTTGTAATTTAGTTTTATAACCAACTTGATTGATTTTTTTCTTTAAAGTTAATTGTTGTTTCCATTGATTTAAAAATCTAGAAATTTTAGTTTTTTGGGAATTTTCAAGAAATCTTTCCAACATTGATTCATGTTTTAATCTTAATTTCCATTGATTAATTATAAAATTCAATAATAATTGATTTCTCTTGTCTATGACTTGATTTTCAATTTTTTTAAAATATAATGCATTTTGCCAATTTTGGAAAAATTTAAATTTAATTGAATTTGTTAAAATTGTTTCAAAATTTTGAGTTTTATTTAATGTAATTTGAGATTTTGATTTCCATTTTGTAAAGAAAAATCCTTCATGGAAAACACGTTCTAAAATTTCACCATCTTGATTTAATGAATTAATTTCTAGATGCTTTGTATGCCATTTTTTGAAAAAGTTTGATTTTTGTATAGTATTATTAATTGGAATTTCAATGGTTTTAAATTTTGTTTCCAAGATCCATTTATTTATATTTGATTTCAATAAATTTTGTTGATATAACCAATCAGCATTATCATAATCAATTTCTAATTTTTCTTTCCAATTTGCAAAAAATTTAAATTGAATTTGATAATTTGAAATTTTTTCATAATTTTGTAAAGTTTTATAATTTGTTTTCCATAAATCCCAAAATTTTATAGTTTTTTTAGTTTGATAAAACATATCAGCATTTGAAATTAAATCATCTTGGAAAGAATTAAATTTATAAATCCATTGAGATATGAATTTTTTTTTCAAATAAATTTGCCAAATTTTCCAAGATTTATTTAATTCTAAATTTTGTCTTTTTTTAATAATCCAATGATTTAATGTGGTTTTCATGGTTAATTTAGATTTAAAATATAATTTATTTGATAATTTCATTGCTAAATTTGAAGGATCATTTATGAAAATATCAATAATTTTATTTAATTTTTCATTTGATTTAGATTTTAATTGATTGAAAATTGTAATTATGAATCTATCTTTTGCAGGATTCATATTATGTTCATCTAATATAATTAAATATTGATTTAATATACCTTTAAAATCATTATAAATTTGTTGATTTGGTAATGATTGTAATAAAATCATTAGATAATCTATATCCAGATATGGAGAAGGTGGTGATTCTAATGGATCATGACTTGAACTTGATCTTCTTCTTATACCATTGGGCGTAATAGGTGTACCACTGGGTATTATTTGAGATTTTGATTTTCTTAATGGAGTTATTGGTTGATTATCTTGGAATTGCATTCTTGTTTCTGAAACATTACCGCCAAAGGCCAAATAACTAGCAGTTGTATCCAAAAAGGGGTTATCATTATCATTACCGCCAACTATACCATCACCATCACCATCACCATTACCATCACCATTATGTTTCAACCCCAGTCTATTAAAATCTTGAATCAAAGCATCTGTATTCTGATCTTGTACCCCTACCACCTTGAGCCTATGATTCTCCCTTTCCTTCACCTTATGGCTCATTGCCACCTGAACAACAAGAAAGTAAAAGAGACAACTGAGAAATGAAGAATTCAATTGATTTATAAACAAAACTCAGCGGTTAATTTTAAAATTGAAAAGTAAATAAATAAAAATTGAAACGCGACAGTATAAAAATAATTACGTAATTTATTAATAATATAATCTTTCCTTTTAAATTTCCTTGTTTTATCCGAAAATTCAATTTTCCTGTGGAGATTTTAAGGAAACAAGAGGAGAATTAATGCACAAAATGTAAAGAAATGGATTTTATTAGATTTTATATGAGATTGAGATCATTTAAATTATTCCATTTTAGTTAATTAACTTATTAATTATTGGGGTTATTGATATTTGTATTTAAATCAGTGAATTTACCTTAGATTTGATTGATTATTAGTTCTTGTTCTTATTCACTAGGTATATCATCATGTCAAAATTAGATGCTTTAAATCAATTACAATCAAATTATCCAATTCCTCAACGATTCAATTCTAAAATAATCCCAGGTTCAAATAATCACCATGGTCATTCTGGTATTTATAGAAATGAAGCTCTTTTACAAAAAAATGGTGATTTAATCTCGTCAATTCATCCAGATTTAAATACTTTAGCTAAATATTGGGATAATTCTGTGGAATTTTTCGGTAATGATCCATGTTTAGGTACAAGAAAATTTAATAATATTATAAAGCAAAAATATGATAATCATTTCACTTTTGAAACTTATAAAGAAATTGATTATAGGAAAGATAAAATTGCAAGTGGTATTATATATTTTGTTAAAAATCATAAAAATTATAAAGGAGACAAGGATTCAAAACCAAATTTTATTGTTTCTATACTAAGTCCAAATCGTAAAAAATGGGTATTAATTGATTTAGCAACAAAATGTTATTCATTGCCAAATACTGCTTTATATCCAACTTTAGGTGAAAAATCTTCAAAATATATCCTTGAATTAACTGAATCTCCAATCATATTCACTACAAAATCAAAAATTGATGAAATTTTATCATTAAAACAATCAAATTCATTACCAAATTTAAATATTATAGTTTCATTAGATGATTTCCATCAAAATGATTCTGAATTATTTAATAAAGCTAAATCATTAGATATAACTTTAATTGATTTCTTAGCAATTGAAAAAACTGGTGAAAGAAATTTATTACCAAAAACCTATAATCCACCAAATCCAAATACAATTTATACAATTTGTTTTACATCAGGAACAACTGGTTTACCAAAAGGTGTTGTATTAACTCATAAAATTGCTACATCAAGTGTCCTTGCAACAATGATTAATTTATCTGAACCAATTTGCTCTAAAAATTTAAATAATTTCCATAATTATAATAAAGATGAATTTCAAAATCAAATTAAAACTTTAACTTGTTTACCATTTGCTCATATTTATGAACGTGAAATGATGAATTTTGGATTTTCTTCAGGTTTTGCCCTTGGTGTACCAACTTTAAACCCTAAGAATCCATTACAATTATTTGATGATTTAAAAATTTTAAAACCTCATTATTTTGCAAATGTTCCAAGAATTTTTAATAAATTAGAATTAATGATTAAACAATATTTAAATTTAAATTTCCCAAATATAAAATTCCCATTAAAACCTGAATCGGAAAATCCAAATAATGATCCTGGTTTAATAAATAAAAATTTAATAATTTCCAAAATTAGAAATGAATTTGGTTTCGAAAATTTAAAATATTTCATTACAGGTTCTGCTCCATTAAGTATTGATACTATAAATTTCCTTAAAGATGTTTTAGGTTCAGGTGGTATGAATGGTTATGGATCAACTGAATCATTTGCTGGTATATGTTTTAGTAATCCTTTTGAATCTAAAACAACAAATTCTTCAGGTCCTCCAAATTTAACATGTGATTTTAAATTAGCAGATGTACCAGGAATGGGATATAATTCAAATGATCAACCAAGAGCAAGAGGTGAATTATTATTAAAAGGTCCACAAATTTTCCAAGAATATTTTAAAAACCCCGGGGCAACAAATGAAGCATTTGATCAAGATGGTTGGTTTCATACTGGTGATATTGCAGCTATTGATTCTCAGGGAAGAGTTTATATAATTGATCGATTAAAAAATTTCTTTAAATTAAGTCAAGGTGAATATATTACACCTGAAAAAATTGAAAATATTTATTTATCAAATTGTCCATTTTTAACTCAAATATTTGTTCATGGTGATAGTTTACAAAATTATTTAGTTGCAATTGTTGGATTAAAATTTGAATCTGTTTTAAATCATTTCCAAAAAAGTGTTGGTACTACTAATTTCCAAAATTTAAATGAAGTTGAATTTAAAGATTTATTAAATTCAAATATTGATCATAAGAAAACCCTAATTAATGAAATTAATAAATATATTAAAAATTGTGACTTACAAGGTTTTGAAAAAATTCATAATTTCCATTTTGATTTCCAAGAACCTTTAAAAATTCAAGATGATTTATTAACTCCAACTTTAAAATTGAAAAGATTTAATGCCAAAAAGAAATTTGAACCAATTTTGAAAAAACTTTATGATGAAGGTTCATTTTATCAAAAGAATAAATTATAAGTTTTGCTTTGAGAATTTTGTCTAATATTAGTGAATTAATGTTAGCTATAATGAAATATTAAAACATTGATATTCTTGTATTGTATTGTATATAAATAATTTGCATCTATTTCTTACCACCTTGTTTCAAAACATCTTCTAAATTTTCAGAAACGTATTGCTTTTTAGCACTATTAAAAATTGTATCTAAAGTACTTTCAGATTCTTTATCAAATTTAGCAACAATTTTTTGTGTATTCATATTAACTGCAACATAACCATCTGGTGTATTATCAACTGCAGTTTCTTGAGCCCATTCTGCATCATCATATTCTTTTAATGAGACTACTGGTGGTTGACCATTGACAAAAGCTGGGAATTGAACCATTTTAGAAGAATAAAAGAACTGGTTTCTTATATAATTTGTTAATTGTTAATTGTTGAGACATAATGAAGTTTGGTTTTTTTATATTTTTTTTTTGATCTTAGCTCATCAAGGTCAAAAAAAAAAAAATTAAAATATATATAGGAAGGTTTTACATACCTAAACATCAAACAAATAACAACGAAATACATACAAAACAGAACAAACAATGAGCATTGAAATACCCAGCTTCACAGTCCCAGGTCAACCACTTTGTCCAACTCTACAGAAAACTAAAGATCCTAAATTGGTACATAAATTCGAACCTGGTAATGGGGCAATTTTACAACAAGTTGAAATAAATAATAAAAAAACATCAATTATTTCATCAACTTTAGTTGGTAAAGTTCAAATAGAGGAAATATTAGAAGACGAAAAAGAAACTACAGATGGACAAGATGAAGAAGAATCAAAAAATTCACAAAAAGAAGATAATGAAGAATATAATATAAAAAAATTTAAAATTTCAGTTATACCAAATTTAAAAAATCAATATAATGAATTTGATTTTATAAATAAAGAAACAACAAATACAAATTTCGCAACAAATTTACCAAAAGAAGGTGATATTGTATTATCAAGAGTTACAAAATTAAATTTAAAACAAGCATTTGTTGAAATTTTAGCAGTTGAAGGATCTGGTAATGTATTAACAGATTCTGGTATTGGATCAAATGGTCATGGAATTATTGCTCCAGGTGGTGGTTCAGGTGCTGCTACTTTTTCTATCCATCAAGCTTCTTCAGATTTAGGTGAAACTTTTAAAGGTATAATAAGATCTCAAGATGTTAGATCAACTGATCGTGATAAAGTTAAAATTATTGAAAGTTTTAAACCTGGTGATATTATAAGAGCTCAAATTTTATCTTTAGGTGATGGGACCAATTATTATTTAACCACTTCAAGAAATGATTTAGGTGTTGTTTATGCTAAATCTTATAATGGTGCTGGTGGATTAATGTATGCTATTGATTGGCAAACTATGGTTTGTTCAAAAACTGGTGAATTAGAATCTCGTAAATGTGCAAAACCATTTTGAAGAAACAAAAAAAAAAAATAAATAATTTTGAATAAACGTGAATATTACAAAAGAAAGAAACAATGTAGACCTATAAATATACTTAATTAATCTTGTTGTTTAATCATTTAATAAAAAAAAAATCGCCCGAAATTGGCAAAAAATAATGAAGAATGACACGGACAGGAATTGAACCTGCAACCCTTCGATTGCACTAAATTCCAAACTGGAGTCGAAAGCTCTACCATTGAGCCACCGCATCATCTTGAAGTTTTGTGACCGCACAGATTGACAGACTGCGCAAAACATGAAATGCAAAAGTGCTACCCGGCCGTTGAGTCTTCATTAACGTATTTTGGTGCTTCATTGATGATAAATAAGCATTGTTTTGGTGTTAATACATTAAATAGTTGATGTAAGTAGTTACTTTTGAGACTGGCCATGTTTTTAGTCTGATTGGATCGTATTGTTGTGCTTTAAAAAGCTTATACTATAACCAAGTTAAGACGCGATCTATTAATCTCCACGAAATTTGACGAATATGCAGCGATTTAAAACTGTGGGATTCATCCTGACTCCTTAAGTATAAATATATAGGCTCATAAACCACCAGTTAATGTTTAATTGATCCATATGTCAACTGAAATTCACCTCAGATCTTGAAGATGATTACTTTTTCACTTTACATCAGTCTTTTAGTGATTGGATTACTTGCAGAAGTTCAACAACCTTTAGTACCACAACATAAGGAAAGAATTGCCATTATAGGAGCAGGTGCCGGTGGTTCATCAGCAGCTTATCATTTACAAAACTTTACATCTCATTATTTCAATATAACAATTTTTGAAAAAAACAATTATATTGGTGGAAGAAGTACAACAATTGAAAATTATGATAATTCTACAGATTTACCAATTGAATTAGGTGCTTCAGTTTTTGTTAATGCTAATAAAATTCTTTTCAATGCTGTTGAACAATTTGGTTTAGAAACTCAATCTTTTTCTATTCATGAACAGTACCCTGATATTTTCAAAGGAAGTATTGGAATTTGGAATGGTACAGATTTTGTTTACAAGACAAAAGGTGAAGAAGGTGTATTATTTGGAACAATTAAATTTCTTTGGAAATATGGGTTATCTCCAATAAGATCATATTTACTGGTAAGAGATATTGTTAAAAAGTTTATCAATGATTATTATCGAGATGGATTCCCGTTTACACTGAATGAAATTGTTCAAAAAAGTGGATTTGATGAGTTCACAAATACAGATGGGGAATCTTTTTTGATTTCCAAAAGTATCAGTGAAATATTCACAAAGAATATTATAGAAGCAGCTACAAGAGTGAATTATGCAAGTAATGTTGATGAAATACATGGATTAGAAGCTGTTGTAAGTTTAGCAGCTGAAGACACCGTTCAAGTTGTTGGTGGTAATTACAAGATTTTTGAAAAATTTATAGATAAATCTGAAGCTAAATTATCACTCAATACTGGTGTTCATAACATTACAAAATTAAATGGGAAATGGACTATTCATTCAGATCTTGGTATTGACGATTTTGATCAAGTCATCATAGCTGCTCCTTTAAGACAAACAGGTATTACAATCAATGGTGAAATTTCTGAATTACAAGATGTTGAATATAGGAAGTTACATGTTACATATGTCACAACTTCAAAATCTAATCCAGTAAACCACAAATATTTTGGAATTGAAGAAGAAGCACCTGAGTTGATTTTGACAAGCTCAGGAATTGATCACATTCCATTTTTCAGTGTCAATGTTGTTCATTATGATAACATTACTGAAAGAATTACATACAAAATATTCTCTCCTGATAAAATTGATTCAAATTTTTTGTCATCATATTTATTCAATGATATAACAGATGTTGATATAGTTTTTGAAAAACTTTGGAATCCATACCCAGTATTGAAACCAACTGATAAATTTGATGATTTTAAAATTGGTGATGGTATTTGGTATTTGAATTCAATTGAAAGATTTATAAGTACAATGGAAACATCAGCATTAGCAGGTGCAAGTGTTGCAGGTTTAATATCAGAGGGAAAGAATACATCAGAGATTAGACTTTCATACGTTTGAAATGGGAATCCCAAAGACAAGCTGAATGATGACTATGCTGATCCAAAAGCCAAGTTACACAGAGGTACACAAGCAAACTATCACTAATCATTGATCAATCATGCTCCGTGAAAAATATTTTGGTCTTGGCTATATACTATATACATGGATTATAATTACATGGTAAATGTTATATAAACTTTTTATCGTTAATAATTGGACAAGACAGAGCAACCTAAGATCTTTATTATGGATCTTCATACTTCCGTATTTGATACCAAAGTGTAAGGAAATCAAGAAGTATTATCAAGTTATATATGACTTTAATATACAACAGCTACGGACTTCATGATGTAGATGTAACGCGTTACCTATGTGTAAAGAAAGTCATGTAGTCAATTTGAGAACAATCTAGGATCTTCAGCATAAAAGCTGACTCGTATTTAGACCACTGTGCATCTGCTTAAAACACGAACATGTGCTTTTGATTGAACTAATTCCGATTCGAATAGCTGATTCCTGTTCCCTTATTTGCTCATGCTAAGTCCTAATCTTTGTAATTCTTTTAATTAATTCATTGGTTGTTGATAAATCCGATGCAAGATCTGGCAAGTCTCTATGATTGTTACAAAATTTACGAGACAGGTCTAGTCGGGATTTGTTATCAGAGTAGATCCATCATTAAATTAGGCAAAAGAAGAAACATCTTTTTGGGAATCAGATAGTTTTTAATTTTCAGCTACAACTATAATTTATGTTTTAATTACTTAAAGCATGCTCACTTCCATGACAATATTTAACTGATGTTCACCAAAGGATTCAATATAAATGAGGCAACTTTAAATTAATATTAAACCAGTTAGTCTCCAAATGTGAGACTAGATAAGAGCGATTGGGAAATCCACCAATGATACATGCCACCCCTACACCATCATAGAGTCTAGTCTATAGTCGCGGAAAACTTATTCTATTTGCATCGTCTTTACTGATAAGAAACTTTAAATGAAAACAATCACAAACAACTGAAGTATGCTAAAAAACTGGAATTCCAATACAAAAGACTAGACAGTTAACAGAAAATGTGGTATACTATGGTGACAATAATAGTGTGTTAATGAAGATTCATATATATCTTACAGAGACATTCAAAACAATGCCTATTGTTGTTATTGTTGATGTTGTTAACTTTGAAATTATTACTCACATATACAACCGCTTTTAGGTACGCAAGATAAAGCATTTTTTAATTGTCTAGTCCCATCTCTATAGTCATCCATATTTTAAAAATTCTCGTCAGACTTACGTGGGAACCTTACATCCATGAAGGAATGTACTTGTGAATAAAATCGTATAAAACCCCTTGATCTCCCTCGAGAATCTTCAATTTATTGTTTTCGTATTATCAATTTATACATCATACACATATAAATAATTGAAAATAAAAAATGTCTGATGAATTTAATGGTACACCAACTGAAGTTGGTACTGGTGGTGATTCACTAACAACAGATATGAACAAACAATTCAATTTAGCTGATATGGCTTGGATTGGTGTCGCTGGTGCCTTAGTCTGGATCATGATTCCAGGTATTGGTTTATTATATTCTGGGTTATCAAGAAAAAAACATGCTTTATCATTACTTTGGGCCTCAATGATGGCTATTTCAGTTGTCTCATTCCAATGGTTTTTCTGGGGTTACTCTTTAGTATTTTCACACAATGTTTACGGTTCATTTTTAGGTTCTTTACAATTTATTGGGTTTAGAAATGTTCTAGGTGCACCATCAGTTGTTTCTTCTGTTCCTGATGTTTTATTTGCATTTTTCCAAGGTATGTTTGCTTGTGTTACAGGCTGTTTGATGATTGGTGGTGCTTGTGAAAGAGCTAGACTTGGTCCAATGATGTTTTTCTTATTCATTTGGATTACAATTGTTTATTGTCCAATTGCATGCTGGACATGGAATCCTGAAGGTTGGTTAGCTTCATTGGGTGGATTGGATTACGCTGGTGGTGGTCCAGTTCATATTGCTTCAGGTCATGGTGCCTTAATTTATGCTTTAATCTTAGGTAAAAGAAATGACCCAGTTGCTAAGAAAGGTTTACCAAAATATAAACCACATTCAATTACTTCAGTTGTTTTAGGTACTGTCTTCCTTTGGTTTGGTTGGTTTGGTTTCAATGCTGGATCAGCTGGTAATGCCTCAATTAGAGCATGGTATTCTGCAGTCAGCACCAATTTAGCAGCCGCTGTTGGTGCTTTAACTTGGATGTTTGTTGATTACTTCAGATCAGGTGGTAAGTGGACCACCGTTTCATTATGTTCAGGTGCTATTGCAGGTCTTGTTTGTATTACACCAGCTGCTGGTTTCGTTCCAATTTGGTCAGCTGTTATCTTTGGTGTTGCAGGTGGTGTTGCTTGTAATTTTGCAGTTGATTTGAAAAACTTGATTCATATTGATGATGGTTTAGATGTTTGGGCTTTACATGGTGTTGGTGGTTCAGTTGGTTCAGTCTTAACTGGTATCTTTGCAGCTGATTACGTTACTGCTTTAGATGGTGCTACAATTATTGATGGTGGTTGGATAAACCATAATTATGTCCAAGTTGGTTATCAATTAGCTGGTATGTCTGCTATTATTGCTTGGTCATCAATTTGTACAGCTATTATCTTATTGATTCAAGATAAGATTCCATTCTTAAAATTAAGATTAAAACCAGAAGAAGAAGAATTAGGTACTGACGCTGCACAAATTGGTGAATTCACTTATCAAGAAGATGAAATCTATATTCCAGAACCTGTTAGATCTCATACATCACAAAAAGTTCCAGCTCAACATGCTTTGATTGATGATCAAATCAATACTGATGGTACATCAACCGGAGGTGAGGCTGAAAAAAAGAATGATATCATCGTCTAATCGACCTAATAATAACTTAATATTTATATGTCTTAATGTTTAATAAATAATGCTTTTGATTTTGTTTGACAAGTTTGTAAATTAGTGATATTCTGTAACTGATCATGAATATCTTTCGGGTCGTGATCTTATGAATCGGTATCTATACGCATTATATTTTATGATACCATGATCCATGTGAAATACCAAATTAATATACAAGCACAAAGGTTCAACAGAACAACACCATGATTCTCAATTATACAATAGATCAATACCTCATTATATCATGATTTAGGTCATGTGAGATTGAGTGATTTGGCGTGAATAATATTACTATGAATTATTTATTCGGCGTTAAGTTGAGGCGTTACCTACATACAAAATGAAATATAATTTTAACCGTTATCGTATCAGATTTAGATCGTAAGATTGAACTTGGAGACGTTGAAAATTAAGTATATCTACAGACTAAATATTAAATATATTTCTAATAATCAATTGGTTCTTGCAGAAATATTAGAGTGGTTCTTTCTGAAAATCCAATAATAAGTAACCCTTAAGATGAGAACAACTTTGATACTTAGATCTAAGATCAAAGATATAGCTGTGATTGGTGGTGGTCCATGCGGTGCTGGTCTTACGAAGGCATTATTAGCTGAAAACTCATTTTCTAAAGTTAAAGTCTATGAAAGACGTCACAAATTAGGTGGTTTATGGAATTATACTGGATTAAAATCTAAATGTGACAATGTTGTCAGTGTACCCTCAACAGATCCTAGAAGAACAATTCAAAAGTTAAAATATGGGGACAAAAAGTTTTTCGAATCACCTGTTTATAAATATCTTGATGCTAATGTTCCAAAAGATTTGATGGCTTATAAAGATCATCCATTTGGCGATGATATACCTTTATTCCCTCGTCATGAACAAATTTTGAAATATATTGAAAATTATTCAGAAAGTATAAAAGATCAAGTCAGTTTTGAAGAAGAAGTCACAAGTGTTTCATTTGATAAAGAACAACAAAAATGGAACGTGATTTCCAAATCTTTGAATACCAACGTGGAAACCAAAGAAGTCTATGATGCTGTTGCGATTGCAACAGGATCTTATGATCAACCAATGATCCCAAATGTTCCTGGTATTTCTGAATGGTCTAAACAATTTCCAAACTCAATTCTCCATGCTAAAAATTATGATGAACCTGCACAATTCCAAAATGATAAAACTATTTTAGTTGTGGGTAATTCAGCTTCAGGTGCTGATATTGCTTACCAATTGGCAACACATTTGGATAAAATAATTTATAAATCTGTAAGATCTGAAAATCCATTACCAGCTGGTAAAGATGAAAGAATTAAAGATGTTCCTGATCTATTAAGATTTGAACCAGAAACTAAAACAATTCACTTTAAAGACGGATCAAGTTTAAAGAACGTTGATAAAGTGATATTTGCAACTGGTTATTTGAAGTCAATCCCTTTTATCAAAGATGAACCATTGATTACAGATGGACAAAAAGTTCATGGGCTGTACAAACATTTAATCTATTATAATAACCCAACATTGGCAGTTATAGGATTACCAAGATTTGTATTACCAACTAGATTATCAGAAACTCAAGGTTGTTGGTTAGCTAGAGTTTGGTCTGGTAGATTATCATTACCAAGTCGTGAAGAAATGATTGAATTTGATAAATCAATTGAAGCACCAGAAGATAGAAAATACCATGATTTAGATTTCCCAAAAGATGTCGAATATTCAAATGAGTTGAATAATCAAGTGAATTCAGCTTTAGGTGACTATGGTTATTTTGCAGTTCATTGGGATGAAGAACAAACCAGGATTAGATCCGCTATTAAACAAATCAAAGAAGGTTATATCAAATACATGGCAGATAAAGGGAAACCAGCATACTCTTTGAAAGAGCTAGAAGAACAAGGATATTTTGAGTATCCTGCATCAAATAAATAGATTGTACATAAACTTAAATGGATAGAGATATAGAATGTATAGAACACATTAAAGTTCATATCGGTAATTACATACGCGTTGAACGAAACTAGATACGCCAGTAATCACCGCCAAAATCGTGAGGTTGATCTTTTTCAATTGAACTAATATATTATAGATAATTAGCTTATATACCGGGCGCATTTTTGACGCATTCGTGACGTCGTATAATGTTTAGCTGAGAGCTTTAACCCCATATGAAACTGCATTTGTTTATCAAAACATCAAAGTTACTTAAGATGTCATCTTGTGTCCTTCATTTGTCCGTCAGTAAAACTTGAAACTTGAAAGTTGAGAGTACTGAAATCAAAACCATTTAATTATGATCATGAAAAGTAGCTGATACATAATTATATCACGATAGAGCTGATATTAGCTGATGTGTTAAAGGCATAATATACAACTTATATGATCACTAGCTACTCTAGCGCATGGGTATACAAGAGATAAGCTTGCTATATTTGGCAAACTCACTGCTAATATATGAGTAGTTCAACAGTTCAACTATTTTTAAGGAGTTGATCAAATGGACATAATCGACATGAATATAAGTACTACCTTTAATGCCCTGTTCTGAATTTTGATATAGTCAGTTAAGTACCTAAAACTCCAGTTAAGTTTATTTATTACTCACAAATCAAATTTTGACCCCAGTGAGGAAAGTTGACACCTAATTCATGCGCGTACGTTTTATTTTTCCTACTTGAGCGCTACCCACTGGCCCTATCGTAACTGATGACTTATCTACACCTTTAATCCTATTGGAAAATCTCTTATCAGCAAAGATCACAAAATGGAATTGATTAATTATTATATTCAATGTTATACCATCAGGGATTGAAAGGGGTTAATAATCCAGACCATACCAAATTTATAAGTGGACCAATTTTCAATCAAAGCAAAACAGCTTATTTTGACATATCATGTACTATGTGAGTTTCAGAATAGATCAACATGGCTAGGGTACTGTGTATGATAAATGATATTTAAAATATAGATCTAGATGATTGGCTTCTAGCTTATTCCAGAAGAAATGCGCCCGTGATATATCTGTCGCACATTTGTGCGTCGACTTTAAGCTGCTCCACATTCATAGAGTTATCGGGTTATCTACTTCAAACTTCAAACCAAGACAATTGTCGTAGTAATTTTTTAGTTTGTGATCACATATAGGAAGAGTCGATAACATATGTACTGATAAGAGTTCAATGTTTGTCATAGTTCAGAACTTCAGGTGTTTTCTTCACAGTATACATGTGTATATATGACTAAATAAACACACTGTATGGTATAAAATTCTTGGAGTTTTCGCATAACAGGTGCAACATTGATCTCAAAGATTTGTTATCTATAAACTTTGATAAACCAATTTTAAAAGCCGAGAACATATTTAAAGACGAAGATGGACTTGCATTTGATCAATTGAACCCTTGAAATGTTTTGAGTCAAGCAAATTTGCTCATAGGTCCTGCTTAATATCCTATCACAATGTCAACACTAACCAAGCGAGCTATTGAGAATTATGATGAGCAAGTGGCATCGTTGGTTCCTGCTGATATGGCATATGCAGCAGTTGCAACAATAATGATCCTTTTAATCACACCTGGTATTGGTTTATTCTATGGTGGGATGCTTCGTGGAAAAAATTTCACAACAATGTTATTACAATCTTTTTTGAATACTGGTATTATAACAGTTCAATTTTTCCTTTTTGGTTTCTCATTAGCATGTTCAAATACATCATCCAGTGTTATTATTGGTAACTTTACTTATGGTGCTCTTCAAAACATCAGTGTTGGTCCACTCTCAGAAGGTGGTACTGTTCCTGCTATTATTACTTTCACATTTAATGCTATTTTTGCTGTTTGTACTGTTCAAATTTTCACAGGTGCTATTGCTGAAAGAGGTAGATTATTACCTTCATTAGTATTAGGATTCTTATGGTGTACCTTATGTTATTGTCCATTTGCTTATTGGACTTGGTCAACAAACGGTTGGTTGTATAAATTAGGTTCATTAGATTTTGCTGGTGGTGGTCCAGTTCATATCAGTTCTGGTACAGCATCTTTAGTTTATTCATTCTTCTTGGGTAAAAGAAAAGGTTGGATTGATGGAAAACCTCCAAAATATAAACCTTATTCACCAATACTATCTTTCATTGGTGCCGTTATGATTTACATTCCATGGTTATTTTTCAACAGTGGTACATTAACAACAGTCACAACACCAAAGACCTTATACATATTGACAAATACCCAATTAGCTGTTGGTTTTGCTATGGGAACTTATACTTTTATGGATTATGCCATCAATAAAAAATGGTCTTTATTAGCTGCATCTGAAGGTACAATTGTTGGTTTAGTCTTGATTACTCCAACATGTGCTGAGCTAGCACCATGGGCTGTTGCAGTAGGTTCAATTGTCACAGCAATTGTTTGCAGATCATTATACGACCTTAACATTTGGTTACAAATTGATGATACAACACATAGTTTTGTTATTCATGCTATTGGTGGTTTCATGGGTTCAATTTTCAACGGTCTCTTTGCATCACCAAATATCGCAGCAACTGATGGAGTCACAGAAAGTGAAGGTGGTTGGATCTTTCATCATTGGAAACAAATGGGTTATCAACTGGCTGGATCAGTTGCCATCATTGTTTGGACTGCTTTGATGACATATGCTTTATGTTTTATTATCAACTTAATTCCAGGATTGAAGATGAGAGTTTCAGAAGAAGCTGAAGAAATGGGATTAGATTGTTATGAAATGAGGGAATGGTCTGATCCATCTATTACTAGTGACATTTCTGATGTATCCCACGTTGAATATTTCAATGGTCAACAAGGTGCTTCATCTAACTCTAATTTGAGTTCCAATAACATTGAGCTTGGTGATGTTAAACGTCCAATAGAACAAGTTTAGAAGTAAATTTAGAAGTTTGAGCTGGTCTTATAAAAGCGAATAATATGATTCTTTGATTTTGATTTAATATAATTTCAGATTGTAGCTTAATTGTACCGTAATATCTTTGGTAAAGACTAAATTCGCGTAAGACGCGACTCTTCCCAAATCAATTTATGAAAAAAAAAAAAATCAAAATAAATGAAAACCTTATATACTCAAGATCATTTTGATAAATTAGTTGAATAATTGCTTTAGCTTTGAGATTCATACAACAGAAGCACTTAAAAGCCATCCAATACCACATGAACAGTATATGACATTTGAAGTACATTAACTCAGAAATGGTTGTGAAAGGGAGGTTCTCACGAAAAGCGCCACCACCAGAAATTACTATACCAAAATTGTTCAACAAAAATATCCACAATATAGCAGCTTTGAAAAGAAAACCACGTCAGCAGGATGCTTTGAATATCCTATATGAAATTGCAAACTTAGTTACACCCATAATGAAAGAATATGGCTTTACAGTGAAAAATTTATGTGAATTTTTTCCAAAAACTGATAATTTATTAGGTATGAATATGAATGCAGGTTATAAAATTTTTATAAGATTAAGGCCACCTTTCAATGAGAATGTTTTTTTACCAATGAATGAACTGATTGGTACTATGCTTCATGAATTAACTCACAATAAACATGGTCCTCATGATGCTAAATTCTATAAATTGTTAGACGAGTTGACCAACAAACAAGAAATTATAATGATTAAAGGTGGTCCAGTATTTGAACAAGATCCATTTGCAGGTTTGGGTAAACAGCTCGGAGGAAATAATCCATCTAATATTAGAGATGCAAGATTGAAAAGGTTGGACATCAAATACGTTGGATCTGTTCAAAAGCTTGGTGGTGATGATAATAATGGTAAACCTAAAACACAACAAGAATTAAAAGATCTAGTAAGGCAAGCTGCTATTAAAAGATATGAGGATAATAAATGGTGCCATGATGCTGTGAAAGGTGATTTACCACAAGATGATGAATTGGATATTATTGTTATTGATAGTGATAATGACAATGAAAGTGAAAATGAGAACAATGATAATGCGAACCCAAAACTAAAGAGAAGACATATAGAGAAACTTAAGTCCAATCAGATTATAACTTCCAAATCAAGCCCAAAACTGCCACCTAAACCCATTTCTACCAAGATGAATGGAAAAGAAGATGATAACGAGATAATAATTTTGGATTCTGATGATGATTCTGGTACAAAATTAAGCGAGGAGTCAGCTACCAATTCTTCTAAACCAACCGATGAACACGAGGAACTGATTGATTTGACTGAAGACTGAGGTCATTTGACAAACTAGTAATTCACAAATATTACAACATTGGCCATCATTGTTTTATAGATCTCATCTCACCCAACCACAAGCTTTGAAGATCATAATAATGAAGGATATATTCGTATAGTTTTACATCTTGATTGCATCTTCACAGATCGCATTCACCATTTATGATAGACAATCGTTAAAAAAATAGATATTTTTTTACACTAACTTATGGTAATACATAGTACGACATCTTTTAATTTATTGATGGATTGGCTAATGTCGACATTGTAGTTCTACTCTTAATTCTGAACAGGATCAACGAACATGATTAGTAGTCAGCTAGATCATCGTCGACGTGATATAGTTCAGTCTTTAATAATTTAGGCTCCAGAACCACCACCTGCTTCAATGCTTGTACGACAATGTTAATTCATTCATAATATTGACTATGATTTAAATATGCATCAGCTAAATATCCATTAATAAGAATTTAGAAACAAGATCTAATTTTCGGTTTAAGGCGCTAACGCACATATTATATAAAACTGCACACGGTTGAATTCTTAATCGGATCGATTAAATTAAAGCTATCCGATCATGAATTATACCGACGTATAAATATACTTCGTTTATACAAACGGCCAAACGTCGGTACAACAATCTAGATTCTAGAATCTAGACACTATTACAAATTAAAGCGTCATCAAATTTTCAATAATCTGCGCACTACACAGTGAAATTTGAACACTGCACATATAAAGAGAAAAAAATATTCTGATGTACTATGGCAGCTAATAGCTATACAACTATCATCACGATTCATGTTATTGCTAAGCTGAAAGCTACATCCAAGATATACACATATTCCCTCATTAACAACGTAGAAGTATATAGCATATAACTAGAGCTAATATATATAACTACGTTAAGTAGTTATATATTTTTGAATTATAACATGATCAGTAACGGGAACTAGTGTAGTACATGATTATAATTAACGCCACGGTTTAAATGGGCGCGGCCAATTCATGAATATGATCAGAACTTCATGGTACACAAGTAGATAGTTAATGGTTAATATTATCAGTCATGGGCGTTGGACGTATCAGCCATCTCTTTTGACATTAACAGCGCTACTGCAGTTCGATCGTTAACTGTCATCCTACACTTAGGCATAATATTTGACCATTCACGGAGCTCTGATTGATAATTATTGGGTGGAAAGCAAATTTTAACACCCCTAAAACAAGTTTGTTAGTAGATTGAATCTTGAATAATAGAGATCGATCATAATTTTGGGATGAATTATGTATAATCAGTACACAACTAACGGTTAAAATTTAACAGAGGTACCTCACATGGGCGATCTTAGCATAAATTTGAACGAATGATATGGCGTAGATTTGTAATTTTTGGGTGTTTTCTTAAAACCTGGGGATTAACTATGGGAATTTTGATCTCGAACGACAAACAGCTAGTTCATTGATCGACTCTTAACTCTTAACAAAAGCTGTACATATATGATATCGCAAAATCAACCAGTTAAGACCGCTTAACAGGTCTTAAAAAGTACAATTATAAGACCATAATATATACAAGGGTGTAATTTTTATCTATATATAGTCATTTCCAGAAATGCATACAGGTAGCACGTAGCGACATAGTACGCGTTCAACACATTAGTTCCGACAAGCTTTCAAAACTTCAGTCTTCAGCCCTATATATACTACAGAGGAATATTTTAGTTATAACTTACCAACTTACAACTTACAAATTAGTGACTGTTCCAGAATCGAGATTCACAATTTTAGTACAAGTACGGATTACGGATTAATCATTTACGTAGCAAAAAATTGCAATTGTCCACAGTTGAAAGAAACGGGTTTTTGAATTTTTCATCTAAAAAGGGAATTCGCGATTTCTGGCACAAAAAAATTTGTATGAGAAATAATTTTTGCTTAGAATTGAGTTCGCTGTGATTGGCTGACGATCAGATGAGCAAAAAGAAATGCGCGATTGGAGTTTATCTTCGTGCCACGCACATGATTACATAAACACATTTTGTATAAGCTATTTTGATATGGGAGTTGGATTGGGATACGTGAAGTTTGTAAAACGAAAGTGAGCTCAAGGATAGTAGAATAATCACCGTGTGAAAAGTTTTATCCCTGGTAATATCACAATCATTTCTATCATACTAGCATATTTCATTCATCAGTTGTTAGTTCAGACAGAGTTATAATAGCATCACTCCCACACATAGCTGGAATTGTCACATAGATAATAACTTATACATCATAAATTCTATCTTCTTTTGCAAGATCATTGAAAAAAAGTTTAATTAGCACAGATCATCGAGACAGAAAAGTTTTCTTTCGAAAAACAAACAACTTTCAATCATTTACATTCAACTTTCATTAAAGTTGAGTTCACACATTTCAAATTCAAAATTCATTTCATATAGCATGTCAACTACAGATCCAAATAATCAAAGTTCATCACCTCCCAACATCTGTGCTGTTACTTCACCAAATACTCAATCAACTGCACAAATTTGTTCAAATTGTTCAACTACAAAGACTCCATTATGGAGAAGAGCACCTGATGGTTCATTGATATGTAATGCTTGTGGTCTCTATTATCGTGCAAACAATTCTCATCGTCCAATAAACTTGAAGAGACCACCTCATGTTGTCACAGTGGGTCAAAATGATTCACATTCTGGTACATGTAAAGGTGATGGTCGTTGTAATGGGACTGGTGGTGCTGTTGGATGTAAAGGGTGTCCAGCTTTTAATAATAGAATTATAATATCAAATCCAAACATTAAAAAAGAAGATAGTCCAAGTGAGGGTGAAGTAAATGTTGAAAGTTTATCAAAAGATTCATTAATTAATGGTTCTAAATCTGACCAAATAAGGTCTCCAGATTCACCTCAATCAAATACTATACCATCATCAAATGTTATGGGTTCAGAACAATTGGAAAATGTTGCTATTGCTTGTACAAATTGTGGTACCACTGTGACGCCACTTTGGAGAAGAGATGATAACGGTGATACAATCTGTAATGCATGTGGTTTATATTACAAATTACATGGATTACATAGACCTATAAAGATGAAAAGAGGTGTTATTAAAAGAAGAAAAAGAAATCCTCATACTGGTGAATATGAAATTTCTCATACAACAACCAAAAAATCAAAATTAGATTCACAATCAAAATCACCAGTATCAATCCCACAACAAGTTCAGCAACCTATTTTAAATCAACCTCCTTCGTTTAATCCATCCGATTCAAACCTAAATGATGATCAGAATATAAAATTGCCACCAATAAGAATGTTACCAATAAATAATAATGCTAGTAACATTACACCACCTCACAATCATGATCATACATTTTCACCACCATCATCAAAAATACCAACATCAAATTCTTATCCTCCAGCTGTGGATTTCACATCAATGTTTGCAAAAAGATTTGGATCTAATAATCAACAACCTGAACAACCACTACATCCAAATTTTGAACAAACACCAGCTCAACAACAACCTTTATCAATCATCAATAGTGGATTTCCAAGAGCATCACCACCACATCAAAATAACACAGGGGAAGCATTAATAAGGCGCCCATCTCCAACACTTCCACCACATCAGCATAATTTTGACCGCAGTTCACCAACATTACCACCTTTGAACCAACAAAATATGAAAGTTTCGTCAATTTTGAATAACCCAGATACCAACTATTCACAAAGCTCATCTAATGATCAATATTTACCAGTTAGCTCAGTCCCATTTCAAAGTGCTAGTATACAAAATGGTGGTACAGGTACAGCTACGTCTGAGTTATCTAAAAGTAATGATGCATTATCTACATCCGATGATGATAAGAAGGATGATAATAGAACCATCCAGGTTTGATTACAATATTTATTTTATTAACAAGGCCATTTGCTAAATCAATATTGATGATTGATAATTAATTTATTCATTATTATTACCCAAAATTATTTATATTAATATACAGTGTACACATGATGTTATATTGATCAATATTCATTATATGATTTAGTATATATCCATGTGTATACGAAACTAGTTTTTTTCAGTTTTCGTCATGATATTTATGCCATTGTGTTCTTGTTTCATTATTCATCATGTTTAGTTCTTATATATTTATTTAGCAATTCATATGGCATTTTAACATTTTAGGAAAATAGTAATCGTCATCAAAGTCAGCTAAATCCACCCATAAGCTTAACACTTTGGTTGTTGAGCAGCTTAAGAGCGACTTCAAACTTTAAAACATGTTATACTTCAAGGTCCAAGCCCAACCGACCACTAGCGAGTTTTTTAAAAGTTATCTTCAAGATCAATTTCAGCTGTAAATATATATTCCAAATCATCATCACACACAAAAAAAACTATTTTATAAAATCTCACTGTTACTACGAAGCAGTTTTGGTTTTAAATATGATTTCTAACCTGCTGTTGAAAGAATGGCGAGCCACACAATATTTCACCGCGAATTATTTTAATTTATACTTTCCCACACAAGTTTATCAACGTTCTTTAAGATCTAACCATTTCACGTCTCTTCAACCCATACAGATAGCTCTATAAAACCATGCCAGAGAGCACTCAGCAACCCCAAACAGAGGAACAACAAGCTGGTGGTGGTGGTATTCTGGCTAACCTTAAGTACTACGTGTTGGTTTACTTAGCCGTTAATGCATTTCTACAATGGACGTCCCCAAAGAAAGACGATGAAGGGGTTTCATCAAGTATTAATTCCATTGCGGATAAGAGCATAGCAGCTCTTCAGAATTACAAATTCTATCCAAATATCGATAATTCATCATTTATTAATTTCGAACAGCCTGAAAATTCCACAATGACAGTTACAACTAAAGACAAAGATGGTAATGTTACAGAACATGAAATCAAAACATATGAACAAGCGTTATATGAAAACTCACTTTCACCACCAAGATTTTTGACACCAATTGCTAAAGAGGATGATCTTGTCTCGTATGAATTCTATGTTAGTGAAGATCCATATTTCCAAAGAGTTCAAGGTGATTATAAACCAGTGATTAAACTGGATAACATTGAGATATCAAAAGCTAAATCAGTAACAGAGTCATTCAAATTTCCAATTTCAGATACAATCAAAGTGAACAATGGGTCCGTATATCTATACGCGTATATAATTTATGATAATCTAGATGTCATTGGATCCAAACAATTTCAATTGAGTACCTATTTACCAAAGAAGAAAGAAATCAAATTACACAAATTAGTGGGTAATAATGATGAAGAGTTAGATGAAAATGTCAATAAAGCTTCTGAAGAGCAAGAAGAAGATGCTGGTGAGCAACCAATATTATCACATTGGCATCCAAATGTTACAATTGCAATAACAAACTTTCCAGGTCTACTCGATACTCAAAATTTACCACCTTCAGTAGTTGATATTTTCCCATTGGACCCGTTGGATCGCCGGGATAACTTAACTGGTTTGGTTACTCAATACTTTCCATTATTATACCAAAATAAGTTCTGGCAGTTAAAAGACCATATGAACGAAATAAACTCAACAACCGAAGAATTAGAATTGAATTTACATATTGATTTTACTAGATTCTGGAAAATTCAAGCTTTGATAGTGGTTGGTGAGGGCTTGAAGCAACAACAGGATAGTCCACTGGCCGCAGCCAGTAGTGGGTTGAGTGATGGTTCAGAGATTGATGCAGTAAAAAAGATTTTATTAGATACAAACCCATATTTACTAGCAATAACAATTGCTGTCTCATTATTACATTCATTACTAGAGTTTTTAGCTTTCAAAAATGATATTTCACATTGGAGAAATAAGAAAGATAATGTTGGCATTTCAGTTCGCTCAATTGTGGCGAACGTCGTTCAGCAAATTATTACCTTGTTATATCTATTAGATAACAGTGAAGGCACTTCATTTATGATCTTAGCATCACAAGGAGTGGGTATACTGGTTGAAGCTTGGAAGATCACCACCGTTTTGAAATTTGAGGTGTCATGGAATGGTGCCATACCATCTGTCGAAATTTCCGATAAATATAAATTGACTGAAACAGAGGAAAAAACTAAAGAATACGATTCAATTGCTTTTAAATACTTATACTGGGTCTCAGTACCATTATTATCAGCCTATGCTGTTTACTCATTACTATACAAGGAGCACAAGTCATGGTACTCATTTGTTGTTACTACATTAGTTGGTTTCGTTTATACATATGGTTTCTTAACTTTAGTTCCATCTGTTTATATTAATTACCGATTGAAATCAGTTGCCCATATACCAAAGAAAGCCATGGCATATAAATTTGTTAACACCTTTATTGATGATTTATTTGCATTTGTTATTAAAATGCCTTGGCTTCATAGATTAGCTACATTGAGAGATGATGTTATTTTCTTGATTTACCTTTACCAAACCTGGATTTATAGAGTTGATTATTCAAGAATCAACGAATTTGGTCAAGTTGGTGAAGATGACGCTGAGGTTCAAGATAAGATTGATGATAAAAACGCATCAAATCAAAAGGAAACCAAAAAGGCGAAATAAAGACAACAGGAAATAAAATAAATCATCCTGGTATGGAGATATCACTACATAAGTATCAGTGCAGACAGAAGATCATTGCTTTTCTTAGCTGCTCCTTTATCACGGAAACTATAACCAAGATATTATAATTGCAGCGTATAAAACATGTATATTAAGAGACTATGTCAGAATTATAAGCATTGCACTTATGTAGAGATTCGACATGCGTAGTACATAAATTACATGAAGGATACAATACATGTCTTATAACCTTCTACTTAAGAGATGTTGCATGGCCCGTTCCTACTTGAATGATGATATACAGAAGCAGATAGTAATCAGTCAATAACTCAATATATTATAGCTGGCATTATAATTAAGCATTTTTCAAGAAAATGGTAAGGACATTCAAGTGTTCGTGCTACGAGCCTTCGACTGTAATATCTATATACCCGGAGATCAAACCCGAACAACAAAAGCTTCTAAGAATTGTTAAACTTGCTATATGGATTTCTTTAAAGGCTAATTATACTTTATAACTCCTAAAATTGCTTGTGTTAGAGTTATGGAGCTCAATTACAAGCGGATCTGCCGCAATTTGAAGAAAGTCAAATTTTGATGGCTAGGTTAGTGTGAACTATGTCTTAAAATTTTCAAGTAAGCCCCCTTAGCTTAGTGGTAGAGCGTTGCACTTGTAATGCAAAGGTCGCTAGTTCAATTCTGGCAGGAGGCAATTTCTTAACTTTTTTGCTATTTTCCCCGGAAATTGCCCCCTTATACCCAGTTTGAATTCCAAACAAGCCTGTTTTTTTTTGTTCTACACTAATCTCTCTGATCTATGTTTTGTTATTACACAGAAACTCACTGAGTCCGGGCCAAGATGGTTTATTCAAAAAATATTCTTGTGGTGTAGGGGATTATGTAATATTGTTCGCGCGGCCCATGACAAATCACAACCCATACGCAATATGGGATCAGGGGTAGCGATCGCGCAGATTTGTTAATTGTAAGATCATTTATACACTGGTGTTATATATATTCTATCGTTGACTAATTTATATTAATTATTTTGAAATAATGAGCTCATCAGAAGTATCAGAACAGAAGAGAAAGAGTCAACCAATACTGGAAAGGGTTCATGATCCAAGAACTATCCAATACATCACACAGAGAATTGGAGAACAATGGGGATACAAATTATCAAACGTTCAATTTGCTGAAAAAGAAGGTACTTTGAAAGATAAATCAAAAGTTGCAAATCGGAAACCAGAACCGCTAGGTTTATATAGATACGCTTTAAGAGATTTATCAATCGAAAAGAAACATGAAACTGATGATATTGTTGGTTATGTTGAAACTTTAAATCGTAAAGCATGGAGAATTGATGGCAAAAATCCAGGTGTGTTGAAAGAAGTTAATTCTTCTACAATTGGCTCGGTCTTTACATTCGCAGAGCATAGAAAGAAAGGGTATGCTAATGTTTTTTTGACAAAGGTTGGTGAGATACTTGATGAACAATTGGGTGAGGATGCACTCACAAACTTATATAGTGGAGTTGGTGAATTTTACTCCAGATTTGGCTATAAAAGTTTTGTGATTCCAATTCATTTTATCAAAAGCGAAGGCGTGAGTATTGATACAAATGATTCAAAGTATGAGTATCTGGGCTATGAGGGCTACGACAAACTTATTGATGTTCAAAAAGAATACCTAAAACAGTTGTTGCTTCGAAAGGGGAAAGAAATTGAACAAAATGAAACTGTTGTGGCTTTAATTCCAGATACAGATACATATACCTGGATAAATGATAAAGATGCTTATACCACTGCTGCTCTGAATCCAGGTTATGAATTGAATAGTTTTGGTGCTGTATTGAAAGGATCTAACGATCATATATTATGGGTTCATGAGTGGAATGAAAACAAGTTGAAGATTGCTAAAATATTTGTTGAAAATGGTAATATTGAAAACTTCAAGAAGCTAATTCAAATCTCTATCAAAGAATCACAAGATTATGGCTTGGAAGGTGTATTTTTATGGGACTCTTCTTTAACTGAAGATAAATCTTTCCATGATACTGCTTTGGAATATTTGAAAAGTTTTGCAGGTGCTGTAATAAATGGGAGCCAAACCAGTACAACGATACCAGCAATTAGGCTACATGATAAGACTCCGGCTGAGGGTATAAAGTGGATAGATAACGACTATTGGTGTTGGTTCTGAAAGCTTTATGTTTAGATCACTGTATAGGTGTAATAATGTTAAATTTGTCGTTTCTGTGTTTCTGTGACCTTCATTTGTGACTAAAGTAAGGGCTAAGTAATTGAGTCAAATATGAGGTTGATAGCTTTTGACTATTGAAGCCTTTTCCGTAGTATAATAACTTATAAGTGACACTCAATAGTTTTCAGATCGGCTGTAGCCTGTTCCTGAAACAAAGATGACACAAAAGCGAGTTGAAGCCTCAAGGGCCCTCAACATAACATCCATTTATTTAAGGCGAAGTGCAATTTCCGACCATATTGTGTGTCCGGAACTGATTCTTTTTTTAGACGCGCGCGTCAGATCAAAACATTTAGGAATATTTAGATCTTTGGATATAAAACATTCACTTCCTAATGATTGAAAAATCGGTCCAGTTTGCTGAAGTTGATGGTTGTAAGGGCTTAGAAAGGACTAACAAATATGAGTCACAACAATAATTACAGAGATAACACAAGGCACAATCAGCAGAGCGGTACGTATGGTGGATATCAACACGACCCATATTATGAACAATATGAAAGTCAACATACCGATCCCTTTCAAACTACACAATACTACAATGAAGAAAGAAGTTCATCCACAGATAGACTTCAAGCCGTCCCACCATCACATGTGAGACCTGACTCTACATCACCACATAGAAGAAGCACTCAATTACCAGGCCATGAGTACAACCAATATATGAATAATGATACGGAATACACTGGAGCATACCATTCAGATGACAGATACCAACATTATGATAATTTGCGGAATTCCAACTATTACCATCCACAAGTTACTGGACAACCACAGACAACTGCTTATTCTCCTTTAGATAGAAATCCACCACCAATACCCAATATCGTGGAAGATTTAGTACCAGATCCAAATCAACAACGTTACTCTGATCCTTTTTACAATAATGAAACAGTTTCTGCTGCTTCCTTCAATGCATTTCCAACAAATCCAAATGAAACACCTTTACATCCTTCAGCTGATACTTATTATCACGGGGCTAGTGGTTCCATGTCGGAACTACCTTTGAACAACAATCCTTATGTTGAAAACATTGAATTGCAGGACAGTTATGGTAAAGATGAAGAAATGGAAATTGGTATGGGTCCGGTTCATGGTGATAATTATGAGTTGAATACTTTCCAAAAGGAACTATATGATGATGAATATTCATATGGTGATGAAAGCGAAGCAGATGAGTATGAAATACCACCAGAATCACAAAGAAGAAAGATCGAAGTTGGTCTTCTAAATGGTAATTTAGTCTTGGACTGTCCTGTACCTGATAGAATCTTGGAAAGATATGAAAATAAAATAATGGATGAATCACGAGAATTCAAATTTATGAGATATCAAGCAGCTACCTGTGATCCTAAAGATTTCGTTGGTGATCAATTCAATTTGAGACAACGTTATTATAAAAAAGTTCGTGAAGTTGAAATCATGGTTGTTATTACTATTTACAATGAAGATGATGTCCTGTTGGCAAGAACTTTGAAAGGTGTATTTGATAACATCAAACATTTAGAGGGTAGGAATAGGTCGTCTACTTGGGGGCAAGATTCTTGGAAAAAAGTTGTCGTTTGTATCGTCGCAGATGGTCGTTTAAAGCTAAATGAAAGAGCACAAGCTTTGTTAGCAGGTTTGGGTGTTTATCAAGAAGGGTTTGCCAGAAATGCTGTGAATGACAAAAAGGTGGTGAGTCATATTTATGAATATAGTTCAATGATCGGTATTGGATCGATCGAATCAGATACAGTCAAGTTATGCACAGCTTCAGTCCCTGTTCAATTGGTTTTCTGCTTAAAGGAAGAGAATAAGAAGAAAATTAATTCACATAGATGGGCATTACAAGCATTTGGTGAAGTTTTGGATCCAAAAGTTGTTATTCTACTGGATGCAGGTACCCAACCTTCTAAAGATTCCATTTATCATCTTTGGAAGGAGTTTGATAAGGATCCTAATGTTGCAGGTACTTGTGGTGAAATAAAAGCTATGTTGGGTAAGAATTACAGAAAATTAATCAATCCATTAGTTGCAGCTCAAAATTTTGAATATAAAATGTCAAATATTTTAGATAAGCCAACAGAATCAGTGTTTGGCTTCATTTCAGTTTTACCAGGTGCGTTCTCTGCTTATCGTTATACAGCTTTAAAAAATCAACCAAATGGTGATGGTCCTTTAGCTAAATATTTTGCTGGTGAAACATTACACGACAGACAAGCGGGAGTTTTCAAAGCAAATATGTACTTAGCTGAAGATCGTATCTTATGTTTCGAATTGGTTGCTAAACAAAATTGTTCCTGGGTCTTGAAATATTGCAGATCAGCTTCTGCTGAAACTGATGTTCCTGAAGAAGTTCATGATTTTGTTTCACAAAGAAGACGTTGGTTAAATGGTTCTTTTTTTGCAGCTATTTATTCACTTGTTCATTTCCACAAATTGTTCTTTAGTTCACATGGATTTGGTAGAAAATTTGTCTTGATGATTGAATTCTTTTACCAATTTTTATCTTTGTTAATTTCATGGTTCTCTCTGGCTTCTTTCTTTTTGGTTTTCAGAATTTTAACCACAAGTTTGGGTGATTTATATAAGCCATGCAAATATTTATCAGTGGTTTTCTTATGGCTTTACCTTTTATCAGTGGTTACTACTTTTGTTTTATCGTTTGGTAATACCCCTAAAGGTACACCCAAGTTTTATTTGGTCATTATTATTTTCTTTGCAGTTCTTATGGCATACATGATTGCTGCTGCTATTGTGATGTCTGTTAATGCTATTCAAGAAGTTGTAAAAGAGGGTCCTATAACGGCTAAAGTTGTCTTTCAAAATCAGACATTTAGAGATTTGATTATTTCAACTCTTTCAACTTATGCCTTATACTTTTTAGCTTCATTTCTTCATTTGAAACCTATGCATATGTTTACATCATTTGTTCAATATTTGCTATTAAGTCCTTCTTACGTTAATGTTTTGAATATTTATGCCTTTTGTAACTTACATGATATCAGTTGGGGTACCAAAGGTGCAACAGCTGCAGCTTTGGGTGATGCTAAAATCACTGAAGATGGTAAAGTCCAATATATTGATGCTCCAATAACAACATTTGAAATCAATAACTTGTATGAAAAGCAAATGGATATTTTAGCTCATGTTGCTAAACCTAAACCACCCGTGACAGAAGAATCAATTAAGAGAGAAGAACAACAACGCAAAGATAAAGAAGAAGAGCATCAAAAAGATTATTATGCTTTCATTAGATCAATGGTCGTTTTGATATGGATCACCACAAATTTCATTATCATTGCAGTGGTGTTAGAAACTGGTGGTGTCAACCAATTACAAGGTACTGAAGAGACAAATGCCACTGATCAAAAATCCGATAGGTCAAGAATCTTTTTATCCGTGATTTTATGGATTGTTGCATTTATGGCTGCTTTCAGATTATTTGGTACAACATATTATTTAATTTCCAGGATGGTTAGATAGTTTTAAAAGACATTATATGTGATTTTGTGGTTAGATATACACAGTAGAGAATGTAATAACTATTCCCATGAGATGCTCAGCTAATTACTACTATCAAAGCAACCAGTACTGCTTTAAATATGTTGATTTATAACAACACGAGTGCCTACTACCCAGTTGATAAACTCTGCAGTTTATCTTTCAATAATTAATAAAAGACTTAATACGCGTAAACGCGTAATTAAGACCTAGTGATATGATTATGTAATAGTCACCCGATCATCCATATGATATGAATATTCGAGATCACGGACTCGTTTACCTAATTGATCTAAATAGCGACGTCGCATGGTCCATAATTTCGAAGTTAGTTTTATTGTATATCTTCAACAAGAGAAGACGTATATTTAAATCCCAAAATGAGAGTGGTACTACAAAAGGTCAAGACAGCATCAGTGACAGTTGATTCTCAAGTGGTTTCATCGTATGTCTTTATGAGCTTCAGTTGTAGTGATTTGGCCTTTACTGACATATCATTCTAGAATTCAAAGAGGGTTAGTTTTATTGGTTGGTATTTCAACCACTGATACAGAGAAAGAAATAGAAAGACTATCCTCCAAAATCTTGAAGCTTCGACTTTTTGAAGATGATGGTGGCTACGGATGGAAAAAAAATGTCCAGGAAGCTGATGGTAAGATATTATCTAGTATGTGCTGATTTTTCTTTTTGTTTCCAACGAACAAAAACTAACTTTGAAATTAGTATCACAATTTACTTTGATGGCAAGAACTAGCAAAGGTTCCAAACCAGACTTCCACCAAGCAGCCAAAGGTAAGTTCTAATTATTAAAAGCTATATGAAAGTGAACTAATACTAAATTTTTTTTTCTTAGGAGCTGATGCAAAAGTCTTATACGATCTTTTCTTATTAAAATTGAGAGCTGTAATGGGCGAAGATAACGTTAAGGATGGTGTTTTTGGTGCTATGATGGATGTGGCATTAGTTAATGAAGGCCCTGTCACTTTGACTTTGGATACAGATAACTTGAAATAAATCATAGTAAAATAACACTTTAGACGTCATAAAAAATCACTCACAGAATCTTAAATATGATTTGAACAGATAGATATAACTTATATATATATATGATCGATGTAATAGATAGTTTGATAGTTGAATTTGTTGCCAATTATGTCTTGAATATATATAGCTGTTTAATAAACGAAGAGGCCTCATAATAAAAAATTTCTACCACTATATATGATCAATTATGAATATCGTTGATCATGATCATATATCAATGATCGTAATATTATATATAATATATATATATTTATAATATATAAAATTCTATATTATACATGTTCAATTAATTAATTGAATATTCATGATATATGGACAACGCCTAGTCAATATATATATATTAAACAGCTAGATTAATTTACATATACTAGTTCTATTAATTATAATTATCAATCCAGGGATCAGGAATCAGGATCGACGTGTATAGCGGCTTAATATATTTCCATGCAGTTAGTCGATCTAAGTATATACAGGTTATATATTAGCTCGATCGACCGGCTCGTATCTCCAGCGTACTCGAATCCCACTGAGATCTTCTAATAGATACATCGTACTAGCTGATATCTAAAACAAAATCTGAACAATTTTGCATTATTTCACCTCATTTCAAGTGTTTCAGCTTTCGTATTCTGATAGCCTGAGCATTTCCGCTTTCTTTTGAAGATTGTGTGAGTTAGCCGGAATCAACTTGCATGCTTTCGTTACTTTTTGTATGTGATAGAATCTCTGGCAAAATGCAAGATCCCTATTGTTTACTCCGAAAACGATAATAAGTTTAAATTGTATTTCCGAATTCGTCAAAACCGAAATGCATCAATAAATACAAACTGTTGAAGAGAGATTCGATACCTGATTTATGGCATACTCAAGCTGTACGAAGAAAATATTTTTGCAAATGTTGTAACTATGAGACTCTTATATACCAAACCTCAAAAACATAGAGCTTGTTTATAATGAAATGATTTCCATAAGTATATCTTTAAATATAAGTATGTAGAAGGCGGAATCTTTAACATCTCGATTGTCGATCAACCATATATTCAATAGATTAATTAAATCAAAAACTTGAAATAAGATCTAGAATATGCACAGTATGGTGTCTCATTTCAAAACCAGTGCGTTTAAGATCCTGCTTTTAATTCAACTTTTGTCTATTGTGGTATCAAGTCAAAGTATCACAGCATCAACATCATCAACAATTTCTGCCTTTTCAACAGATGCGGTTGCTTCAAGAACACTTTATTATTATTCAACGACCACCTCCGGGAAATATAAAGTCACATATGCTTCAATGAGAGTCAATAAAGAAACTGGAACCTGTGTCAGTTGTTATACTTCAACATTCAAACAGTCATCATCTTCAACTCTAGACTCATCTTCAAGTATTACGGCCTCTACATTATCAAGCTCTGTTACATTTTCAAAATCATCCAGTCTACCAGCTTCAACATCAAGCTCGTCAGTTTTGCTTCAATCTTCATCATCTGTTCCAAGCTCAGAAGTAGAGTCAATTGTCTCATCTTCAACTACTTCAAGCTTTTCCGTGTTTTCAACGGATAGAGTTAACTCAAAGACACTTTATTATTATTCATCAACCACTTCTGGTGCTTTCAAAGTTTTGAATGCTTATTTAAGGGTTAATCAAGGAACTGCAACATGTGTGAGTTGCCATACTTATACGCCTAGTCAATCCCTGACCTCGTCATCTATGCTCATTACATCTTCGAGCGTCATTATATCAGACAGTTCTTCAGAAAGATCGTCAGCTTTAGATAGTTCAATGTCGAGCTCTTCAGAATCATTATCAGTGTCACAATCATCAATATTACCTTCAGAATCAATAGGAACATCTTCCGGAATGCTATCCTCATTAACATCAGTTTCTTCATCAGAAAACTCATCAGATGGTTTATCATCGTTATCATCGGTTTACTCATCGGTATTATCGTCAAAGTCATCTGAAATATCATCATATATCCCTCCAGTATTATCATCAGTGTCATCACTTGAAGTATCTCAAATATCCTCAGATGTCACATTCTCCTCAGAAGCCCCATCCGCTTTATTATCAATATCATCATCAACATCACTACCAGAATTATCAACAAGCTTACCATCAGAGCCAAAATCAATGTCGACATCAATGTCATCATCAATGTCATCATTTATATCATCTCTAACAAGTGATTCATCATCATCTTCTTCTTCACCATCATCATCATCATTAATTGTTAGTTCATTACAAACTTCTTCAGCTAGTGATTTACCATATAGCTCATCACAATCTTCATCATCAAATAAATCACCATCATCAAAATCTAGCTCATCGGATATTTCTTCAGTTAGTGAATCATCATACGCCGCATCAGAATCTGGTTCATCTAGTGTATCAGCATTGTCTTCAACAAGTGAATCATTATTCAGCTCATCAGAACCCGGTTCATCTAGTGAACCATTATCCAGTTCATTAGTATCTGGTTCATCTAGTATATCAATATTGTCTTCAGCAAGTGAATCATTATCCAGTTCGTTTGGGATTTCTTCATCTAGTGACACATCTTCATCATTAAGTTCTAGTGTATCTGAGATTACTTCAGTTGGTGCATCATTATCCAGCTCATCAGGACCCGGTTCATCTAGTGAACCATTATCCAGTTCATCAGTATCTGGTTCATCTAGTGTATCAGGATTGTTTTCAGCAAGTGAATCATTATCTAGTTCGTCAGACCTTGTTTCATCTAGTGACACATCTTCATCATTAAGTTCTAGTGTATCTGATATTGCTTCAGCTGGTGCATCATTATCCAGTTCATCAGAATTTGGTTTATCAAGTGGCACATCTTCATCATCAATGTCTAGTGCATCCGAAATTTCTTCAGTCAGTGAAACATCATCCAGTTCATCAGAAAATGCTTCATCTAGTTATTCATTGTCATCACTAGTATCTAGTTCATCAGATACTTCTTCAGTGGGTACATCATCTAGCCTATCAGAATATCCTTCATCTAGTGAATCATTCTCATCGTCATCTAGCTCAACAGAGACTGCCACATCTAGTCAATCGACATCATTATTTTCTAGCTCGTCAGAGTCTTCTTTAGCTAGTGAATCTTCAGCATCTACATCATCATCATCATCATCATCATCATCATCATCATCATCAATGTCTAGTTCATCAGCAGTTAAAGAAAGCTTAAGTTCATCACTTTACATATCTAGCAGTGACCGCTCTTCATTTGTTCCATCAACACATTTAAGTGATATCCCATCGTCGACATTTTCATCAAGCCATCCCTTCAGTTCCATGGTTTCTAGTTTATCTATATTGAGCTCTTCTGACAACCTTTCAAGTTCTATCATTACACGCCCAGATACATCATCATATTCTTCGTTGTCAGGTAGGCCATCATCATCTTCTGTGTCGTTAGTATTGTCAGACCTTTCATCAGCCAGCAGTAAATTATCAACAGCGTTGAGTTCTTCCAGTGCATCTAGTGGGGAAAGTACAATTGAAACAGGATCTTCAGTTTATTCATTCTCATCACAAAGCCAAAGCTCAAATACGGTTTCAAGTTCATCACTTTCTTCTGTTAATTCGTTGAGCTCCATAGGTTTGCTATCATCATCAGGGTTTTCTACCACGACTGCGTCATTTGATGCAGGACTCTCTTCATCATTTAGCAAGTCAAGTTCAGATTCGGACTATAGAAGCAGTTCTTCATTTGTTCATATTTCTAGTGGTTCCAATGCGCAATCTGAAAGTGAGGGTCCTGCTTTTGAAAATAGTCACTCAAGCTCAATCAGTTCTTCTTCCCTTTCGGTCTCATGGTGGACTAGTTCTGGAGGAGCAATGAGTTCATCGTTGTACTCAAACTGGACATTTAGTCCTGTTCAAAATAGCATTTCAAGCTCTTTTTTACCCATTGAAACAACATATGAAAGTAGTGCTTATATGACATCCAGTTTCACCAGTGCGCGCTTTATATCAGCTTCATCAACAACAACTGCTCATTCAATTTCGATATCATCATCATCACCATCATCATCTTCTTATTTGTCACAATCTGAAGCGGAAAGCTCAATGTCAGAAGAACAACCATATTCAAGTGAAAGTAGCAGCATTAGCTCATATAGTTACAATCAACCTTCCAGCTCAAAACTCTCAGAATGGTCAATATCAGATATTTCTAGTTCTTCATTTGTCCCAAGCAGTTACAGAGAAATATCAAGCTCTCTCTCCTCAAGTAGCATGATCCAAACGCCTGAATCACATTTCAGTCAGTCCCTTGCTTCCTATTCCAGCTCAGAGAAGGTTTCTGAAATTTCATTCACACAAATATCAAGTTCATCAAGTTATTTTTCATCCCAGGTATCACAAAATTCAGAATCAGAAGAGGGTTTGACATCCGTAAGTTCATCGACCTCATCAATTCCATTTAGTATAACAAATTCTGAAAATGTGATTTCTTCCATCTCTCCATCAAGTTATTCAAGTTCATCAAGTTTATTGGGTTCATTAAGCTCATCAAGTTATGCTGTTACCAGCTCAAGTTCAAGAATTACCTTCGCAAGCTCTTATTCTTATCAGGAAACATCTTCCAGCTCCTTTGACTTTATAGATAGCACATCAACACTCACATCAGCCAGCTATATTTATCCAGATACAAGTTTATCTACTTTGGAAACAATAAACATAAGTGAAGAGGTTTCGAAATCAACAGCAAGCTCATCTATAACTGATATATGGACCTCCACATTATCTTCAGCTTCAACTGAACAATCAAATTCATACAGCTCATCATCGGGATCCAACACATTGATAACATCTTTGGCTCCTGAATCTTCCATAATTAGCAGTGCAATCTCCACGACAAGCTCAAAATATTCATCTGTTTTTATTCCTACAAGCTCTTCAAGAACCACATCTGGTACTAGTTTATCCATAACGACATCCAGCCAAGAACCAGTTTCGCCTTCAATTTCAGCATCAGAAGATAAGGAAAATCTTTCTTCCTCATCTAGTCTAACAAGCCAATCATCACCATATTTTTCATCTTTCTCCTCGTCATCATCAATCTCCCTATCAAAATCACTAATAGATGTTTCAAGTTCAGAACACCTGCCATCATTTTCCACCATTTCTTTCTTTTCCACAGTTTCTTCCTCATCAATGTTTGGATCAGTTGCTTCATCATCAAAATTTGTCTCCACCATCCCTTCAGAAGATACTATGAGTTCATCAGCTCCTTTTGATCCATCAATCTCAGTCTCAACATTTGAGTCAGCTTCACACACTACAGAATCACTTTCAAATCACACTGCTCTACCTCCGTCATCTCCATCCTTATTAAGTATGATTTCAAAACGTACATCATTATCATCATCAGCATCAGACGAAGGGGTCCATGCATCTTCATCATCACCATCATCATCATCGTCAACTATGGATGTTGAAATATCCCCACCAGCTTCATCTTTGGTTATTTCTTCAGAATTTAGCAGTCTTCAAAGTTCAACTAAAGCTTCAATTACTCTAATTACTCTCTCTTCATCAACAAAATCAACAAAATCAAGTTACTTTTCATCAGCAATTCAACCACTTGAAACGTTGACAACAGATAGATCACATAGTGCTTCAACACTCCATAGCTCCAATTCTTGGTTATCAGCTCCACTTTCTCAAATTTCGAATGTTTTTACATCACAGTCGAGCTCATCTGATTCAAGTGTTATATTGACCACAGCTCCAGGTTCAATGGTTTCAGGTATATCATCATACAAAAATTCGAGACCATCAATAACTCCAATAGTCCTAAGTATTGAATCATCCAGTATTGATTCATTACCACAAAACACACACACACAGACATCTGACCAGCCTTCTTCATCCCCATCATTAGAATCAAGCCAAAGAAGCACACAACCAAACGTTCAATCTATTACAGAAACATCACATTCTTCAGAACTTTCAGCATCAACAATACCATCAAAGACATCAACCTTTTCAGATGAACTCATCTCAACAAGTGTGTCAACTTCTTCAAACACCAATAGCACTTCTTATTCTTCTACAGCAGTTACTGATTCTTTCTTTTCAAGTGATAAAGAACAAAGACCAACAACAACAATTGATGCTAGACAGTCATTCAGCTCGAATGTCAGCTTTATCTCAAACACTGGTACACAAATATTGTCAGCTTCTGAAACTACCAAAAGTGATAATGAGCTTTCAACATCTTTGTCACAATATCATGATCAAAGTTCGTCATTATCTTTTACCCCAGCTCAATCATCTTCTACTCTAATGAGTTTAAGTCCTGAAAGATCAGCTTCCAGTTACTCAAGTAATGGTACAATGATTGATTCTTCACTTACTTCCATAGATAGTTCACAAACTGGGACTTCAACTTTAAGTGAAAATGTGCACATTCAACAAAGGTCAAGTTCACAATTTTTAACAGCCCTAAGTTCAGATGATCATTCTTCCACTTCCACCACAGATCAACCAGCAACAAAAACAAATACCATATCATCTGACAGTTCATACTCAAGATCTTCAACAGAAATTTATCTGAATGACGGTAATTCAAACGAAAGCTCAATTAGTAGTGTGTCATCTGGTCAATCAACAAAAAGCTTTTCCATCCCAACCAGCTCAACAGCAAACAAACATAGTTCATATAGAAGTATAGTGAGCCCAACTTCAACATCATATGTCATGAACTATTCAAATACCACCACTTTAGAAGCTGTTTCTGCTTATGAAGCTTCTGCTAACAAAATATTTTCATTCAATTTCGTTGGTCTTATTTCATTCACCTTTTTGTTTTTCATTTGATTTCTTTCCTTCAATATTTCATTCCTCTTGATGAATCATAATAATATATTATACTTCATTATATTATTTTTTACTAATTATTTTATACCCATTCACTTTGGCCACAGATCTCTTCAAGTACTTCAGTTGGTTTAAACTTTTCCCCTTTCATACAAGGTATATATATACAAATAGACACTTCCTATAATGATCTTAATCAAACGTGTAGGTTTATGAAAAGCTCCAATTGCCTAAAGAATTTTTACCTGTATGTTTTGATTCATCCCCAGTTTATTATTATTTGTTGTCAAGTTAATTATCAACAAACATTATCTGGCTTCTTCGACGACAATAAAATCTAAATGTTCTAGAAAAATGCATCGGCCCGCGGAACCGTTAGGATTACCCTGTGCAAAATTTTTCATTTTTTTTTTTTTTAAAAAAATTTCTTTTCATATGGAGAAAATTATTATGTACGTGAAAAAAAAATTTATAACTGTCTTACTACCTTTTACTTTATTTTTTCTCATAAAGTATAACATTAAGTTAATTCACATATACATTATAGATCACAATGGGTAAACCAACAAAGGAAGTTAAAGATAAGAAAGGTACCAAGAAGGTTGCTGACTCAAAATCAAAGGTTTCAAAACCAAAGAAAGAATCAAAGAAAGATGCTAAAAAAGCTGAAGCTGCTTTAAAAGAAGCTGAAGCTAAGAGAATTGCTGAAGAAGAAGCTAAAAAGAAAGAAGAATCAAGTGATTCAGACTCATCATCAGATTCAGACTCATCATCAGATTCAGATTCATCATCAGATTCAGACTCATCATCAGACTCAGACTCATCAGATTCAGACTCAGATTCAGATGAAGAAGTTAAAGACGCTGAAGAACCAAAGAAAGAAGCCAAAAAAGAAGAATCAAGTGATTCAGACTCATCATCAGATTCAGACTCAGATTCAGACTCATCAGATGATGAAGAACCAAAGAAAGAAGCTAAAAAAGAAGAATCATCAGATTCCGATTCATCAGATTCAGACTCAGACTCAGACTCTTCAGATGATGAAGAAGAAAAGAAAGAAACCAAAAAAGAATCAAGTGATTCAGACTCTTCTGATTCCGATTCATCATCTTCATCAGATTCAGATTCTTCAGACTCAGACTCAGACTCATCAGATGAAGAAGAAGAAAAGAAAGAAGTTGAAGAACCATCAAAGAAACGTAAAGTTGAAGAGGAAGCTGCTCCAGCTAAAAAACAAAAAGTTGATGAAGAACCAGCTACTTTATTCGTTGGTAGATTATCATGGAGTATTGATGATGAATGGTTAAAACGTGAATTTGAACCATTAGGTGGTGTTATTAGTGCTAGAGTTATTTTCGAAAGAGCTACTGGTAAATCAAGAGGTTACGGTTACGTTGATTTCGATAGTAAAAGTGCTGCTGAAAAAGCTTTGAAAGAATATCAAGGTCGTGAAATTGATGGTAGACCAATCAACTTAGATATGTCAACTGGTAAACCACATGCTTCAAACAACAGATCAAATGACAGAGCTTCAAAATTCGGTGATACTCCATCAGCTCCATCTGATACTTTATTCTTAGGTAACTTATCATTCAATGCTAACAGAGATAACTTATCAGAAGTCTTCTCTGAATATGGTTCAATTGTTTCAGTTAGAATCCCAACTCATCCAGATACCGAACAACCAAAAGGTTTCGGTTATGTTCAATATGGTTCAGTTGATGAAGCTAAAGCTGCTCTTGAAGCCTTAAATGGTGAATACATTGAAGGTAGACCAGTTCGTTTAGATTTCTCAGCTCCAAGAGACAACAGTAACAGATCATTTGGTGGTGATAGAAAATCATTCGGTGGTGACAGAAAATCATTTGGTGGTAGAGAAAGAAAATCATTCACTCCAACTGGTGCTAACAGTTCTTCAGTTTCTGAATTCAAAGGTACCAAAAAAACTTTTGATTAATTTCATTAGTTTGCATCAGATGAGTAAAGAAAAAAATAAACTAAACATAAAATATTGGGTTGTTTTTAAAACGTTTTAAGCATTTCACATTGTATTCTATACTATAAAGTTTTTCTATTCCTAAAATTGTTTCTCTTTTATTATTATTTTTTCATTTTGGTTATACTATGTGTTTCTTTAAAAGTCTTTGTTTTAAGCTTTGACATATGTTGAGGCATGTATATATTATACAGTGATGAAATTTGTTTTTATTTTAATTAATATATATTGCATTTGAGTTTGTTACAATATACCGTGTAGCAGTTTGGTGATATATGATTGCGCTTGGAATCTGGATCATATAAATATTATAGCTTCCTACGTTAAACCCAATATTTATACGTACGTTTTAGACTGTATAGAGTTAATCAAGCCTATTTTTCCGCCTAGCTAACGGCTGCCCAGCCCGCTACTTAGATACAAGATAAGAAATGCCACAGATCAATAAAATCAAGCTTCTTTATTGAAATTAAATTATCGAAACTGTATCTTTAAATATATGGTTCTGACATATAGTATAGGCTCATAATGTTCAGCTAGTGAACTTGTTCATAACTTATCGATCTTTCAATTGTATAAAGATCGCTCTCCGTTTGATTCTAGAATTTAGCTGCACTCTTCGGGAAAAAGAAATCTCTTGAAACAATTATAAAGAATTATGAACCAAGAGTTCAGATCGTTTGGGCCCAGACAACCTTAAGTGACAATATCGCTACGCTCATCGAACAATAGAACGATTAAGATCTTCCAATGGTGGTGCCACTGGAAATACGTTATCTTCGTGTCGGCTTCTGGCCAACATACAGTTTGTTTATTCGTCAGTTGTAGTCCTTCATTTGCATATAACCTTTCACAACTCGTGCACCAAAATATACTAAAATTGAAAATTAACTCTAGGGGGAATGAGAAACCAAAAATCCAAATCCGTGGAGGGATAGCCAGCCGGGTAGTACTGTTACAGCGCCGCGAACGGTTCACACAACATGTCTGCCTTGATATTTTAGCGCTAGAAACCAGGAAATGGGCAGAGAAGTTGTGTATGTTGAAAAACGAGTTTGGGGTTTAAATAAAAAAAAGCTTATCAACCACGCCAATAAGTTCATAATACAGCACTGCAAAAGCCCATAAACAGATCAAATCTGGACTTCATATTCCCAGAGACACATACCTTCAATACAACACATCAACACAGACACTAAAGTATTCCAAAGCTAGCTCAAATAGCGCTCAGCCACACAGTGTTCTACGGGTATTCCAACTTCATTCTTTTCATCAACTCCCGTATATTTATTAAGCCAATCTATAAAAGAGAAAGGGCATTAATTATAGCTTTTCAGCAGCTATCAATAAATTACAGTGCTTATTTCATTATTAGCTAGAACCATTTCCTGTTTTGGAAAGTTAATTTTATCTGTTAACATATTGGAAAAGGGTCAATCTTGAAGAATAGTCTATCATCTGAAAAGGTCATTAGTAATAGTCAAAATACAGATAATATCATTGAAGAAAGATATCACAATGAGGCGCGCAGTGCAACGCTTCCTGCCCTCAAGAACTCAAAGTTCAGGCTCTACAACTTCTATCAAAAAGGCGTTGAAATTTGATAGTATAAATTTGATACAAGATTTTTATATAGACCTTGATGAACCACACAAAATATTCAAACCTGGTGAAAATATCAAGGGTACTATAATATTGGATTTAAAGAGAAACATAACAGATATAAACATTACAATGACTCTGGTGGGGTTCATAAAAGTCAAACAAACAAATAACACTGCAGCGGTTAGAAGTAAACCAACATTATTATTTAGAAATACCACTGTAATATATGGGGAAGAATCAAATAAAGAAAATGAATATAGTGGTGAACAGTCACAAGAAAATATAGAGTTACCTTTATCAGGCTTAACAAAAGGTGAACATAGATTTCCATTCTCTATAAGACTACCCAGAAGAAATATTTATACATCAATCACTTTTGAAAAAGGTTCAATATCATACTCTTTAAGAGGTTCAATAAATCACACAAGACTACAATCACCAACCACATCTTTGACATCATCCCCAGCATCTTTACAATCACAATCTCCAAATAGTCTAATACCAACAACTAAAAATTCAATACAACATTGTGACAAGAATTTACAAATAATAGTACCCATTAATGTGGCAAAAATACCCAAACCTTCAACTAAAGTTGCCGTTTTGAAAATATCAGATAAAGCTTTGAAGAAGACAGTTTCTTCAACTTCAACAGTTAATTCAAATACCACTCAATTTACAGTGGCTAGTGATAATAGTATTGAATCTTTGAACAACAACAACAATAATGATAATAACAGTAATAATAATACATCACAACCAAGTAATCCAATACCAGGTCAGCAAGGTGCCAAATTATATGTTGATTTACCAGAATCAGGTTATCTACGAGGTGAAACAGTTCCTTTGAAGATTAGAGTTCAACATTACAAACCAATTCAGTCATCTGCTGGTGTCATTGTGACTTTGATTAGAATATGTAGGGTTGATAATGGCCCTGAAGCTCCAATTCAATCTTTTAGAAAAGATCTGTCACAAACCATTGCACCACTTTATATTGATCCAGCATCACTGACTGCAGATATCAGTACATCATTAAAAGTACCATTGGAATCGTTCCCTACTATAGTTGGATCTGGATTAGTTACATTTCAGTATTATGTTGAAGTTTTAGTTAATATTTCAAGTAAAAATTTGATTACAAATAACGGGACCAGTTCAACATGTTCCAAAAGTTCCAAAACTAAATTTTCACATAGTTTAGTTTTCAATACTGAAGATCCTCAAGAAATGGAAATGTCTAGGTCAGAAACTGGTGTTCTGAATGTTGACAGATTGAAAAGAATTAAAAATTTCCTGGGCTTAAATACTGAAATCATTATAGGTACTGAAAGATCTCATAAAAATGGTTCATTGGGTAAGAAAACAGTTGTTGGAAATGCACTTCATCATAACAATGGTCATATTAATAATTCAAGCTCTACAAATAGTCTATATCGTGAGGATAGTCAAAATGGTGATAGCCCAATCATTATGGATTCTGACAATTCAATAATTGAAGGATTTTCTCAAACTTCAATTAGTCCTTTGAGTATTAATGGTACATCAAATGGTGTTGTTTCTAATGGTAATCAAACAAATGGTAATACAAGTGTTGTGTCAACAGGTGAAGAAATTCCAATACCTGAAGAAGATCCTCACTTATCAGAGAAGGAAATATTAAGAATTAGAGAAGCTGCCCTGTTACCATCAGAGCCAATTATTAATGATGATGACACACCAGCACCAAGTTATTCACTAAACTCCTCAGATCTTCCACCACTCCCTGAATCCAACACATCAATAACAGCTGATCATAGTGTAACTTTGAACGGCATTGCACCAGCTGTAACAAGTACTTCAAACTCAACATACACAAATCAGTCAACAGATAAAGCTGAATTGGAAAGAAGAAGATTACAAGAACTGGAAAGTGAACCACCTGAATTTGATTATGTTCCAGAATATAATCCTGCTGGACAGGATAGGTTAGTTCATGTTAGTACTCAAGAAAGTGAAAATGGCACACTTCGACCAAGTTCTCCATGATGTTTGTGTATTCATACAGATGTTCAGGCACACTGGTACCATAAGGTAATTGGGGTTCACGTTTGATGATATTTTATTTTATTTGGTTGTTTCAACAAGTTGTGGTTCATAATATATTAGATAAATTTTTGCTTGCTTTTTGGGTTTTATTAATTTTAAGGTGTTAAGTTGTTTGTTTTTTTCACTCGTTGTGTGCCCAGTGGGATTGTGGCTAGATATACTATCGAGATAATCATTAAATATGTATAATTGTATTTATATGTACTTGTATTTTTGACTTAATTAATTTGTACTTCTATTCGTGAATACACTTAAAATTGAAAAAGTCTGTCAAAATCCCGCGTGCATTTTAAAAAAGGTGTCCGGGTGTTATAAATATTAACAAAAAATTAAATATACTCTTACTCTGTAATACAGCTATAACTAGAAGTTTATAGCCCAACAAGACCTAAACTATTGCAACACCCTTCATTTCACCAGTTCATAAAAATGGCTACTACTATAGATAGAAGAAGACTTTTAGGCCCAGCTAACGCTAAACCATTAGTTTTTGCTCCCCTACCAGAAGAGTATCAACAAAAACTACAAATTGATGCATCAAAAGAAGATGATATCGAATCACAAATCACAAGAACATTCATCAAATCAGGGCTTATAACAAACGCTAATGGCTCATCATTTTTAGAATTGGATGGGAATATTGTATCTATATCAGTTTATGGACCAAGACCAATTAGAGGTTCATTCGTGGAAAAGACAACATTGAGTGTTAACTTGGAAGATAATACTGGTTTATTTAATGATTTGCTAAACAAAAAATTTTGTCAATATATCGAAAACAATTTCCTCAGTGTGATAAATTTATCCAAATATCCAAAATCAGGTATTGATATTTTCATAAATATTATTTCAGTTCAAGATATTGATCAACTATATTTAAAGTTATTAAGTCTAGTTTCAGATGCAACTACTTTGGCTATCATCGACGCTGGTATTGAAATTATAGATTTAGTTGTTTCAAGTTTCGATTATGAAAATAATACAGTTTTAAGTTATATTAAAAATGACGAGATTGTGGGGATCTTAGGTGAGTCTGAAGATTCCATAGAGAATTTATCCAAAATTATTGAAAAGACTCAAAAGAAATCAATACATGTAAAGAATGCATTGACAACTCACTTGATAAGTACAAGTCAATAAATAATTTTAATAGATGTTTCATTTTTTTTAAACACTATTTATAAGCTATATATGTATTCAGTAGCAAGAATATTAAGATCAAAGATCACTATTCAATTCATCAAGAATTCTTTTAGACTTTTTGATTCTCTCTGCAATGTTTGAAACTGTTTTCAATTTCAAAACAAAATCTGGTGCAATATCAATATTGGTAGAATCTGAAGCCAATTGACTGATTAATCCAGGACTAGTATTTTTGAAGTTCAATGGTTCAGTAATACTCTTTATAGATGGTTCCACTCTTTGAATCAAATTAAAAAGAGATTCAGTAAAATTAGAGGAATTAACATTAAGTGGAGGAACAACAATTTCAAAAGGTTGTGATATGGCTAAAACTGAATGTGATGAACTTGCATGATATCTCAATTCATAAACACCTTTCTCAAAACTTAACAAGTTACCAGAAAATTGCACAGCACCTAAAAGTGACTCTTTATCAATTTCTGAACCTTCACTTATAATACCAACTGGTCTATCATAACCTTCTTTGTTGATTGCAACCCATCTCCCAGAGCTTGGGATTGATGTCTTCTTTCTTGAGCTTCCAGAGCTAATGACATTGTATAGACCAATCCAATCTTTCTTTGAATGATATTTTGGTGCTCTCCACGTAACTTCAAGTGGCTTACCAACTTCAATTGTGGAATCTATATCAAGGTTTGTAATTTCAACTTTATAATCTGAAGTCAAAGATGGATGTTGCTGTTGTTGAATAATAGGTCTTAAAGCGTTTCTGTGACTGACAGATTCAGATTGTGATCTCTTCTTCTTTAAATAGTCATCAAATTTGTTGAAAGTTCTGTTGTAAAGTGAATCTATAGTGTTATTTACTCGTTCAGGCATCATTTGTTTAATAGTTAACGAGACACCAGAAACGTTTTTCAAAACTTGCTGTTCACCATAAACTTTGATCATATGAGGTTTCTCAACAAAAGTGATGAACAAAGTAACATGTGCAGTCCATAACATAGCTAAAATAAACACCAAAGGTGAATATGTGATTAAAGTCAGACCCCAAATACCACTTATACCCAATAATCTTTCAGGATCGTTTAAATATCTATAAATACCAGAGTTTGTCAAGTTTCTATTTGATAATTTAGGTAAGAAGAAATCACCATAAAACCAACCAAATGTTCCAATAGATTGGAAAATTGAGCGACTAGTCCAAATTTGTAGAAGAACTAATAATCCACCCAAAATGAATCTCAATAATAACCAAGTTCCTTGATAATGTTGACCATTTAAAATTTCACGAGCTGCAACACCAAATAATGAACTATAAGATAGCACTAATGATAAATTGTATACTGATTGCCAATTTGAAAAAGCAGCAACGTTATCTAAACCATGTTTCAAGTATAACTTAGTCCACCATTTATTTACACTTTGTTTGTGTAAAATGAATCCCATACCAAAAGATTGTGTAAGCTTTATTACAAGAGCACCAATAAAGAAAATTCGAGTCCATAGTTCATCAAAAGTGTGAATGGTCAATGGAGCAACTATTGTATAAGCAGCAGCTAAGATGGTTAAATAATCAGTAATTCTAATAGGATTGAAATTTCCAAATACAATCAATGGTTTTAAATAAGATTCATGAGATTCTAATTCACCAATAGTATCATCAAATGATTCTGATCCATAAATCTTATCCATATGAGGATTTTCAACATATGTCAAGAACACAAATTGCAAAAAATGTGCAGCTAGAGAAACAATCAAGATTAAATATGATTTGGTAATTAATGCAAACCCATAATAACCAAGATACCCAATTGAATACATTGGATGTGGAGCTAAATTATAAGAGCCAGTGAAAACCAATTCTGCTTCTTCAAGGAAAAAGAAATCACCCCAGTACCAAGCAAAATCTTTAACAACTTTATGAGCATCTAATTTAACCCACAAGTTAAAACCGACTAATAATGATCCTAAAATTAATCTGGTGCTATTCAAGAATGTGCTTTGAGATAACCAATTATCAGTACCAGCGGTATAAACTAAAAACATATAAGTTGTAAAATCTTGCATCAAAACCAAATCAACAAATTGTCTAAATAGTAACCAAGTATTAAATTCATCTGGAAAAGCTTCAATATCATATGATTTACCCATTTTGGATTTTAATTCTAATTGAGCCAATTTCTGCAATAAAGTTTTGGAGTTTGTTGAAGATTTGAAAAGTCCATGATCTTTAGCAAATTTCGTTAATGAAGTATAATTGGATTGATAATATAACACAACCCCAATACCAAAGTTGTAAGCCAATCTCCAGAAAGTATAAAGAGCAACGAACCCATAGATCCTGTTTTCTTTAGTGTCTAACCATCTATAAATCAGAAAATTTGAAGCAAGACATAAACCAATAATGATTTCAGCATATGATTTCCTTAAAGTTGGATCAAACAATGATCTTACCATATCATGGGTCTCTGGGACCTCAAAAGTTTCACCATCCGGAGTTTTACCAATTGGTCTTGATGATTTATTAAACTCCTTATCTTTATTAGATGAAGTTAATTGAACTGATTCTGCTGATGATGTATCAACAGCTAATTGATCATTTGACTTATGTGAGCTGACTTTCTCATGTAAGTTAATAGTAGTAGGCTCTACCATTTTGCGTAAGCACCTCTTATATTTAAAATCTAGCCAAATTATCTTTGAGAGCACTAAAATTTTAAGACAATAGAAGCGTTGAAGCAATCTTCCGGGGCAGCAAGATATCTATAACTATACTTTGTAAACTTGGTGTAATCTGTTGAGGAAACCCAAAGTAAATCAAAATAGTTTGAACAAATATTTGTATGTCTATGTAATAATTAAAAGTAAGAAAGTGGTCGTTTGATCAAAATTGTCGAATTTATTGTTGATGTTAATCCTTAGTACTTCTTGTGGTGCATTTGCATGTGATTCAGTTGAACAAATCACGGATAAGCGAACAGACGTAGCTAGAATATAGGCTGTATTATTTTGAGTGGTGCAATTCACAGCTTCAAGAATAATTGAAGACAATAGTATATATATGCTCTGATATGTTCAATACACTGTGGCCAATATACACAAAATTTCATGAAGTTGTGAGTTAAATCCCCTTTTCTTTAAGTTGTTCTCACTTGTCTTCTCAGCTTCCACCTTCCGAAAAATCCCCATCAAATTCACATGCAAAAAATGTGTCACTAAAAAATTCGCGCCACTGATCTTTTAAATAAAATCCGAGAAGTTGATTATGTCAGCCGATTGCTAGTTCGCGATTCGCGAATGCAGAAATTAAGGTGTTCTGTGTTAAACAAGGTTTGATAAGGAGCACGTTCTGAAGATCTTAAGTTGAAAGTATATAAAGATTAAAATCCCCTGAAATCTTCCTTTCTTCTACATTTCACTTTATAGATTTCCCATTGGATGATAAAGTAGTTATCATATTCTTTCAGATACACTCATATTATTTACACCATACTGCAGGGCATCAGAAAGGGACAACATTTTCGCGGGTAGTTGATTCAAAGGACAGATCTCAGAAATATGTTTCAACTTCTCCCATCCAATTTGCTTTCAAAAAAGGGGTCAAGATGGGAAAAAAATAAAGGACTGGTCCCTAGCAGGATCGAACTGCTGATCTTGGCGTTACAATTTCGGCATAGCTTCCAGCCTTATTATTAGCACCACGCCTTAACCAACTAGGCCAAGGGACCTTCTTCCTCCGACCAGGCCAACTTGCCTGATCTCTGAAATTATGTGTTTTATGGGTCTCCTCGATTTGTAGTCAAAATTTGCAATTTTCAGCAAAAATTTCGAATTTTCAGCTTATTCTATCACTTTTAGCTGTATTTTTAATTGCTTAATACGCTTCTGATTTTTCTAGATCTCACAGATCTGTTTGTTGCCGAAAATAGTAAGTTTTGTTGCATAAGATCTCGTAAAGTTCAAACAATTGGATCTCCGAAGCACTATTTTGGGCTTGATTCGAGATCTAGACGTTACTTTTTGTCAATTGAGGCCGCTCATATTATAATCTGCAGCAGGATATTAAATATTTATGATCTAATTGAGTTAATCGAAGGTGAGTATTAGTTTATCAAGCATGTAGGTTATGGTGTTTTAAGGTTGTAATATATAGCGGAAATTATCGAGCGTGAAGTAAATCGACAACCTATAACATCCCTGATCTACATTCATATTCATATTCATCAATCGCATTAGTATTGTACCAGTAACTGTATGACGTATTATAAAAGCATTGTAGGACAGGGAACAAGTCAAATACTTCATTAATCCATGGTATTAATCTTGATGTTGCTCTATTATTCATTATATAGTGATACGTGATACCCACAGGTACTACGTCAAGATCAATATCATATGCAATAATTTTATACATGCAATTTATACAGCATGAAAATATTCTTTATATACAACCCTGTTTATTGTTACAATCCGTAGATCTTCTCCTGGTGATCACTGTTATTATATTATAAAGCTTGATTACTTTATTATATATTATACATGATTAATTAGAGCTAGTATCGAACCGTATATAATTCCCCCAAGGTGCAGAAGTATTTAGGATCTGGCTTCGGATACAGAATAATATTGACGTAAGATATAAGATAAATGTTCATTCAAAAAAATATAATCATATATATAAAAAGTAGCTAATAGCTAAAGAATCTCCTAGATCTCTTTATAAATGTAGAGTAAAGGGGGTTTTATAGTAAAACAAATTGTAATTGAAAAAAATATAATAGCAAAAAAAGTAGTGTCCAGCAAGTGAAACAAGTGTCCTAAGTGAAAAATTGGTTTTCTGGATTCTTTTAATGAAAACATTCAAGACTAAGGGACTAATTATTGTTCAATGATTTAAAGCATTGTTAAAATTTATACTGTCTTGAGATGTTGCAATTGTATACCAGAATTGATAACTTTTTTCTTTAGTTTATGATATTAATATAAGTTCGATTTGGAAATGAAGATAAGGTTAAAAAGTGTCTTTGTAATAAATGAATCATTCAAAATTACTATATTGATCAACATGGACGGATTGGGATCTGATATTTTGATTTTGACCAACGAAAGTTTGTGGGATGAAAGACTGAACATTTCTGATGTTGCTCGTTCTATAACCGTAGTCCATAGCGCCAGTTGATAATGGTCCGTTTGTATTTTGAAATTGATTAAAGTTATTGTTATTGTTATTAAATTGTTGATTGGTGCTATAATTGTAATTTGGGTTGTTAAAATAAGAAGTGTCTTGCAAAGTTGGTTGTTTAGTGAATGTGCTATTGTTCAATGTACCTGGAGTTGGGATTGATTGACTGTTATTACTAATATTGAAGCCATTATTAGTATTATTACTTGTGAAGCTGTAGCTATCTGAAGAGGAATGGGTACTTGTTGCTGTTGCTGGTGATGCCATAGGTAAAATTTCATGATCATCATAACCCAATACATTTAAATAGTATTTGGTATCAAATATCACAGAATCATTAGATGTTGTGGTTGGGATATTCAAAAATCTTTCAAATCTAATGTATTCATTAGAATTATCACTCCATAAGGAAACAAATTGGGTCAAGAGTCTCATTATAAGCTCATTGTTTTCAATCTTTATTTTGAGACCATTGCCTGAATGAAAGACCAAATGATTCAATAACTTAATAGAAAATTTTTGTAACTCAAGGTCATTCATACTAATCTTCATGATCAATTTAATTAATTTGAAAAATGCAAATGTGTCATAAAGTTTGAAGATGCTTTCAAATACTTTGAAGACTTGGAGTTGTAAAGTCTTGCCTATTGAACTGAGATCAAAGAATACTGATGAATAACCCAAATCACCATAACCTTTTGACTTTTGTGATAACTCATCTGCAAGAGTCAATGTAGAGAATAAGGAGCTGTAATTCAACAACAAGTATTTATCAGTTGCTTGAAATTCAAGATCATCGTCTTTGCCCTCAAGGTTTTGAACAGGGTGAATGAATTCCTTGAACTCGTTGTATTTCATGTGAATATCATTCAAGATTGATGAACAATAATGCAATGAGTCTAAAAGTCTTTGCAAATTTCCCAAATTTACCTGTGATTGTGATATGAAAACATTTGAGAAGTCTAAGAAATCTGAGATTGGTAAAGGTGGTAAATTATTGAATGTTATATTCTGCTTTAAATGAGTTGAAATTTCTCTTGATGGGTTGACAATTTTCAAAATGGCATCAGATAAAATAAATGAAACTTTGATGATAATAGCAGGTAAGCTTAACGATGATCCAAGATCAGATAGCGCCATGTGTGACTTGACCAAATCGAAATCACTTTTGATCAAATATAAGGAGTTCATCAATGATATTGACCATGAAGCCTCTTTTTGAAAATCAATAGCTGTGTTGTGGTCGATAATTTCTATTAACACCTTGTATCTCATATTAAGTGAAGTTTCAAATGGGCTCAAAATATCTTTATCCAAAACGCTTTTTTGTAATTTATTTAACAAAGGTTGCCTACCAATAGGAATTGATGTCTGTGATAATTTGGAAAAAATATAACCTAACTGATTAGTAAAATTTTCATCCCCAAATAGATCTAAAAATGTATCTTGCAAATTCAAAGTTTGTAAAAGGATGGCTAAAGTCTCAGCAGTGCAATTATCAGATGTGAAACTAACTAATTCTGTTAAGTGTTTGGAAATTTTATTTCCTGCTTTGATATTTGTTAAAATTGAATGAATTTTCAAAGTGTTTCTCGATAATTGACGAATGTATTGATTTTGAGAATATGGGAAAATAGTATTCAATAATGTAGTGGATATTTCATAACCCTGGAGATGACTGATCCTATTTGAAATTGAAATAGGTCCTGGTAATTGTCTATCATTCAACTGGTTTCCAGTAGAGTTTTCTAAAGTACTTTCCCAAAGCTTATTAAAGACTTCAAACATTTCAATATTGGTGGTGGGAGTAATTGCAAACAGCTTGATCACAGATTGAAGTATATCAGGGTTTTTAATTGAATAAGTAAATAGAATTGAAAGTATATTCATTAAAGATGAACTGGTTGGACTTCTTAATTTGTATGAGAAAGAAATTGTGATCAATAATGGACTAATTAATGAAACCCTTGTAAGTAAGAAATTTGGGGAGCTAAAATTATAATTTTTCAACAAGTTCAATATTTCAATGTATACCATTGTCATTTTTTCAATAAGAGATTCGTCAATTTCAGTTTTGATGAAATCATTCACAGTAAAATTTGCAGCTAATAAAGCGATTGTTTGTGAGAAATCTTTTAGTTCTTTATTCTTAACTTCATCTTCAGCAGCAGTTTTATAATTGATAGGAGACAATTTAACTTTACCAACAAGCGCTTTGATTTCTGTATCTATATCATTTGCAGCTTCAATCTTAGAATCATTAAGTTTATTTATTTTAAAAAGCCTTTGAAAAGCAGCTTCAACTTCACTCAAATCCATGAAGGATTCGCTTGTTGATAATTTAAGAGTCTCATTATCCTTGAAGTATAGGAGCACATCTTTTGAACCCTGGCGCTTAGACTCATTTGAAAGATCCAAACTTCTTAACTGATCTTCCAAAGCCATAGCTAAAGATTAATATACCAAAGCTAAAATAAACAAAGTGTGAACTGATTCAATACTGTCTGGCTGATTCAATTGGATATATCTGACCTTTGGATGAATAACTAACTTTCAAAAGTAATAAAGCAAAAGAGTGTCAAATTTAATTCGAGGAATTTGATAGCTTTTATTTGATGGCAATAACCAAATTTGGCCTAGTTTGAGATTTCACATTTTTTCGACCTTCTCTGAACAAATTCGAAACCAACGCGAAAAAACGAAGCAAAAGTAGCTTGAAGCCCTGGAAGTTCACATATTTAATGGAATACCGTGAATAATGTGATCATAGTGAGACAGAAGTTTGAAAGAAATGATCAATGGTGTTTGGTGTTGAAAAAATGGTGCAAAATTGATGTTTATGGTAGTTTATAGGTTTTGTTTCCGTGAAAAAAAAACTGATTTATCTTCGTAATTACCGTTTTAGACTAATTTCCGAATGCGGGTGTTTCGGATGTTTAACGCTTTCTCAATTCTGACACAAACACTGAACAATTTCGATTCAGACTTTAGCAGAGTTCATTAGTGGAAGGAAGAGAAGTATGCAAACTTCTGCTAAAGAGATAGTATGCTTGATTTAATGCTATATCGTTATATAGTTTGTTCTGTTAAATGCAACATGTACCAAACACGTTATGATTGCATGTACTAATACTACCAAGACAATTATACACAATACATATTCAACACCCTTGAACATAAACAGCATTGAGCAAGTGAATTGATGTCTCTTTTATTCAGTACAAATTTGTATTGGACTATTCAATGACCGTTATATGAATTATATTTGGATCGTAACCAATTAGTTAGTTCAGCTCCATAGCGTGATGGGGATTGCATATACTGGTAATTATCACTTGTTCTCACCATAGATGTAGCATAATTAGTATATAAATATGACCAATACTATATTCAAATAGGTACGCCATTGCTAACATAGATGTAGCTCCAAATCTTTGGATGAAGTGCAATCTGGTCTGAGTAGACCACCTTTACAAATCATGTATATATATAAAGTAATTGATATACCTTGTTACGCTATAGCTCATGCTCAATTTCGCGGGTGTCCCTATAGAAAATCAGATGGAGTTAATCTTTTAAATTGTTGCTTCATAAATATCTCCCTTTTATTAAGTCCACTATATATTAACAAATTGTTTGATCTTTTTTTTTTATGCTTACAGATTTTGTTGCTGTTGCTTACTATAGTATCAAGTCACGGAAAAATTGCTCTCAAAGTAATATATAAAATCAAAATATATCAGCACTTGTCCAAAATCACATCAGGTATTCACATCGTACACAGTCAAGTTCATTGATCAGCAAATTAATCAATTCTACAATATGACATCTAAATCAGCCCTTTTGGTTATTGATATTCAACATGATTTCCTTCCAGGTGGATCCTTAGCAGTTAATGATGGTAATAAAATAATCCCTGGTGTTTTAGATCTCATAAACACAGATAAGTACAACTGGGATGCAGTTGTTTTCAGTCAAGACTGGCATCCAAAAGACCATATTTCCTTTGCTTCTAACCATGAAAATATCAAGCCATTTGAAGAGATTGAATTCACTTCTACGAAAGATTCGTCTATTAAACTGAAACAAACTGTTTGGCCAAATCATTGTATTCAACATTGTCATGGTGCAAATTTTCCAGATGAATTAACTACTGCGTATAGAAACATACACTCACCAAAAACCATTATTCAAAAGGGGACATTACATGATCGTGACTACTATAGTGCTTTTAATGATGTTTGGGATGATGATCAGACAGGTTTAAGTGATTTTTTGAAAGAGAACAAAATTACGGATATCTACTTAGTTGGACTTGCTTATGATTACTGTGTTAAATTTAGTGCAGAATCCAGTGCTAAATTGGGTTTTAATACAACTGTTATCAAATCATTGAGTAAACCAATCCATTCAGATAAGATCAATGAAACTGATAAATTTTATAAACAAAACAATGTTGAGATCATTGATGAAAACGATGACAAATTGAAAGCATTATTGAAATGAATTATAAAACAACATGCCTTTTCCAAATGAATAACGAATGATTAATGTACGTCTATTACTTAACAATTAATAATGTAGCTATTTCAAACCCATTAATAATGCACAACTTAGAACACATCGTGGCTATTGTGCTATTGTTCAATATGGTTAGAAGTGCATGGTCCGACATCAAATAATAATAATCCTGCCCCTTACTAAACATTTCATAATCATTAGCAACATGAAAATCGTAAAATGCACAGGATATAATTATTAAACCCCAGTTAAGATTCTGTGTACTTAAACAAGTCAATTGGCACTCTTGTGGTTTTATTTTCATTGACTTTACTTCATTATTTCAATTCATATTCAGAATAAAGATAATTGATCAATTAAGAAATCAGAAACGTTAAATATGTCACAAGCAGTAAGTGAAATTGTAAAAGTATTATAACTATTAAGCTGGCCCAAAGTTTTACTAACTATAATAAATAACACAGGCAAAACAAGGAGGTAAAAACATCTTAAACTTTGCCAGTAAAGATGGTTCTTTCAAGAGACAAGCATCCGTTTTCAGAGATGCCATCACTAGAGATAGTGATAAATTCAAACCTGAAGCTGGTCGTTATCATGTCTATATTTCATTAGCATGTCCTTGGGCTCATAGAGTTTTCATTTATTTGGTTACAAAAGGTTTAGTTAAAGGTTTTAATCCAAAAACTTCTGAAATCTCAAAAGACTCAATCATTGGATTATCTGTTGTTCATTGGAGTATGGATGAAAAGGGTTGGAGATTCCCAAGTGAAGGTGATACAACTCCTGCTGCTACTCAAGATCACAATTACGGTTTTAAAAGATTATCTGAATTATACTATAAGGCTAATCCAGAGTATGATGGACGTTTCACTGTTCCTGTTGTTTGGGACAAAAAGACACAAACCATTGTTAACAATGAAAGTGCTGAAATTATCAGATTTTTAAACACTGAATTCAATGATTTGATTGATGACCCAGAACAAAAACAATTAGATTATTATCCAAAAGAATTACAATCCAAGATTGATGAATTGAATTCCTGGATCTATGATAATATCAACAATGCTGTCTATAAATCAGGTTTTGCTACTAAACAAGAAGTTTATGAATCAGAAGTAACAAATTTATTTGTTCACTTAGATAAAGTTGAAAAGATCTTGAAAGAAAATAAAGCAAAAGGTTTAAGATACTTGATTGGTAACAAAATCACAGAAGCTGATATCAGATTATTCACAACTATTATCAGATTTGACCCTGTTTATGTTCAACATTTCAAATGTAACATTGGTACAATCCGCTCAGACTATCCTTATTTACATGATTGGGTTAGAGATTTATACTGGAATAATGAAGAGATCAAAAATACTGTTAATTTCGATCATATCAAATTTCATTACACAAAATCTCATATCGGTATTAATCCACACAAAATTACTCCATTAGGTCCAATTCCACACATTTTACCATTGAACAAATAGTCAACAGAGATTTTCAGAATGATTATGGTTAATGTCGCATCTATTTCATCAATTCGAATGAATTTATGCTCTATTGTTTGGTTTTTCATATGAATTAATATTATGTCAATTTTTTGAAGTCTGTCTGTCAACCTGTAGTGCCAATAATTAGTCTAATGTAAAATTAAATTATGGACTCGAAAGCGACCATCAAAATTATATATAAGCTGCTGTTTATTTTTAAGGCTAGTTAATCATATTTGATCTAATCTTGATAAATCTGATCCCATTTTCAATCGGATCTATAAGATGTTTGCTTCGCAAAGATTAGGTTTGATAAGATTTGGTATACGGTATAACAGCACGTTAACCAGTATGTGTTTTAGCTTTCTTACGACCTGTATATTTTTTTGAGGAATTTTCAATTAACCATCTACAATATAGAGGCTGCATCCCCTGCTGCATTGGAACTTAAGGTTGGCTTAATCAAAGAATGTAATAGACATCCAGACGCTGATAAACTTTACGTCTCTCAAATAATAACCTCAGAGGCCGAAGATGCAACAACACTCACGGTTTGTAGTGGGTTGGTTAATTTTATCTCAAGAGAAGATTTGCTAAATAAGAAGGTTGTATTGTTAACTAATTTGAAACCATCTAAGATGAGAGGTATCAAGTCGGAAGCCATGATTTTGGCATCTGAAGATTCAGAAGCTACTAAAGTTGAAGTTGTTAACCCACCAATCTCTAGTGAATTGGGTGACTTGCTACACTTTAAGCCTTTTATACCTGAGAAGAAACCAAGCAGATTGAAATCAAAAATCTGGGAAGAGGTTCAATCCAAATTATTTACAGATTCTGAAGGTAAGGTTGTATTCAAAAGTGAAGATCAAGAATATAGATTGTCAGGTTCAAAAAGTGATGATTTTGCATTTGTTGAGACTTTAAGGAACACTATTGTTCGCTAAAATCAAACTCCGGACAATTCACCCGCTAAAAGTTGTATATAGAAAGGCTTCAAAAGCTTTGTAAATAAAGTGTTAATAGTATTTTAGCTGTACAGCTCAGTATCTGATGGCTTCTACTCTTTTATTTATATTGTTGTTTGATCCAGACCCTTGTAGGCCAGCTTTCAGACTACCTTAGTCTCCCTGTTTAGGCGAGATAATTTTACACACGTTGAGTCTCTCGAAAAAAATCAAAGTGGTGAAAAAAAAAACGACGAGAATCGACAAAAACATGAATGAGAGAAAAAAAACTTTTGGTCTTTTGACTATAAAATTTAATTGTTGAGTGGTTTAGCCCTACTATCTTTTTAACTTCTTTGCCAATTGTTCTCACCTATTTTTGATTTACAAGGCCAGTTCACCTGAGTTTTACTAAATTAAAAGCTTTGATCAAGTTCGACAATTTCGGGAAGCTTAAGTACATAAGGAAAATCTAATCAAGTTTTTTTTTGACTATCATTAATAAACAAGCTTTTTCTCAATAAAAGAATCAACAAATAACTATAAATCATACTCCAGTTTTTGCATTATTAGCGTTATTATACTGTTAAAGTATCAGATTAATTCAATAATATCATAATTACCAAATCATATTTCAAAATGCAATACATGGCGCCATGGGTTCCAGCGTTTACCAATGCAGTGACGAGACAATTAGAATCAAATCAATTACCATTTATCACCTGCTCTTTTGCTACAGTTGATTCAAATGGTTCACCAAGAGTTAGAACATGTATCTATAGGGGATTTGTATTTGATGATAAAAAGACAAATGTTATAACATTAACAACTGATATAAGGATGGAAAAATATGAACATTTAACTTCAAATCCAAAATTTGAAACATGTTTTTGGTTTCCAACTACAAATGAACAATTCAGAATAAGTGGTAATGCCAAAATATTGACCACTTCAAATACTGAAACCTTCAGTCAAGAATTGGGTGAATATCCATTAGTTTCACCAACAGCATTAAAACAATATTCATCAAGTTTAGATTTATCAAATCATGAAAATCATCATAATAGCATACATGATTTGAAACCATCTGCACAAGAATGGGAAGCTGAATTGAAAAATAAATGGGAATCATTATCAAGAAATTTGAAATCAAGTTTTAGAAAACCAGATCCAGGTTCTGTCTTAACTCCTGAAAAGCAAAAATTATTAGATTCTATATCAAGAGGTGTTGATGGATCAAATGAAATTGATGGTACCAAAAATTTTGGCCTTGTGCTATTATTACCTGAAAATGTTGATTATGTGAATTTAAATGGCCACCAAAGTCGTTACAAACATGATAGAGTTGATGAAGACCAATGGGATGAAACTGAAATATGTCCATAGACTATTTTAATATGTTGATGATGATAAATAAATAATGATTAGAAAGAAAATTATATACATAGATTGCAATTCACAAATAAAATTGAATGAACTTATAAATATTAATGTTGTTACGGCTGTTTCTCGTGTTTCCTTTATACAATTTTGAAAAAAAAACCAAAAAAAAAAACTATAATATAAAAGCTTTTGATCTATCGCATGGTTAATAAATTTATTGCATAATGAACAATTTCCTTGTGAAACTTTTGATAGATGATAATAATGTGTTAAAAAATACTTTATATACTATGATATGATAGAGTTTATAGAAGAATTATGTCTTTTGAATTGATGTCTCATGATTATATTTTGTTCGCTTTTTTGTGGTTTCAAGCTTATATATTCAAACGTTAGAACCAAGTTATAAATAATGTACATATCATAACTTGCCAATCAATTATTCTCAATAGTAGTAATATAAACAAATAATATACGTGTAACACATATACCAATAATACCTAATATATCTGTGATTTGCACCCATGCCATTTCCAAATAATGTTGATTCTTCAACTAGATGATGGAAATTGTAGATTTATTTTGGAACAAAAAGATGTTTTAACAGCGTGATCTAGCTCTCTTGTATGTCCTAGATAAAAATTCAGCATATCCTTCAAATTTTGTCTTTCAAAATCATGATGATATGAGTACGTTAGTTTCCAAACATAGTTCAGATCATAACCCATGAGAGTACCTTCACCACCAGTAACATATTAGGATCAAGTTTTGTATATCAGGTTTATTGTATTGAGCATTAACTTGAAGTAAAGATGTAAACAAATCTAACAATTTATAAGCAATTGAAAATGTCGAGAGGGCCCATCTCAATGCCCTAATTTGGATCTTCTGATACATTGTACGTTGTACGCACTTGTAGTTGTAAGTTGTAAGTTATTAGTAGTTGATCTCCGTACCTAAGCTAGCCCGGTTAAATTATCCCGGCTTTATTTTCCTAAATTAAGCCATATGTCAAGAAGTTATTTAACCGCGTGGTCATTAATCATGTCGGTTATATGAATTTTATTCTACCGGTAATTAATTTTTCCCCAAATTTCATTGGTAACCTAAGAAGTTTGAACTGATGTGCAGTTATAATGAGTATGCACTGTGGTAAATTTTGAGCTTAATCATGATTATTAACCATTTGTTGTCAAAATTAGTAATATATTGACCATAAAGTATATATTTCAATTGGATAGCTGGGGAACAGGGACAAGACATACCATGATGTTTATCAAAAGTATAAAAAGAGTTACCTTTACCCTTAAACTATTTCTAACCTCCTTGAAGTTCTTTTATCAACATTAAAGATACATTGTCCATTACAGTTACAACTTTAAACACATACAATTAATATAAATCATGGCTACTATCGCAGTTTTAGGTGTTAACGGCTTCTTAGGTAAATCAGTTATTGAAGGTTTATTATCAGAACCATTCATTTCAAAAATTAAAGCTCCAATCCGTATTTTAACTACTTCAGATAAAAAACCAGTTGAATCATCAAATGTTCAATATATTAATGTCAAAGATCAAAAATTAGATTCACATTTAGAAGGTGTTGATGCTTTCATAAACTTAGTTGGCTTCCCACATGGTGCTACTGAAGATATTATTAAAGCTGCTGTCTCTGCTAAAGTTAAATTATATATCCCATCACAATTTGGTACCAACGTTGAAGCTGCTCAATCAACCTTACCACACTTTTTACAAGGTAAAGTTGATCATTCAGAACAAGCTAGAGCTGCTGGTTTGAAAACTGTTGATTTCAATACCTCATTGTTCTATGCTAACTTTGGTGGCCCATATCTTTCACCATTAGTTACATTAGATGGTACTAAAGCCACAGTTTTAGGTGATGGTAAAACATTAATCAACCCTTCAGTTTTAGCTGATATTGGTAAAGCTGTTGCTTCTGCTGTTACTTTTGATGATTACTCAAAATTACCAAACAAAATTAGAATTTATTCTGATAGAGTAACTGTTGATGATTTAATTGCTAAATATGAAAAGGACCATGATGTTAAATTAACTCAAGAGCATACTTCAGATCAAGAATTCCTCAAAACTGTTGTTGAAAAATATAACAAAGATGGCTTCAACCCAGCTGATTTCGTTAGTTATTTAGCTGCTGTTTTCATTGCAGGTGAAGGTAAAGGTAACATTTATGAAAGTGCTAATGAAAAAGAAATCATTAATCCAAATGAATCTTTATTTAAATGGACTGAATTAGCTGATTTCCCAAAACTCTAGATGAATAACTCATATAGAAGATATAATATAGCTGATCTTCAGTGGGAACCTAATATATGATAATTGATTTGACTGAGTAGAATCTCATAACATCTATATAGACGTAGTTAATTGAAGGTGTAGACTAACCTTTCCTGATCGGGTATATATGCGCTCGGGATGACTGCTAATTAGCTCTTCGCTGGAGCCTGCGCAAATATTTAACATTTTGATATTATATTTGAATTGAATTATATTAATGCAATTATAAAAGAGGTATACTACAACTAAACACTGATCATCATCTCTCGCCAGTAATTTCTAAATGTACAGTGACAATATTTAGCTGATATCTCGCTATACTCAACTATATTATACCCATGAACTCATCACCACTAATTGACTAACAGATGATTATCGATCAGCTGTAAGTTCTTGACCGTCATTGTAGGCTACTGAAGGGCTCTTGGGTTATCTAAATTCGGTATGTTTTTCCCTTTTGTCTAGTTTGGTTCTCTAAAATATTAAACTGTCACAATTGTTAAAAGAATGAAGCAACGGTGAAGATTTACTTATCAGTGACATCGGTACTTAACCATTACCTCTCCTAGAAAAGCACCGCCAATATATTATAGCTGATTCGGAAGAACCGCGCTGAATGAATGATAATCTCATCGATTCATTTGGCTTTGGGCAATATTGCAATCTGTTGAAAAATAGTATATAAAAAGCTACTTTCCTTCTTCTTTGAATATGCTAATCTTAATTATATATCTCACATTTTATTAAGACTTTTTACAATTGGAAAAAATGTCAATTGCTTCACAATACTATCCAAACGAACCAACTGAACCAGTTGTTAAAACTGAAACAATCCCAGGTCCAGCTTCAAGAGCTGGTATCGAATCATTAAACAAAGTTTTCGATGCTAGACCAGTCTATTTCATTGCTGATTATGAAAAATCAGATGGTAATTATATCGCTGATGTTGATGGTAATGTTTTATTAGATGCCTACTGTCAAATTGCTTCAGTTCCATTAGGTTACAACAATCCAGCTTTATTAGAAGCTGCTAAATCACCAGAAATGATTAGAGCAATCATTGAAAGACCAGCTATTGGTAACTTCCCAGGTAAAGATTTGGAAGGTATTATTAAAAAAGTTTTAAAAGCTGCTCCAAAAGGTCAAGATCATGTTTGGAGTGGTCTTTCAGGTGCTGATGCAAATGAATTAGCTTTCAAAGCTGCATTTATGTGGTATCAACAAAAAAAGAGAGGCTCATTCAATGCTGCTTTCACTCAAGAAGAAAATGAATCAACAATGAAAAATCAAGCCCCAGGTTCCCCAGATTTAGCTGTTTTATCATTCCAAAGAGCTTTCCATGGTCGTTTATTTGCTTCTGCTTCAGTTACTGCTTCTAAACCAGTTCACAAATTAGATTTACCATCATTCAAATGGCCAAAAGCTGAATTCCCATCATACAAATACCCATTAGAAGATCATGTTGAAGAAAACAAAGCTGAAGATGAACGTACTTTGAAAATTGTTGAAGATTTAATCAAAACATGGCATATTCCAATCGCTGCCTTAATCATTGAACCAATTCAATCAGAAGGTGGTGATAACCATGCATCAAGTGAATTCTTCCAAGGTTTAAGAGATATTACTTCTAAATATGGTGTTGTCTTTATTGTTGATGAAGTTCAAACTGGTTTAGGTGCTACTGGTAAATTATGGGCTCATGAACATTTCAATATTACTCCTCCACCAGATTTAGTTACATTTTCTAAAAAATTTCAATCTGCTGGTTATTTCTTCAATGATGAAACTTTCATTCCAAATGTTGCATACCGTCAATTCAACACTTGGTGTGGTGATCCAGCTCGTATGATTATTGCTGGTGCCATTGCTGAAGAAGTTTTAAAACATGATTTAGTCTCAAAAACCAAAGAAGTTGGTGACTACTTGTATAGTGAATTAGAAAAAGTCGCTAAAGAATATCCAAAATATATTCAAAACTTGAGAGGTAAAAACAGAGCTACATTTATTGCTTGGGATTTAGAAGATTCTGCTACTAGAAACACTTTATTATCTAAATTAAAACTAAATGGTGCCAATGTTGGTGGTTGTGCTGAAGTTTCAGTCAGATTAAGACCATCATTAACTTTTGAAAAGAAACATGCTGACTTGTTGATCAAGATCTTAACCAAAACCCTTTCTGAATTATGAACATAATATTTAATATAGACTTCTGTATATTTCTCTGATTTTATTCGTTATTTATAATACTATAAACTGGTTTAAATCTGTAGTAACTTTTTGTTCTTCGTTAAAAAAATATCAAGATTTTGTGATTCTGGAAATCTGCACCATGAAAATTCACAAGTCCCAAAACATTTCAATAACCGCCGTGATAAAACCATATCAAAATAAGACACAAGAACCCTTTTCCAAATAATTTGAAGCGTATATGAATCCTTCTTGATTAATGAGAGAAATTAACTACAGAGAGACTGTTGTCTTTGTCATTTTGTTGTGGATTTCAGTATGGAAACAGTACGGGTTTTGTGTTATGGTGGAGTACATAACCAGCTGTCTATATTTTGCCAGTACGTATTATCAATTGATACCTTGATCTGAAACAAGCATACTTGTATATGAGCTAGCCACTAACAATTGGACAGCTATTTTAGTTCCAAGAGATGTCCTTGTACATAGGTTATTCACAAATTATTACAATCAATCAACATTTTCCCAAAGGGCAACTCTTTATGAATATTGTACAGTGAGGTATTTGCATTATAATTTCCAATATTTTGACTTAAAAACACTTGCCGGTGCTTTTTGTTCTGAAGAATTATCTAGATGGTTTCTCTATTTTAGAACTTATAGACAAAGTTTTGCCAAATTGAATGATTCCAAATGGGAGTATGTTGAAGAAGATAATGGCGTTAAAGGTATTTGGTTAACATCTGTGGGGAGATGCGCAACAAGTGATATTGATTTTGTAATGTTTTATGTTCATGGTGGTGGATTTATTCATTCATCTCCTTGGTTTTATGTTGAATATTTGAATGTATTCATGATTGTATTACAAGAACAAGGATTTAAAAATCCTGCAATATTCATTGTGGATTATCAACTGAAAAACTTCAGCAATGACTTGATTGCATTATCAAAAGCATGGGTTTATACTAGGCAGAAGGCCCCCAAGGCACATTTGACATTATCTGGAGATGGGTCTGGTGGTTTATTAGCAATGTCTTTATTATTTCACATAGCATCACCTTATGAATTTATACCCAGTGGTGAAATCCCCTTAGAAAAACCGTCAGCATTATTTTTAACATCACCATGGACCAAATTATACTATAGTGATAAGACATACCCCTGTACATCTGATGATTTTATGAATCGTAACTTGTTGAATCAATATTCATCATCTTATATTGGAGAAACTGAATTTAATGTTTTGAAAGAGCAATTAGAAACATTGGAAGAAGCAAACTCAAGTTCTTCCTCGTCAGCTTCTCTTTCACTGATCTCTCACACAGTTGACCAACGTTCAGATCATAATCATAAAATAAACCATTATCAAAATCCAATACTATGTGATTCAATGAGTCTATGGAAAAAATCATTTCCAAAATATGGTGCATTAATAACATATGGGGATGAAGAATACCTTAGAGAGGAAATAACAATGCTTTCTAAAAAGCTCAGTATGTGTGGGAAAGTTAAATATGAAGCTCAATTGAATCAAATACATGACTGGCCTATATTGACATATTATACTGAAAGGATTGAAGAACTTCGTGAAGATGGTATTCACATTTTGGCTGGTATCATCAGTCGAATGTTACTTTGGAACACTGACTCGTTCTTTGAAGATGGTGCATTAGTTCCTGTGGATAATGAGTTTACTTGACATTTGATCAATTGGTTTAATTTGAAACTTATACACTTAAGTAAATAAACCTTGTACCTATATTACTAAAGTACTTGTATTTTACGGGTAATTTTCGCGATCATACCGCGCCTGATCTTTTGGCAAAGGGAGCGCTTTTGTTATTTACCAACTGGCGAATACAGAATGTCAGCGTGAAAGCGAAATTTGAATTGAACAGAAACAAAGGAGATTTAAAAGAGATCCAATTGAAGTTTAGATTAGAAAATGGTGGAAGTGTCGTTGACTGTTGGGAAATTGGACGCATCTTTGGCGTTGTTGCTTACAAAAGATCATCATTTAATTGAATTCCCTACTGTGTTATTGCCAAATGGTGTCAATGCAGGCTCAGTTGTTACAATCAAATGTGAACAAGATCTTGAACAAGAAGCTGAAGAAAAGAAAGCATTTGAAGATGTTCAAGAACAGATCTTGGAACTTTTTGGTAAGAATGAACCAAAAGCACCAATTTTGAAGATTAAGAATGTAACACAAACAAGTGCTGTTTTAGAATGGGATCAATTAGATCTTGGTTCTGCAAATATCAAATCGTTAACTTTATATAAAAACAATTCAAGATTGGGTCAAATACCAAATCCTTTGGTTAATACCACTACAAAACTGTCTGGTTTACCAATTGATACCCCATATGAATTCTATCTAAGGCTTGATACAACTGCAGGTATTTATCAATCTGAAACTATTAAATTAAGAACTCATAAAATGACTGATTTAAGTGGTATTACCGTCTGTTTAGGTGAAATTGATCCAAAGGAAGGTGTTACACGTGAAGATATTGAAAAGTCATTAAATAATATGGGTGCTAAACCTTTACAAGATGAAGTTAAAGTTGACACAACACATTTTATTTGTACAAATGGATTAGGTACACAATGGAAAAAAGCTCTTGATAGTAATATCCCAGTCGTTAGACCTGAATGGTTGAAAGCTTCAGAGACTGAAAGAAGAATAATAGGTGTCAGAAATTTTTATTTAGATGCTGATCCTCAAATTTTAGAGCAACATAGATTCAAGAAGGAAAATTCAGAATCTCAACCAATTCCACAAAGAAATGAATCATTAAAAGCTGAAGAACCTGTAAGCGATAAGGTTAATGGAGAAACAAACAAAGATGAAAATGTTACTTCTGTTCCAGAGAATGATTTAGAAGACGTACCAATAGAATCTACTGAACAATTACCAAAACCTCCAGTGGAAGAAACTAAGGAAGAACCAAAAGAAGAATTGAAGGAAGAATCAAAGAAAGAAACTTCTGATGAGCAAGAAAAAGAATTTAAAGAAGAACCAAAAGATTCATTAGCTGTTAATGATGAATTTGAAGCACCAAAAGAAGAAACACCAATTGCCGTCAAAGATGAAGCTGAAAGTGAAGCACCAAAAGATGAAAAGCCAATTGCCGTCAAAGATGAAGCACCAAAAGAAGAATCAAAATCTGAAATTGAAACACCAGGACCAGTAGCAACAGAGCCAATTGCCGAAGAAAAGGTCTCAACTTCAAACCCAGAAGATGCCGAAAAAGTGGCTGAAGAAGAACCTGAAGAAACTGTTATCAAATCAGAAACAATAGCTGCTGAAGATAAACCAGTAGTCGAAGAAACATCCCAACCTGAAGAATCTAAACCTGAAGAAATAAAAAAAGAAGTTGAATCTATCCCAGTTGAAGAATCTAAATCTATTGAACCACCTACTGAAGAATTAAAAGAAGTTAGCTTAAATGATCCTACTTCAGAAGAACCAACTAAAGAAAATGGTGAAGAAAATGATGATGAAGAAGAGGATGGCGAAGATGAAGAACCAACTGAAACTAACGGTGAAGCTTCCAAACCAGCTGAACAAACAAGTGGTGCTAATAAAAAGAAAAAGAAAAACAATAAAAAGAAGAAAGGTAAAAAATAAAGATAAGATGCTACTATAATTGATTTTATATACAAATTACCAAAATAGAACAATAATCTAATATAATCCTTATGCGTGTGTTTTTTTTATTTACATGAACTGATAAAGTTTCTACAATGTAATACAATCTTTAAACTCTATATGACCTGCATTTATTCTTCTTAATTACTTCATAAATTAGATCTTTTGGTGGTACTTAATATTGTAAAAATACATATAAAAACAAAACATTCATTCCTTATTCTCCAAATAATCTTCTAACTTTTCTCAACACTGAATCCTTTTCAGGGTCTAGATATAAAACAATTAGTAAATTACAATACTCTGAAAAAAAAGATTTAAATAATAAATAAACTTACCATATGGATGTTCTTTTGATGGAATTTCTAAAATAGCTGGGAAAGCTTTTGTAAAATTATCAACTTTAAATCTAATTCTTTCAGCCAAATGTTGATTTATAAGTAAGATAGCTATATCATCTCTTTCAGAAGTATATTCATCAAATGCTTGATCAATTTGTTCATCAGTGGTTTTAGCATCATCAACGACATAAAAATTCTTTGATTTTGTTGAATCATCAACTTGTCCAATACCTGCTAATAGCATCCCTGTGATGGTGTCTTCATCCCCTATCACCGCTAAAAGAGTACGGTTTTTTTGTGCTTCTGACATTTTGAGTTTGTGATTCTAGTCTGACTCTTGGAATACACGTTTTGGAACTAGTTCAATTGCCTTTAAATTCAGAATTTCAACAGATTCCAAGTTTATTATCCTTTATCAAAAGTGCCATTTTCATATTGAATGTTGCAGCTGTTTTTCGCGAGTTTACCCTTTTCTCGTTTTCGCGAATGTGTTTTGATTTTAAAATGTATACTACATGGAAATTTTAATAATTTTAGATCGATATTGGATTTAAGAACGTACCAGATAAGAAGAATCCTGCGCAGCTACTAGAGTATATTCATCATGCTTGCAATTACAAGATCCCTACCTTTGAGAATACCCACAAGGCTATTTAGTACCACTCCAATATCACTTTCTGGTCATAGTAAATGGTCAACAATTAAACATGATAAAGCTAAAAATGATGCAGAAAAGAATAAAATTGCAAATAAATTTTCAAATGCTATTGCAGTAGCAACTAAACTTGGTGGTTCAGATCCAAGTCATAATGTTAGATTAGCAACTGCAATTGAAAATGCACAAAAAAATAATGTTTTGAAAAAAGTTATTGAACAAGCTATTAAAAGAGGTGCTGGTATCGGTAGTGAGAAAAAGAATGTTGATACTGCTTTATATGAAGGTGTTGGACCAGGTGGTGTTTCATTTGTTGTTGAGTCATTAACAGATAATAAGACTAGAACTATTGGTTTGGTTCGTTCGGCATTCACTAAAGCTGGTGGTTCATTATCACCAACTTTATATCAATTTGATAGAAGAGGTTTAATTGTAATTGAAAAAGGTGAATTAACATTTGATGATATTTTTGAAAAAGTTATTGAAGTTGGTGCAGAAGATTTAGAAGAAATTGAAGGTGAAGATTTTATTGAAATTATAACAGATCCAAGTGATACAGGTAAAATTGCAGATGAATTAAAGAAAGAATTTACTATAAAAGAAGTTGGAATTTCTTATATACCAAAAGAGGATATGTTAGTTGATATATCTGATGAAGATACAAAGATTAAATATGATAAGTTCATTGCAGCTCTAGAAGAAATTTCTGATGTTACGGATTATTATTCAAACTTAAAAAATGAAGAATAAGGTTGATATTTTTTTCGGAGTTATAATAACTTATATATATAGATTAACAACTTAGAGATTTGTAAATAGATTTTGTTCATATCACAGCATTAATATATTCAATTATTTATACTTATACTAAAAAGAATTAAAAAGTTGTTTCAAATGTAATAAAATATATTTTTTTTATTTTTGTGACCTATTAAAAGTGAAATAAATATAGAAACTTGAAAAAAAAAACCGATGCATGTTAAAAAAAGATCCATAAATATATATGTTATTGATTTAATATAATTTTGATGATGTTGTTTAAAGTTTTGTATTTTTTTTTATGAATATTAAATTTTATCATAATTTAATTTATTCAGAATGTTTAGCTTCAGTTTTGATTTCTGGAGATTCACCTTTTGAAGTTTCAGTGATTTGAGCAGTTTCTTTAGCACCTTCAGCTTTATCACTTAAATATTGATCTAAATCAGCATGTTGTTGTCTTGGATTTCTAGTTAATCTTAATGATTTATCATAAGCAAATTTTCTGTATGAAAAGAAAGTAGCTGATGCAACAGCAACACCCATAGCAACGAATAATGGGGTCAATTCTAATGGGACATTGAAACCACCTTTTTTCTAAAAAAAGTAAATATTAGTATTATTTTTCAATTTGATATAAGTATATATTGACGGATGGGCTTAAAGATAACAAATTAAATTAACTCTAACCCTTCTATGCCCTTCCTCACTCATGAAAAAAAAATTACATACACCAGCATTGAACAAAACTCTTGAAGCTCTCATTATGTGAATATAGTTCTAGTTTGAAGTTGTAGAATATTAAACTTAACTATGACGATGATGATCTAATTATTTATTGAACGACTTTTTTTTTTACTTGCAAGATTTCTTTCAATTTTGGTTGGTTCAAAATTCAAAATTCGCGGAATTTTATACTAGATCGTTGACTTCCCAATTTGGAAATTAAATATACATTTTTGTTCTATGACACACACTCTATAAATTATATTACAATTCTATTAAAGCTGTTTTAATTAATTCATAACTCCACCAACTCACAGCCATGGAAGGTATCACTTTGAACAAGTTTGCAGTTAATCCTTTATAAGCACCGAAAAATCCTTCAGTTTTAAAAATTGTAATTAAAGCATCACTAACAGATTTATATTTGAAACCTAATTCATTTTGTCCCATTGTTAAAACTTGAAATCTTCTTCTTAATAAATCAAAAGGATAAGTTAAAGTTTGTGCAACACCACCTGCTATAGCACCTAAAAATAATTTTGTTGTTGCTGAAGAATTTGGTACTAATTCTTTTAATTGTTCATAAACTGCAAAATTTATTGCAACATAAGGTGCAACACCTAAAGTTGTTGGCCAAATACCTCTATATAATGACCAAAATCCACCTTCATTTTTATAAATATTTTTCAATAATTCCCAAAAACCTGGAGGTTTAATTAAATTTTCAGCTTTTGATTTTGATAATTTTGATAAATTTGCAGTTTGAATTGATAATCTTGTTCTTACAAGATCTAAAGGATAAGTAACAGCAACTGATAAAGTACCTGCAATACCACCTGAAAATAATCTTTGAAAATTTCCTAATTCTTTATTATTTGAATTTTGTAAAAATTGAAATTTTAATTTTTGATAAACATAAAATTGTACTGCACTATAAGGGAAAATTCTTATACAATTAAGAGCATTACCACGAAATAAACCTTTTGTACCTTCATCTTTCCACATTTGCCATATTGTCTTAAACATCCCATTATAATTAGCTTGACCAGGACCTTGAACTTGGAAAAGAATTTTAGCTCTTTCAAAAGGTGATACAACAGTTCTTGAAATTGCACCTGCTAAACCACCACTTATAAAAGAGGCTGTTGAATCTCTTTTTATGAATAATAGGACATGATCTTGAGTTGTAAGTAGCTCAGTCATGATATTTCCTTTAAGTGAATGTATATATGATGGATAGTATGAATATTTTTTAGTTTTGGTAATCTGGGGTTATTCCATATTGGAAATTTTTTTGATATATCTGAAAAATCTAATATGGACGCGCGCGACTACTAAAAATGAACCACAATTTGAGATCCTATAAGTATATAAATAGGTTTTATATAATGAAATAAGCACAAGATTTATGAATTCTGTTGTTACCACCACATCAATTAAATCTTATAAAAATTTTGAATTGAAATTTCAAGAGAGTCTTTAATAGAGTATCACGGGTGTCATATATTAGTTAAAGTACGTCGTCTATAGAGATCTAGGAACATTCGCGGGTATATAATCAAAATTCTATAACCATTTCACCATTTCATATAAATCTGTAAACTTTTAATGAACTTTACACATAGAAAGTAATATTCTAAAGATCACATAGAACATAGAACTCAATAGAATTCATTCAATGCATTCCCCGGATATTTAAAGTTTTGGTTTACTGAAAAGGGTAGTATTTACTAATTCAGTAAATTGATCATATTGAAATTTAGGCTTAACGGATTATGATATCCAAGGAAAACTCACCCGGGAATGAAAGAAGGTGATAATTCGATATACTACTAGCACTATGATGAGATTCTTGTGTGGTATGATATATTCAGAGTAAGAACATGGGTATTGGAAAAGTGGAATACTGATTGTTTGTGAATATTATTGTATATCAAGAGGCTTTGATTGGTTCTGTAGGACACCTGTCTCTATAATTGTAGCTGTATTAACTAGAATTATACACTGTGATTTACTTGAATATCCTCAATGCCCTGAACGTGGTTGGTTATTATACTATGCTTTAACAACTGCAATGGAATTGATAGGGACCTCCATATCTCCTTTCAAGGGCTTTGATAGATTTGCTTGCTAACAATCAACAACCTTAGCTGTTAAAACACCTGCCGAATATCCTCTTCACATCCTCAAACTAAACCATAAGGTTCCTCGGGAAGAACATATAAACTCCAACTAAACAATAATGAGCTCATAATTAAATTCTATTTAAAATTAAATTCTTATCCATCCGTTTATCCTGATTCCTTACATAACACTCGCATAATCCGGGGTTGTAGGTACTACTAGGTAGTCATTTGAATCATCTCCCTTTGGCCTGTCTAGACTCTGCCTAATGGTCTGTCTAATGGTCTGTTGATCCTCTGCCTAGAAGACCCAATTCCTCTGCAGATCTGCTTATTTTGAGGTGACAGGTGATTTTGCTTTGTTGCCCTTGAACCGCCTATTCAACTTTTCAAATTTTAATGACTGTTTGCATTTTCCGATCCACCGTTCTTTGAAATTTCCCCTTGAGTCACAATTGTCATAATGTCACAAAATTCTATATAAGCAACTAGATATCCCAGTTGAGGTTTTATTTGAATAATGGTTCAATTTAATCAGTATAACTATTATATTCAATCAATCCTAATAACACACAACTAAAAATTACACAATGAGTGCTAGAACTATCTTCAAATTGAAAAACTTTTCAACAGCTTCAAGAATTAGATTACCAGTTAATCAACCAATTCAACAATCTTCAAGATCTTTAGCTTTAAGTTCAACAAATTATTCATTTAATTTAATTAATAAAGAATCTCAAATCCCTCAAGATAATTCATCATCAACTTTTGATCGTCCAACTGTTTATTCTGATGGTGAAGTTGAAACTGCTGGTCCAGTTGTTAGATTATAAGGTATTATCTGCCCCCCTGCATTTAGACAATAGTTATCGTTTTGATACATTAATATTCCCAATCCACTACACTAATGGTATGAATCGGTTATAATTATGGTTATGATTTGGTTTACACATACAACAAGAAAATGAACAAAAAAAATATATCCTAATATGGGGTTCACCTTACTGGTTAAGGTCCAATATGTGGATACTGATGAAAAACTTAAATTCTATTTATGGTACATACTTTTTTTTATTAAATGAATTCTTATGATTATATGAAATTGATTTGTAGTATATCAAGTATTGTAAATCATTTTGCGTAAGCTTAATTTGTACTTTTGTACCTTTGTACCTTACACAGTGTTACACACCCATGAATCCTGATTACAAAGGTTGAAAATCATCCCATGAGAAATTTTACAATCATGGTGATTTCAAAACCAAAACCAGACCAAACTACAAACCAATACATGATTCATCAACCATTTATTCATTAATTAAACATCTAAATTTTATAAAATGTAAAATCATCCATAATTATATTACCGCCTTCGTCTTTATAAAGATATTCCATTATTATTCAATTTTGATATATTTCAAAGTACATAATCATATCTAACACCATCAAAACTACCACCACTTAAACTTGCATTAACATATTTTTTAAATAAATTTTTATCTCTAATTAAAATACTTGCACTTTCTTTATTTAATGGATCATTTGGATTTGGTTCTAAAAATAAAAATAATAATCCAACTAATATAGAATTTAAATTTAATACTGGTGACCAATCTTCTCTAAGAATATTTAAACAAATATTACCATCTAAATCAATATTTGGATGATAAATTTTATTTAAACATTTAACTTTTGGTGCATCAATTGGGAAATTATTATTTAAATTTATTTGAAATTTAAATGAACCTTTTTGATAATATCCTTCATCTGGTTTAATTATAATTTCAAAATTCATTTTAGAAGAATCTAAAATTTTTAATTTAATAGTTGATGGAATATCTAATTCATTTAAATCTTTTTCAATTCGTAGTTGAGCTGGTGTTGTCTTTTTTTGATCTGGTGAAGTTGATGATTCTTTATTTTTTAATTCTTCTTGTTTCTTCTTTTGTAATGATCTAAGTTTTAACTGGGAAGATGTTAATATAATTTATCCTTTTATGAAAACCTATCATTCATACTCACCATTTTGATCTATATTGTTACTTTGTTGTTCAATAATGTTAATACATATTTAAAATTCTCAAGTAAATATTCTTAAATTTTCGCCATTCAAAATATCAGGTACTACTACTCGTCTCAATAATTGATTACCGGGTTAAAATGACAGAAAAAAAGGAATTTTTTGAACAACATAAAAAAACATCCATGGACATTGAGTCCCATGGTTATAGAATACATAAACATGAACCTTAAAAAGATACCTACATTAAGTGCTATAAGCTTATTGCTTGTGATTGCCAAAAAAAAATTTGTTGAATGAGAACAAAAAAATAATGAGGACCACGAGATTCGAACTCGCGCATCCGTAGATATCAGAGTATTTTAACAGCTTGAAGAAACTGAGAAACCTAAATCTGACGCCTTAACCACTCGGCCAAGCCCTCTTTAAAGATGGAGACATAAGTCGCCAATTACTTATGACACGCTCGGTACATGTCACGTGTATGACCTCGGATTTTACTCTTTGAGGAAATGGTTAGATTTACTGTATCGTGTTTTTATTTATGTTTATGATATTTTATGATTTATTTCATATACGTGTATGTTGAAATCGATCAATTATATAAAACTATAAGCTCCACAATGTCTGAAGAGCTACTTTCCATGTTCTTTGATGATGAATTCGTTCCACATGCTTATCTTGATGCTTTCTTTACAAATGGTTCAAAATCAATAAATTTGAAAAATCAATCAACAATTAATCAATTACAAAATAATTCATCATTATTATTATCAAATTTAGATTTTTTAACGAATGAGTTAACAAATGATCTTGAATCTAAAATTAATAAATTATATAATTCAAATTCAATTGTTTCTTATTCCTATCAAAATTTAAATAATAATAATACTAATAATGATAATTCATCAAAATTAAAACCAACTTCAAGATTAGAATATTATATTGATTCATTAATTATATCAATTCAATCATTAAAAGAAATAATAGAGACAACTTCAAATAAAATCAATGATATTAAAGGTGGAACCCCATCAGATTCAGAAGAAAATCAAACTTTAACCTCAACAAATACATCTACAGTGCAAAAACTCATTAATTTATCAACTGCAAAAGTAAATCTATTACAAGTATTGAAAAATTTCGAATTATTAAAATCAATAATTGATATTTCTAAAAATAATTCATCAAATCAAAATGATATTTCTAAAATAACAGCACCAACTTCAACAAGTTCTATGAAAAATTCACAAAATATTGATAATATAACAACAACCCCATTAGAATTTCAAAATTCTTTAAATTCTTTAAGTGATACAATAATTGAACAATTTAATTTAAAAATTTCTAAAGAAGATAATCATACAATAGATTTTGAATTTTTGAAAAAAATAAATAATTTTATAAATTTATTACCAATTTTTAAAAATTTAAATGGATTTTATAATATTTATAATGATTTCATTAAAAAAGTTAATAAATCAAAGCAAAATTATTTGAATACAAAAGATTCTGAATATTTTGAAAATTTTGATGATTTATTCAATGAAGTTTTAAACTGATCATATATTTGGGAAGTATATATATGGGGTGCTTGATGGTTTAGTAATTTGGTGCTATTATTTAAAGACATCATCAAATGGCTATAGCATAAGTTTATATGTATGAAATATATTTACTTCTTGGACTTATTACAGCTTCACTAGGTTTACCACTACAATGTTATTAATTTGAAATTCTTGTAATATTAACTAAAAAAGCAAAAGTCTAATGAATATGATCAATGTATATAACTCATCAAATATTTTGAATATAAAATTAATCATGATATATGCAAAGACGTTTAATATTTGATCTCATAAGCTAGTATCATTGTAATTGAAAAAAAAAAACCAAAACTCCAAAATAATATATTAATAAACATGACGTAAAAAATGAAAAACTGTAATTAACAACTTAAAATAATAAAACTTGACAACAAAATATATAAACTATAACGTCTGAAAACAATATTAACAAAAATTAAAAAAATTTATAACATATAGTAAGCAAAAGAAGAAAGTAATAATAAAATAATAATAATACAAAATAATGAGTCTAATGAATGTTAACTTCAAAATGAATTCTAAATCATGTTGAAGATGATGATGAATTTGGACCAGCTTTAGTTGGTGAAGTTAATGGAGACCATCCAGCAACAGCACCCCCAACAATAGTTGGAACCATAGTTAATGCAGAAATTGTATGAGAATTATCAGTTATTGTAGAATCATTTGATTCAAATGACGAATCTGATCTTGATCTTCTCCATTTTTGATAGATATTTACAGGATTTAAATAATTTTCATCACCAATATCTGAATCTTTAACAAATGAGATATCTCTATTAATTTGTCTAAATTGTGGAATACTTGAAAATAATGGATCTGATTCTTCATCGTTCAATGAAATGTTTTTTTGTTTTTTAGAACCCCAGAATTTTAACCATTTGAAGCTTGTAATATATTGGAACTTTCTAAAAACCCTTGTTGGGAAAATCTTAATAACCCATTCATCTGGAATTATTCTAATTAATGCACCAAATGGTAATGATAATAAACCACAAATTATAGCAGTTGCCCACATTGCTGGTGTTTGTCTTGCAACTGAAAAAGCAGCACCACCAACAAACATAATCATAACTTGAACACCACCAATTAATGCAGCAATTGCAAGGAAATAATAATTTCTAAATAAATCTTGAAAAAAATTTAAATTTTGTAAAGTTATACGATCTTTAACATTTGATATACCATCAGCTTCACCTAATTTTCTTGTAACCCATAATTTGAAAAATTGTAACCAAACAAATGTATTAAATGTTAATGCATCTAATTGAGCTTGTTCATGAACATGAATCTTTGCCTTACCAGGATGGAAAATTTTTTGTCCTGCAAAGTGTAAAGTTAATGTAACAATTAATTGTAAACAACTTTGACCTAGAATCATTTTCCAAGTTGATACAGCAATTAAAGGTTTTTTACGTCCATCAGGCTTTCTATCCAAGATTGTATGATCTGGTTTATCAGTTGCTAAAGCTAATGCAGCCAAAGTATCCATAATTAAATTAACCCATAATAATTGAACAGCAGTTAAAACTGATTTACCTTCACTTGATGCAACAGCTGAAACAAATGTTAAAATAACTGCAGTTATATTAACAGTCAATTGAAATTGAATAAATTTTTTAATTGATATAGAAACACATCTACCCCATTTAATTGCATTAACAATGGCAGAAAAATCATCAGTCATTAAGATAATATCTGAAGCTTCTCTTGCAACTTCAGTACCAGAAATACCCATTGAAAACCCAACATCAGCTAATTTTAAAGCAGGTGCATCATTTGTACCATCACCAGTAACTGCAACAACTTCACCTTGTTTTTTCAAAGTTTCAACAAGAATTCTTTTATCTTCAGGTGAAGATCTTGCTAAAACTTTTAATTTTGGTGTAATTCTAAATCTTTCTTGTTTAGATAACTTTCTGTATACAGGACCTTCTATACATGATTCAAAATCATTTTGAAAATTTTCTGGTAATATACCACAACTTATACTAATAGCTTTTGCAGTTGTTATATTATCACCTGTAACCATACGAACTGTAACACCAGCCCTTTCACATTGTTCCACAGCTTCTTTAACACCAGGACGTAAAGGATCTTTAATACCGACAATACCATCTAAAATTAATCCATCATTATTTGAAGAAGAATGATCATCATCAATAACAATTTGTGGAATATTTGCAGTATTACTTGATGATGAAGAAGATGTATTTTCAACAAGTTTAATAACATCACCTAATAATAAATCAACATCTGCTTCTAATGGATTTTTTTCACTAATTAAATGTTTTGGTGGCCAATTTTCTAATTCATAATCTTTATGAGCTAAAGATATTGTTCTTAATGCCATTTCTGCATAAGTATTAATTTTTTCAAATTTTAATTTTTGTGATTCAGATGAAATTTTTTCAATTGAACCATCTTGTATTGTTTCATATGAACATCTTTCGAAAACTAATTCAGCAGCCCCTTTAACAAAAAATCTATATGTATTTGAATTTGATAATTTAACAACTAAACCACCCCATTTTCTTGAACTTTCAAATGGAATAATTTGAACAATTGATTCAATATTTAATAAAGAAACATCATTTCTTAAATGTGATAAAGAAAATTCTTGAGTCATACCAAATGAACGATTTGCTAAAGATAATAAAGCAGTTTCAGTTTTACTACCAATAAAAGGTTCTTGATTTTCCTTTTGTTTAGTTTCTAAATCTTTTAATTTATTTTTTTGTGATGAAGACCACCAATGCTTTTTAGGAGGATTTTCAAAAGGATTTGATGAAGCTGTTCCGGTAAAATCTTTATTTTCAAAAGCTGTTGAATTTAATGAAATATTTGATAATAAAATGGTTTTAAATTCATTATTTAAATTTAAATCATTTGATTTATCAATTGTTGAATGAGAATTATCATCAAATTCTAAACCAGTTATATTACCATTAACAACTTTCATTCTATTTTCAGTTAAAGTACCAGTTTTATCAGAACAAACAGCAGTAGCATTCCCCATAATTTCACAAGCTTTTAAAACACGAACTAAATTTGAATCTTTTGACATTCTTGTAGTGGCAAAAGCTAAAGCTAATGTAACAGCTAATGGTAAACCTTCAGGGACAGCAACAACAATAACAGTAATTGCTGTGATAACAATATCTAAGAATTTTGAACCTTTTTCAGCAGGTGGTAAATCATGATAAGCTTTACCAGCAGGTAATTCAGATAAAAATCTTGCAAAAACCACAATAAATAATACTAATGCTGCTAAAATACCATATTTTGTTATACCATCAGCTAAATCATTTAATCTAGCTTGTAATGGAGTAACTTCAGGTTCTGTATTTAATGAAGCCATTGTTCTTCCATGAATAGAATTTGGTCCCACAGCGGTAACCATGGCTTTACCAATCCCAGAAATGATTCTTGAACCAGAGATCAAATAAGGATCAGGAACACCTTTATGACCAATATCAACATCATGTTCAGGAAATTTTGAATCATAAATGCTCAAAGCTTGTTCAATTGGAAATTTAATAATACTATGAGATTCACCTGTTAGAGCACTTTCATCACATTCACAACTACCTTCAGTCATCACAGCATCCGCTGGAATAATATCACCAGTTTGTAATACAATGATATCACCAACTAATAAATCATGGATAGAAATCAATTGATCATCATTACCACGTACAACAATGATTTCACGATCATCTTTTTTTCTATTTAATTTAGCAAATTGTAATTCTTTTTGATAATCATTAGCCGCCCCAACAAGAACCACGATAACAACTGCAATAAAGATGGCAACACCTTCAACCCATTCAATTTGTGGGATTTCTTTACCTTCAGCATCATGTTCAGGCGGTTGACCAAAAGTTTCATAAAGACCTAAAGCAAATGAAATTAAAGCAGCTACTGATAATAAAATCATAACTTTATCTTGCATAGCTTCCCATGCTAATTTGAAGAAAGATTTTGGTTTTTTTTCAGGTAATTTGTTTATACCAAAATGATTTGTACGATCATTTAAATCTGGTAATGAAGGATCAAGACCATTTTTTTTATTTGATTTTAATGAATTATAGAAATCTGTAACTTTATTGAATTTCGTTTGAAAGAATTTTATTGATTTTGGATCATAAAGTTCATTTAAATCATCAATATCTATAGTGAATGATGAATTTAGGGTATTTGATCTTGATTGTAATTTAAAACTTTGAACTTTATTCTTTAAGCCTGTAATTGGTGCACTTTGTTCACTTTGGCCTCTTTGGCCTCTTTGTTGATTTGATTTTAATTCATTTGAAAAATTTGAACCATTTGATTTAACAGGAGATAATTCAATCATATTATAATCTTGTTCATTATTTAATTGATTTGTATTCAATTTATGGTTTTTTGACATTATAGGAATAAGATTTAAATCAAATAATTCCAGCAAATTCCCATTCTTTTAATCAAATATGATGATTGTTTTGTGAGCTTTAATGAAATGAATTAATACTTTTTTATCTTGGTAATATACTTGGGCTATGGAAGAGAAGAATAGTCAGTGGTTCAGTAACAACACTTAAGAAGGACCCTTTCTTTGCCCTTTGCTATCACTGATCACTGATCTCTCAAATTACTAGCACTAAGCGAGCGGTTTGTCCACCAAAAGTTACACAACTACACAGCCCAGTTCCATGCGGCAGCCAGCAAAAACAAACTGATAGGTAGAGCTAAAAGACTCCCAGAGAGAGCTCAGAGCGGCGAGTTCTTCCTAGACGGGGACTTCATTTGGTAAATTAGCTACATAACAGTGGCGTTTGAAATGTAAATTGTAAATTGTAAGAATGGATTTAATCTAACGTTTAATCGATATCGTTTGATCGTCAAGTATTAATGGCGGTGATAGGGTCTCTAATCAAAAGCAAGTAAGCAAAATAAAATAAATTAATAAAATAAAATAAAATAAATGAAATAAAATAAATGAATAGCTTCGCCTAATCATCAATCCTTTTTTCTTAAGCATCGGCCAAGGATTATCATATCAAGTATAAAGTACATCATCATTTACTTGTACCACAATTTACAAGGGTATATGATTCTATTGGGAAATAAAATAGAGATGATTGGATTGGATTGGATTGATATTATATTCTTTAAAACGTGGGTTTCATAACTACATACACAACTACCCAACCATCCAATAACCTATCCATCATATTCATCAAATCACATAGTATTCAAATCTTCATTGATATCTTCATCATTCAACCAAGCTCATCTCGCGAAACTTGTTTGAAACCTTAAAAGAAAATTTTGATCGGTATAGAAAAATTGTGTATAAGGTATACAATGTATATCATCCATCTTTTTTAACCACAAGTTCCCAATTTTACACCATATGAATAAGGAAGAAGGGGCTATGGTAACAGATGAGAAATTACCAATCTCTATAATCAATAACAAGGCTTTTATATTTGATTTAAATGTTATTAAAAAATTACGGTTCTTAGGTATAGGTGGTGTTTTATCTGGTACACTACCAACTGCTCCACAACAAAATGTCTTTTTAGGTTTACCTTTACAATTAATGATTGAAGAAGTTGTATGGTTAGTTGAAAATGAATATGCTTATTTAGTACCTGAAAGAGACTTTCTAAATGATTTGATCCAAGGTTTAAATAATGATGATGTTTTACAAATTCAAAATGAAAAACAAAAATTAATGGATTTAGAACAAAATGAAAAATTAATTCAATTAAATGATAAATTAGATAAATTAGGTAAAAATAATACTTCAGATGAAACTAAATTGAAAAATATAAATCAAAGTTTATCAATAAAAATCTTTGATAATTCAAATAATTTAAAAAATTCAGAATTTTTGAAAAAAACCATACTTCAAAATAAATTAATTCAAAAAAATTTATTAAATTCATTAAATTATAATAACTTAAATTATAAAATTTTTAATCATTTAAAATTAAAAAATTATTTCTTAGCACCAGGTTTAAGATTTGGTGGGAAATTTATTGGTTATCCAGGTGATCCATTAAGATATCATGCTCATTTAATAATAAATACAATCAATTGGAATCAAGATATTGGATTAATGAATATAGTTAATGGTGGGAGATTAGCTACAGGTGTTAAAAAAGTTTGGTTAATTGGTAGTGAAAGAGATGATGATGAAGATGAACAAGAGGATGAACAAGATGAACAAGAGGAAAAAGATGAAAAAGTTAGATGTTTTTCTGTTGAATGGGCTGGATTTGGTTAAGTTTTCTCTTTAACTTCTTTTTTGGTCAAAGATAGTACCTTTATTTTGGTCTAGGATAATTATGGATTTTCTTTCATTCTATCATAAAGATTCAAATTGCTATCGTATAGTAGTGGAAATTTATTCTTTGAAATGAGGTTCATATGTTTATAACTCAAATTTTTGATACAATTTTTTTTCATTTTGGTTAAACATAATCAAGATTAAAGTATTAGTTTATCAAGATCTAGAAAATATCAAAAATTTTAATCATGTACCTAATATTGAATCTAATTTAAGATCCATAAAGTTTTCAAAATAGTTTGAGACTTGATCAATAGACATTAGAATTATGAACATATATAGTACATGAAATACTTTATATAATGTATATAATACATACATGACTTGAAACATTTGATTATATGTATCAATTAAACATGTTCAATGTCCAATCTATTAAGAAGGCTGTAAGATCTGGAATTGTCTTTTTTGAATTAATATCACTATGACAATAATAATCAAAAAGGTACGATAATCTTAAAGTACAAAACAAATATAATTTATAACAAAGAGATGAATTGCATTTATTAACAGTCAATATATCAAGTTTTCAACACTGCCTTTCTGGAAATTAACATGAATTATAGAATATCAAATTATAGTGTACTAATCATACTTTTGAAAAATGAACACGATTATGAACGACTAAGTGTAACTTTAATTAACAAAGCAACTCAACTCAGCCCACTAGTCGAATCAAAGAAACATTAGTTCATCAGAACCCATGACATATAGATCAATTACCTCAGAAGTTTGATCAATAGTTTTTGTGTATAGATCTTTAATCATGATACTATGTACTTTATTAATACGGTTATACTAAAAACATTTTACAGCACCTTTCAATTATTTTGACACAAAAATTAAACTTTCGGAAACGGAATGAACAACGGGGCTTATAATTTCCGGGCCAAAATTTTTGAAAATTTTTTGAAATATTTAATAAAACATCAAAAGTGAAATCTTTTTTGGCTATAAAATATACTAGTATTTGTAATTTCTCATGAATTATTATTTAATAATAAAATTGGACCATTTTAAAGACTTTTTTTTTTCAATTTTGAAATCTCAGAAAAAAAATGTATCTTAAAAATTTTAAAAACACTTTAAATTTAAATTATTAAATTTTACAAAATTTTAATTTTATCGATTTTGAGCATGAAACCTATATCACATTAAAATTTGGATTCTTTTCTTCAGTAAATGGCTAGTTCTAAATCAATTAATTGTGGTTTATCAATGTAATGATTAATTAATCAAAAGTTTGCTTATGTAATCAACCTGCAAAATGTTAGATATCAGTAGTACAGCGCTTTATTTTTTGCGTCGATTAGGGCGCGTGGCGCAGTTGGTAGCGCGCATGCCTTGCAAGCATGAGGTCATCGGTTCGACTCCGGTCGCGTCTATAGTGACGGCTTTAGCCCTTAATTTTTTTTGAGAGTTTGAGCATTGATTGATGGTGTATATTTGTTACAATATTTTTTTAAATATAGTATTAGTGTTTTGATTCTTGTTTTTCTTGCTTTTCTTGTTTTTCTTGTTTTTGTTGTTTAAGTATGGCGTGTTGGCATTTAACTATTCCCGAAATTATATAATATTAGTTAAAAAAACGAATTTAGAATCTACAAAATTAAGTCCTGAAAGAAAGCCAAAACATAATCAAGGCCGAAATTTCAATATATAGATCATTAATTTTTAATAATTACTGATATGATCATGATTATCGACATGGTGTATCAATCTTCAGCTATTTTTATGTTGGTTATATCGCCAAATTAGTCACTAATATGATCAAATGTGTGATACTTCCAAAAGCTTAATTCAGATCATCTCAAAATCTTCAGCTATAGACTGAAGAAGAACCTATCATGTTTGTTAGGGTCCCTGACTATAATCCATACATTAATCAGAATTTATTCATCATTGGTGTTAAATACATCGATTAGTTATAGGAATTAGCTTCATATGCGATGAACGGTAAAGTCTCCAAACTAATATAATGCCAATATAACATTAAACTAGATAAACAATAATCTCCATTCAATGATTTGGTAGATTACATATATTTTATTGATCTTATTAACTCTGAAATTTGAATATTATATGTCGATTAAAAAGTTTGAGTTGAATAATATATTAGATTTCATTAGCTACGTCAAAAGATATGAAGTGGTCATGATGGAATCCAAAAGTAATCTAGCTATACAAACGTCTCATAATTAGGTCAATTGGATCGTTTTGAACTTCTAATCAGAATATTCAATGTTTCATTTTACTTTGTACATTGTAGTGAAAACTAACGGTTGATGGGTTTGGACTTTCTAATAAACAAACACTTGGTTAGTTTTGAATGAATTGAGCTGATATTTGAGGAAGGTAAAAATTCAATCTCATTAACTGTTTGTTCAATATTTCACATTAAAAGTTAATATATTTGTCAGCATATATTACAATATTATTCTTCGTAACAGGTAATATTAATTCGAAATACACTGGAACCAAACATTTGATTTTTTCTCCAAAAGGATTATAATACATTACTTATAATTAAAAGCAGATTTTTGACTGGGAATCATAAATCAGATCAAAAGAACGCGTGTTTGTGAAGTTGATTTGAATTTTAGTTTGATATCAACATGAAGCAATGTGATTTCAAACCGAGCTTCAACAAATATGTTACACTACCTACTTTCATTAAACAATATTGCAAGACTTGCATTCAATTAATATAACTTCTTGAATTTCTAGAACCAGGATTAAGATTGATGTAAATAGTATTTAAGTTTCAACGTTTCAACGTGGTAGGTTTTGTAACTTGTATTTACAAGTTTCCAAAATAAGTTACGCGTTGTTTTGAATTTAAAGTTTCATCAACCTGGCAGTAACTGCAGTAATCTAAAACAATAATACTAAATGAGATTGAATGCCAAACTTCATGTCGTTTCAAAATTTTTTTAAATGAAAAAACCACAATAAACAAGCCTCATTTCAGGTCTTTACATTTTGCTTTGTTTATTTAACCATCGTTCACAGAATTGTAAGTGCGTGTAGTTAGTTACCTAGAGTATGCAAGTTGTGTTTTTTAAAACCCGAATTGCAGAAAAAAGTTTTATTCCATAGAATATGCATCCATATGCGAGTGAAAAAACTTTTCTTCTAAAAATTTGATTGTTTTCCAGGTTCTTGATGAGATTAATCGTGTATGACAGTTTAAACCTCAAATATAATAATTTCAAGTATTTATTGCCAATTGACTCAGAATTGTGATTATTGCTTGTGACATTTGAATAATGGTTGAAGAATTAGCAAGCATAAAGATGAAGAAAATGTAAGGATCATAAGGTTTCAAGACGTACGTGTATTGATCAGATTGTTGATACCTAGATATAAGTAACAGCTACTAACTATAGTACCGGTCCTACTGTCTACACCTCAAAAAACCAGCTATAGCATGATCTAATATTAGACAATAGCAATATTGAAGTGCGACGAATCATGGCTAAACTTCAATCGATTGTAACTCTTATTGTTGAATCACTAGTCTACCACAAATATTGTAATTAACCGGCGCTAGCATTAACTTTGAATTCAGTTTCGATGAAGCTTTATGTGATCTTGTCAAAATTTTTAAGCAGTCGCACTATGTACGGTATTTGGCGGCGTCTATAAATATAGTTGAGGTTAATCGGGCCTGACTAGTCATTTCCAGAAAAGCTAATTTAGTAAGCCATAATATTTAGGCCGATTTTTAGTTTTGAATCACAATTCACAAATTATGAACAATATGACTCTCTAAGTTTCCATAATCTACAAGATTGTCACCGTAACTGTGTACAATTATTACGTGATAGATTTTTAGAAGGTCGTAGAAATTTTAGTAACTACATTATACATCGAAAAAATTTTTTTTTTTGTATGACGCTCACACAGTTTTTCATAGTAGGTAAATCACGTGCATAATGCTAATTTTTTTTCATTGCTAATATTAAAGACCTAGACCTTGTTTTACTTCTAGTCTCATGAGATGTCAAAGTCGTGTCAAAACTGATCATCTCATCACTTTGGAAACGCGTAAACAAAGGAAAAATTTTCATAAAGTCTACATAGTACACACACCCCAGTTTTGTATCGAAAAGATAAGAAACACAAGGGCATATTTTTTTCCCAAATTTCGTGTATGTTTTGTATTTATCAATCCGAATAAAGAAAGTAAAACCACATGGTTAATCAAAAAAATATCAATTAAATTGAATAACGTGGATTGTTTAAATTGATGTTAATTTTGAATAACTTCTTGCTCTTATCATGAGGTGCTAATTGAGATACAGGAATGGTATTGTACTATAGACAGTACTTTTAAAGTTGTTTGCATTCCGCATGGTAAAAAGCCTAGCTCCAAATTAAACTCAATTTCCTCGAATCTCGAACGATTGTATCATGTATGGCTTTACCTGCTCTATAATTGCATGTTTTAATCTATTGTTTGCAGAAAAACTTTAAATAAAATCGTACGTGGACCAGTATTTTGAGTTTTGGAAAACCACATTCCGCTAGAATCCATAAAAAATATGTTAACTAATAACTACGTACAATCTACAATCTTGAAAGTTAAGATTGATCTAGAATTCATATATTGTCATAACTTAGGGCACTGTTTGATAAATATGAAAGGTTTTTGAGAATTCTAGACTGCTTTACTTTCTAGCTGACGGTTAAAACTTAGAACTATCACAAGTCATTGAAACTTTTTATTAAGTAGTTTCAATTTTACACAGAGAATCTCTTGTTAATCATGTGCATCTTTAGGGAAAGATCCTGCCTAACAAATGAGCTCTTTGAAACTTAATGATCATTGATTAGCTAGAATAATATCGGGAGAAGAAAAGTCAGTTTTTTCCAAGCCCTATAAAGCGGGAACAAAGGGACTGATATGTTCTGTCTAACCCTAATAGATTCTCCAACAAAATTGAAAACTTCGACCGAGAAATTTCCTAAATTCCCGCCTAGCTAGATTTAAAATGCAAAGTAGGTTCATTGGGAAACCAGCGGCTAGACAGCGTTTTGGGTAGTGCGTAGACAGAGAGCAAGAGGGAACGGCCTCTGCGCAAACGGTCCAGAGTCCAGACAAACGTTCCGAAAGAACTGTGTGTTATCAGCAATTTAGGGCTATAAACGTGTAGTTAATTTAGTAGCAAATTCAAATTATGTGCCAAATATCAATTAACCTTATAGTAAATTGAGAACTGAGACATCAATGCTATACATAACAAAAGTTAATCAAAAGTATTGACAATATTATCAAGCCCCCTTTTTGAGTTTGATCTATTGTTGGGTTTTATTTTTTTGGTCTATTGTAGTTATGATCACTGATTCATGATCAAATTATAAAGTTGAACCATTGAGAAAGAGGAGAGAAAACACCTTGCAAGAACTTGTTTACAAACTTTACACTGTACACCCGCCTAGCTGTTCAGCTGGGTTAATCGGGTCTTGTAAGTTGTCACTGGTGTGGGTAATTTGTGAGTCCTTAGTCCCGATTCTAGACCTGCCAGATCCACAAGTTTGAGATGTGCTCCTGGCCACATGTCGTAATTCACGTGTAAAATTGGACTATGTTTTTTATAACCACGCTTGGAATTTAATTTTTGCAGGTGTGCACGATGAGTAAATAAAAAAAAAGCCCACACCTTTTTGCTTTTTAGTATAAATATAAATCAGTTCCACAATTTCTTGAATTTATTTCAAATCAATTAATTCTATTGTTTTAACAATTCAACTAAATCATCAAAAGTTTTTAACAAACTACTATCAACAACTAAACACTTCAGAGTTATACTCTTCATTGAATTATCACTCATATACAACTTAAGGATTTTCTTCTCCACGTGCTTGTGCATATTAAAGAAATTTCTATTATAAAATTTATCATCAACAAACAATCGTTTTATAAAAAACAATCATATAAACACATTATCATCTCAAAAAGCATTACCAAAAGCATTACAACTACATTTTATTCATATTATAACTTCACATAAAAATGTCAGCATTTAACGATTATTGTATTGTTTGTGACAAAATTTGCACACATAGTTCAGTTTACTGTTCAGATGAATGTCAATTTAAAGATGGAAACTCTCATTTTGATTTCAACAATGCACCACAATTAATCTCCCCAGTCTTGGAACCAAGATCCAATTCTATTGCATCAACATTAACTTCATCATCAAGTTCAACAATAGAGACTGATGAAATAGAGTCTGAATTAGAAGATGATCAACAATATCAACATAAACATCAAGAATATTTAATTAAAAGCCCCTTGTTATTATCATCAAATACTAAAGATTCAATTGCTGGTTTAAGCCTAAATGATGCTATTCCAAGAGAAGGTAATACAAATTTAGATCAACATCATATTGAATTACTGGCGGCTTCATCAACTAATTATAAAAAATGGTTAAATGTTGTTCTATGATACAAGGTTTTACAACAATTACAACTATAATTTATTATTAATGGCTATATTTATGATGATGCTTATGACAAAACAAATCTTTTAACGAACAAAACAAAAAAAAATTAACAAACTACAACAAATCATTTTATTTTTACATCAAAAGGGAAATTTAATGACAAATCTTATATATATATTATTGGGAACGGCTAAATATAAAAGTTTATTGCATTTTAATTGAATTTATAATTGTAGTTTTTCAATCATTATCTTTTGTGTATTTGTATTTTTGTTGGGCGATTTGTTTTCATCGAATTGTGGTTAATATACAATTTGTTTAATTATGAAACCATTGTAGCATGATTTAATGTTGCGTTTAACAGGCCTAAATAAAAAGTTCTGGTCTCGACTCGGTGTGATCTCCTTTAAAATTTTTTTTATAACACAAAGAAAATTAAATTTTTTTCTTATTGCGGAGTGCGGTAAGCCTCAGATCCTCCTGCAAAATAGAAGCTTTTAGATCTTTTGGTGTATGCGCTTAATTGTTAAACAAAGATTATGGGGCGTAGTTAGATCTCATTGGTGTAAAGTGGTCAATTGCATTCAAGGTTTAATTTCAGTGAACCTCAATTGATTTCATTATATTGTTAGATGTACTATAAATTCTAAATCTTAAATGTATTGCTATATTGTTAAAGTTTGTAGATTCGACTCGAAACTCGAAACGCTAAATTTTAATGCTTTTTTTAGTTTGAAGACTCTCGAAAAATTACGTACACTAATATTTTTTTTTTCCTTAGACTTTTTTTTTTCGATCACTGCAAAATATTTCAAGACTATTGCTATTTTAAGTCTAGAAATGTTTGGTCTGAGGAATTATCAGCACCAAATATCAAATATTATCAACACCCAGTTGATTCTTTTGATTTATATGATCGATTTGATTAAACTATAGACATACACACGACTATGATCCATCGATTCTCGAATCATCAATGAAGTAAAATTTACCCCTTTTAAGTATATAAACACGTAGTAATTGATTCAATAGTTAGTCTTCAGACAATTTTATAAGACAATAGACGCCAACGTCTAACAAGAGAAGTATCATTTTTACATGAGTATACTATATAATGGAAAGGTACACTCCATATGGAAATACTTATCTGTAATGAGTTCCAAGTTCACATAATTATTTAATTTCACAGTACTGATACGATACCTTCCAAGTCCTTATATAGAATACCCATGCAAAGCTTCATTTATGTGGAGTGCTCAGCGGGACCAAAAAACCCATCCTGATCGATAGCTTCAACAAGTTACAAGTTGAAAGCTACAAAACTTTATGAATGCACAAATTTTGAAGTTGGCCTGAAGGTGAACTATATGAATTTCAAGTGTATGATCGGTTATATCATGAACTTGAATGTGATCCAATAAATTACAGCTTCCAAATCATTCTAATAGTTAATCTTGTAATCATCATATTTCATTCCAGTTGACTTATAGTCAATGCATAAAGAAGCCAGCAAAATTGCTCATCGTCTATACTTTTAGATCATGAACCATATATTCATCGTATACTAATCTGAAAGATCTTAGTTTCGCACAGCTACACAGTACAGTCTCAATTATAAGTCAATTAACTAATTAGAACGAGTCACGCTTCACAACTCATAACTCATTAATGTCGTAGACAGACTCCAGAGAAATACCTCTCATGACCCCGTACAGACTCATATAACTCGTAAGGTAGGAGGTACTCAGCTGTGTTCAATGTCACACTATAATAATATGACACCGGACTAATTAGCCAATGCACAAAAAGTATCTTCATTTTACCCCAATAGCGGGGTGGAATAAATATTCCCGACAAAGGAACTACAAACTTATATTACGTACTCCAGATCTCCAGATTCTCATTCCACCATAAAATCTCTTGAAGGTTTACGGCGTACCGAATAATTGAACCAAGACCAAGACTCATGGAACATCGAAATTTCCACTTTAAATTATGATCGTTTATAATCTTCCCAAATCATGATCATCACTTGATCTGCCTAGTTTAAGCTGGTACCTATATTTACAGTGCTAGACCATGACGACTCATATTGACGACTCACGCGATGGAATTTATTGTGGGTTTTTGTTGGGGTTAAAGGTATTATACATTAATTAGAGTGACAGGAGCCTGGAGTAGCGTAGTACGTAGTACGTACGAGTCACGACATGCAGTAAATTATAAGTACCATGTCAGTCCTGAACTAGCTGGTCAGGAAATTTACAACTTGTTGAATACTTACATTTTTATGCAACTATGTAGCTTAACCATAAAACCAGTTCATCATGACGAGATTACCATTACGAATAGTGAGACCATTTTTTAATCTTGATTCTCGATATCGACTGATAACACTTATCTAGTCGAACATGACAATTAATTAAAAACAGGTAGTTCTATGAGAATGTGTTTATATACCTGAATTATTGTTATCTTCTTCCCCAATATAATTACGCCGTGAAAATATTGAATTGATAATATATTTGATAAATTTGATGTTGTTGAATATCTTGATGATCAACAAGGGCCAACGAATGAATTCGTGCAAATTGGAAATTATGTTATAAGATATATACTGCACTCTTAGAATCATCACGTAAATATCACAAGTCACAAATATAAGATACTCATAATTAATTCAGTGGAATTAGGTTTTGATATTTGAAAGAGAGATCTAACATTTAATTTGATAACATTACACAGCTACGGCTAAAGATTAAAGTAGTAACTGAGTGATACTAAGTACCAGATACTTCTCCTACCTACATATACCAATTGATCATCCACAGGGAGAATAACATTATCTTCGTCAGAGGCATGATGCGAAAATCCATATTGGCGTATTTGATAGGAGGGTATATAGCTTAGACTTAGTTCATGAAGATAACTTGAAACAAACGTTAATATATGTTTCTCAACATTAATTGAAAGGTCAAACTCCACAGCACACAAGTTTCTCCCCCACATTATGATAATTTCAACAAATCAAAGTTATTCCTCGAAATAATCACCCAAAAATGATTTATTTTCATCAAAACATTGATATGTGTGTGTTTTCATCAAGATCCTTGAACTCAATTCAATCAAACTTTAAAGCCATTTCTGATTTTCATATCGAAAATTATCTCCGTGATATTTCTCGGATTTAAAACTTCATTATTTCAACAAAGTTACTGCTCTAAATTTTTTTCCAATTCGCGAATCAATATTTTGATTTTTAACATCAAGTATGGTTAAACTAAAGAGTTTTGATGATTGACAATTATAATGATTGACAACTCAAACAATGAGCGCTACGGGGAAAATTGACGAAATTGTCACTGTATGTATACTTCTTGGAAACTAGAATCAATATCACATTGCTAATACTCGGTAAACATAGCTCATTGAATCATTTTACACAGAGAGAAATCCGGATCGAATCTCTGAACTACAATCTTATTTGCAAACTATACAAAGATCAAACGATGGTTTGAATATAGCTGATTTGTTACTATCGGATCCAAAGTACTCACTGAACTGTAAGTTTTTTGGTGCATTGACTTATACTGTGAATTTGAACTATTATAAATCAAACCAAGATCAAGTAAAGATAGATGATATTTTAACAAAGCTATTCATCCATATAACTTCATTGATCAATGATTTGAGATTCAATAGTGTCAATAATCTTTTCATTATAAGGAAAATGCTGTCAAATCTAGCACTGGTATTCAATTTTTTTATATTAGAAGACTTAAAATGGCATGATCCTTTGAAAACTCTTATGAATTTATTAGTTTCAAACTCAACACCAACTATATCACAATTAAACTCAGATATCAATATTGGTGAATTCTTCCAATTAGCTTCCCATGATAAAACTGTCTTGAATATAGTTTTGAACTTTTCAGCTATTTTGGTTGAGGATTTACTGAAAATTGGAAGAGATGATTCAAAAACCTCGGTTCATGAGCTTATCCATTCAAATGTTTACAACACAACCAAATCGTTATTAACTTTGCTCTTTGAATCACAAGAAACTGAATTGAAAATTATTGCACTAGGATGCTTTCAACCTTGGATCTCTTATATTTCATTTGCTGAAAACAATACAGAATTTAGATATAAAGATATAAATGATTTATTAAGGTATCTATTCATCTTCTTACATAATTCTGATGATGAATTACTTGGAAAATCCATTGAAATTTTGACTGATATATTTGAGAATAACCCATTGTTGATTGATCATCAGTTACGTGAAGCCTTTCAACAATTATTAGCATCTGAATGGAGTTTAGCTAGAGTTAATGAGTTCATTGAAACTGAAGATTTTGATGCTCTAGATAATTTTGGATCATTAGTGATTTCCTTTTTAGAAATTGATTCGATATTGTTAACATCAAACATCATGCGTGATGCAAGCTCTGACTTTCTAAAATTTTTACTCAATTTAACCAATTTTCCACTAATACCAATAATACAAGAAAACTTATCAAGAAAGTTCATTGAGTTTTGGTGCCAAATTATTGAAATTTTCATTGATGATATGGATATGCTTAAAAACTCTCTTAAGAATGAGGATACAGCTATTCTTGAAGTTAACAGAAATTCTCAAGCTTTGTTTCAACAATTATCAGTTATTTACTTCAACAAAATTCAATTCTCAATAGCATCACACCCAGATTTTAAGCAAGACGAAACTGAATTTTTGAGCTTTAGAAATGATACCATTGAATTATTTGATCTGATTTACACCAAGATAGGTCCAGATCTATTTCAAAATCTTGCTTTATCGATTTTGTCAACTGATGATGTCAATGCCATTGAGGCAAGTTTATTTATTTTAACTTCAATTTCTATGAACTTTTCACCAGATCAAGTACATGAAAAAGTATTCAACTCAGTACAAGAACTATTCAATTCCAATATCTTGACTCGTTATAACGATCTTGTCCAAAATTTGACACATATCTCAAAATATCATATTAAAAGCAGTATACAATTCTTGGGTTCTTTGGAGTTTTTCTATAAGAGAAAAGGTACAGAGGTGTTAAATCCAGTAATTGAGTATTTATTCAACTCACTAAAGAATCATCCAGAACAACAATTTTTGATTTCAAGAACAATATTAGAGATTTGTGACTCTTGTAGATCACAATTGGTTTCAAGTATTGCAAATTTTGAACCAATTTTAGTGGAAATGATCAAGAATCCAGAAATCAATACATATACCAGAGAAAAATTCATCAATTCCATTAGTTGTATTATTCAATCATTACCTGATCCATCTACCCAAGAAAGTCATGTTTTCCAAATGATTGAATTGATCGAATCAACTTCAGAGCCATTTTTGACCAAAGCAGCACAAGGGGGCTTAACACCAGAAGAAATTGAGTATTTGGTGTCATTATTTTCATGTGTATTAGAGATTGCTAAAGGATTGAGCCTTCCTGATGACCTTGATGAAGAGGAACCTGAGGTTTACAGAAGTCTGTTGAGCTTCTATCAAAATTACGATCAGAAAATTCAAATTAAAACATCAAGGTTGATTGATATTTTTGCTAATGAAGTTCCGATTCTCGCAAACAACAAAGATATTCATGAGAAGGCATGTTTGATTTATAAATGTGGTCTTCTGGAAGAATTTGGTCTATTTGCTTTTTCAAACGACTTAGTCCTACAATTTGCATTGAAAAAAAATTCACAAACTATCACACCTATGTCCTTGATAACCATTCTTGAACTTTTAACTACATTATTGAATACTGGGTTCCGTGAAAAACCAGTGGAACACAAAGTTTTATCGCAATCAGATGCTAGTAATATTATACAATATTTTGTTGCACAGAACTATGAAGTTATCTCTCAAGACCCAGATTTGTTACAAGTTTCACTAGGCCTATTAACATCCCTTTTGGTACACAAACCAGGATATTTGATTCATGATGAACAATCTTGTTCTTTTGCAGTCCAAACAGCTTTTTCATTGTTATACTCCAAAGAAAAATTTGTTATTAAAGCTGCATCTAAATTCTGGACTACATTTTTATCTGGAAGAAAAACAACTCAAGAAGACTCAAAATTGATTCAACACCTGGTGGAAACGGAAATTGGACAAAATTTAACTTTTAAAGTATTTCAGGCTTTACTGGATGCTTCAAGATCTGATGTTGATAGTTATAGCAGTATCATAGTTACTTTATTTGCGAAATACCAATTACCTTTCAAAACTTGGGCAACAAATTCATTAAAACAAATTGATGAAATAAGACAATCAAATGGTAAGAAACCAATTGAAGATAGGGAATTGTTTGTGAAAAAATTGATGGTGACTCGTGCATCCACAAGAAAGTGTAATGAGATAATTAAAAACTTTTGGATCACCACAAATGGAATGATTTCTTACACTTGATTAACTATATAGAATATAAATGGAGTTCGACTTATTTACATTGAACGGAGTAGTACATAAGATTATATTTTCATTAAACAATAAAAAACAAACATAAAATAAAATCAATGGGCATCAAGCTCCTAAACTTTCGAATTTTTTAACCAAATATTCAGCTTCATTACTGAAATCTATCTTATTGACATTCACAGCATTATATCTAATTCTGACCTGACCGTTATAATTATCTTGCCTAGCTCTAATTCTGAACTCAAATTCGTTCATTTGAATCTTTGAAACAATAGAAGTGAATAAAGAGTTATCTTCTTCTTTATATTTAACCAAGTCATTGGCACTATATCCTAATAAAGCCTTGGCTTGATCTTCGAATAAAGTAACCCATAATTGACCAGTTGGATCAACAACTGAAATAGTTAAAATATATCTATAAAGAGGGACAGCGTGATTGATGTCACACTTTTCACATCTCCAAGTACCATCATGTTGTTCAATAACTTTTCTGTTACAACCTTCACTTGAACAAGCAGGATAACTGAAGTTATCAGTCTTCAAAAAGTTGACAGAAGATTTGATAGTGAAATAATCTGGTTTTTCACCAAGACCCAATTCTAAGTTTTGAACATCTCCAATTGTTTTACGTTCTTCAATAGATGTCTTTCTTGTACCCAATTCAGTTTTCAGAGTTTGGAAATTTTCATTACGACCTTGAGCATCGTACCAACCTTTGATAGCATATGCTTCTGGTGCATCAGGGTTTGTAGTGATTGTACCAGATGGTGTTATTGATAAGGTCTTACCGTTGAAATCTGAAACTTTAGCACCTTTAATTGCAATAACTGTTCCTTCTGGAGTATCAAACTCTAAAGCAGTTTTATTCCACAAACCAACAGAAATAGCAAATTGACTGTCATCAACAACAGTAATATCACGACGATCATATGCACGACCAGCTTTGGAAGTAATTTGGAAATGTGGGTTAACTTCCTTGATAACACCAACCACATCAATGATTGAATCAGCTTCTAAATCTTGAATTTTGTTCAATTTAACGAAATCAAAACTTAATTTTGGGACATCATCAGCATCAAAACATTCTTCAATAACAGTATCTCTATCTAATTGTAATTCGTATGGATGTTTTAAATTTGAAAATTGTGGTCTTGATGGTTGGATTCTAGCTTTTGACACATAATAAGCTTTACCTTCTTGCAATAAGTTGTAGAATTTTTCAGCATTGTCATTGAAAGCTGTAGCTCTAATTTCATCTGTTTCATCTAATAAATTGACGTTGAAAAGTTTACCTTCACCTCTTTGATTGGACCAAGTACGCATTTCACCTTTGAAAGAAACTCTTGCTTTGATTGTCCATATATTTTGATATGGAGATAGCTGATCAATAGCGTATATATTAGATGGTTTCTTTTGATTGGATGAAGCCTTGTTAGTATTGGTTGATGATTGTGGTTGCGGAATAGATTGTTTTGGTTGTTCTTGTTTTGGTGCTTCAGCTTGAGGAGTTGGTGTATTTTCTTCACCAGCTTCCGCACTTTGATATATATCTTCTTCTGGATGTGCTCTAAAATAGTCATCTAAAGATTCAATAGCGGTACCGACTTTAGATGCAACTGACTGTTTAATAACTAAATCACTAATAATAATAACATGTTTGTTGCCAGCACCCATTCTCTCAATTTCATATCTTTGGATAGTTACAATACTTGATCTTTGGAAGCCATTTTCTTCACAATAAGCAACACCTTCTGGTCTAACAACAGCATGTGTTGAAAAAACACCATCAGAGACCAAAAGACGTAATCTTTTACCAGCTTCATTTGGAATAGGTCTAACATTTGAAACTTGCAAAGTAGCTGGTGCTTTAGCATTCCAGTGTTGTTCAGATGTGAACAATTTCTTCAAGATACCAGTATCTAATTCAGCCATTTCTTTATGATATACAGAGCAAAACTCGTTGTGTAAAAGATATATGGTTCGCCACTAAGTTGGTTTTTTTTGTTTTGGTTTATACTTTTCATAACGCGTTTTTGAAATTTCGCGTCTTTTTTTTTTCGCGATGTGGTGTCCTGATGTCGAAAATTAAGAAGTCGGATTTGTTAAAGTACATTTGATTTGAGATGGGTATTTGTTCATATTAGAGTGACATTAAACATATTAAAATGTATTCATTGAGCATCCAGCCAGGATTTGAGGAAGTAATAAATGACGTGGAGGTTGGTGATTTGAAGGAGGATCAATTTTGGATCAACATATTTGACAATGAGAAACCCGCAGATGACCAGATAGTCAATGAAGAAATAATCAAAATCCTCAAAGAAGAGGAAGAATTAAAATTTCTTAACGATGAGATGCAGTTTACCAAATCAGGAGAGAATATTTACAAGGCCTACTATAAAGGTGAAGAGCATACCATTAAAGCTCCAATAAGAGTAGTCAAAACAGGTGTCAAGGGTATGTACTAATCTACATATTAAGATAATTATTAGAGGCAATTTGCTAACATTTTTCTTAGAGGCTTCGTCATTTGATATATCACCCCTGGGTCAAATATATGCAATTGGAGATGCTAATGGAGGAATATATATTGGAAATGTTGAAAGTGGAACGATTGAAGTGCGTATGAAATATATCAACAATATTTAAAGCATTATTAACCTTAAATTTTAGCGCAAAATCGATGAGGCACATTATTCAGAAATAACAAAAGTGAAGTTTTTTCCATCAGGGAAAGTGTTACTTACAGTATCTCTTGATATGAATATAAAGATCTGGGATATAACAACTGGTGATAATCCTAGAACTTTTGCCTCTCATAAAAAACGTATTACAGATATTGCAATGATTGAAAAAGGTCGAAATTTTGTTTCTTCATCATTAGATGGAACTATCAAGTTGTGGGATTGCGGGTCAGGATCAAACTTCTGTACATTAAAAAGGAAAGAAAGCTTAAATGATGGAGTTACATCTGTTCATATTACCGAAAAGGTTAAAGAAACCGCTGGTACAGAGACAAGCTCTAGATATCCAGAAGAATTTGGGACAGAGAATAAAATTTTATTAGCTGGTCATATCTCGGGTGTTATATCTGGTTTTGACTTATGCACAAAGCAAGAATTATTTTCGGTACCTTCAATGGGTGGCTCTGTGGAAAGTATATCAGGTGTTCACGATCAATCATGTCATCTTATTGTCGGTTATTCCGATGGAGTAGTTGCCAAATGGGATATTTCTGATATTTCCAAACCTTTAAAGAAGTTTAGAATACCCGGTAAAAATGTTATTAATATGTCACTCGATAATAGTATAGGATTGATATCGAATGAACTTAGTGTTTTTCAAATTGATAATAATTTGGAACAGATCACTTTAGCAAAAGATGATGATCAAATATCTGGCTTGAAAGTTGGGGAAAAACTCTACATCAATACAAATTTTGGAGATATATTTGTTTATAGTAAATGATCATTGATATCAATAATATATTCATATTGCTTCCATGTTGAATTAGCTTTAATAATATTTAGGCAAATTATCTTTTGTAATTACAGAAGAGAGTAAATTGTTCCAAATTCGACAAAGTTATGAGCCAGTTAATATGGCTGTTAAATCTCTATAAAATCTTCAAGTTATCCGTTAATTATAAATTCTATTATACGCACTAAATTCTAATTGCTCTCGACTTCAATAAATTAAAGTGCGGACGTTGAATAACATGCATAGAAACCCGATTTGTATGTAATTGCAGCGTAAATGTACATACATGTAAGATGCGAGCCACTGAAGTTTGAACACTTACATTAAAAAAGAAATTAATAATTTGGATACTACACTTAAACTTATAAGCTGCTACGCTGTTTTAATTAATTAACGTCTAGCTGTAGCCTGTAAGAGTTAAGATTTGGTAGTTAAGCTGTTTATGGGAATGGTAGGTTCTTTAGCTCGCTAACTTTTTTCATTTAATCGGTCAGATTCTGAAACACATTAATTCTGTTCCTGCAATTACCTTCAAGTTCCAACGTATAGTAACATTTTGAAATTTGAATTTTGTACCATTCTGTATAAAATGTTTATCAAGCTGTTCAGCTTGCGCGCATGTTGATCTGGTTTTATTTCTGAGCTTTACCCGCCATATTAAGTAATTACTGCAATTTAGGAACTATGTATCTTCTGAGGATTTTCACGTATATTCTTCTCTTCGCTAAATACCAATTCTGAAATCTGAGCGCCTGTCGGTTTAATGAACTTCTAGGTTTCAGCGCTACATAAAGTGATCTGAGATTCTGAACAGTATAGTTAGTCAACCAGGCTTTAAGAGTCAATTTCTAGGAGCTATATGACACTATAGATACTTCGATATGACTAGTGCACTGTAGAGTCGACTCGACATAAAAGACTTACGACAACCTTCCCGAAATCTCCTGATATTCTACGCATTGACTTATACTTGCACTTACGTTCTCGAACGAATCACCGATGTAGTTAAACGTTAATACTTACGTATGTGATATTATAAAAATTGCTCATGGGAATAAATGGACTGATAGATCAATAATCATAGATCAATCATCACTAACTTTTAGCTTCTAAGTAGAATAATATCTGCCAAATATTTATTGACTCTTCACTTTATTAATTAAGGTATATGTTGATTTATTATTCAACGTACTGCACGCAGCTTATAATTCGTCTATTTCCCACCCACATATATAATACGACGGTCCGTTAGATCTAGAGTCTATATACATTTTTTTTTGTCGTCTATAGTATTACATGTCTAGCTGTTATTAATTAATTTAAGCTGCTGTTCGTCGTGATATTGTGATATTATCTATATATTATAGTATGCAGTTTATAATTAACGAGTAAATATAACTATATTTTAATAGACGTTTATAAAATAATTAATGATCAGTTGAATCAGCTAGCACGTAAATATTGACGAAGTGTTAAGAGACGTTTACCCTTAAACCGGCCTTCAGCTCTTTTCAAGAGAAATCGTGATTTTGAGTGTCCATTTAGTTGAAACCTGAGTATAGTATTACTAATGAAAAGCTACAGGTAGTACAACAACCAGTAGCCAGGACTCAGAAGAACCACTGCTAAGCTTACTCAAAGCCCAAAGCTATATAGGACACTGGACAGTAGTATAGGCGACCTAATTCTGAAAGAAGTTACAAACGTACAAAATCATGAAATTATTTTTTGAGCTGTGTTACGGCAGCGCTCAACGTTGACTGTGCTTACAAAGTGACGCATTAGAAGTTACCTTGATGCGCCATGAAAATAAAAGTAATTAAACTCGGATCAGAAATCTATCGAGATCTAGTGATCTTTGAAATTCAGAAACAGCTTACAAGCACATATGATACACCGACTCCAATTTATGAGCGTGGAAGCATCCATGGACATCGCTTAGAACAAATTCATGGTATTCTTTGCATTATAGTTTGTATTTTACTTCCAAGTTCTGTGAAATTTATGTGCAGCTTAGGATTGTAAGCTCGTCAAAGCTCAAAAAATAACAGAAAGTTTAAAAGTAAAGGCGTTATGATAAAATAACACTGTGGTAATTAAGTAAATATATTTTTGCGCCCTGATCAACTCATGTGCTAGCTTTATTTATATATATCCCCTGATTTCTATACTCCAATTTCTTCAACAGTTCTTTAATTGATACTCAATTAAATAAATCAGATTCAAATCATTCAACAGCTTCATCTAAAAGTCAATTACTCTTCAATTTAATACAATCTCAATCAATCATTAATCTGTCCATTATCAAACAAGCGCATTAAACTTTTAAAGTTGAAATTTTCAAGAACTATAGATTATAGATCACAAATATGTCAAGATCTCTTGGGCTCTTCAACATCCTAAGTATTGTCACATATCTTCTGATATTCATTGGCTTCACTGATGCCCACTTCGTTCCCAATTATGGCCAATGTGGTGGTTTCTTTTACTGGGGTGTCACAGTTTGTACTGATCCTGAATTTTATTGTTCGGAGGTGAATTTTTGGTATTCACAGTGTGTCCCTAAATCAACTAAAACTTCAACTTCAACACCAAAATTAACTTCAATAAGTACAAATATTCCAACAATTTCTTCAACTAAATCATCAGTAGCTGATAGTGCTAGTATCGAGAAAAAGGACTTGAAAGCTCAAACAACCACAACTTCCACTGGTACCAAAACATCAAGTTGTGTTTCAGCCTATGGAACATGTGGTGGGATAAACTATGCTGGTCCTTCGTGTTGCGTTGATGGATGGTATTGTCAGTCTATGAATCCCTATTACTATCAATGTGTTCAAGGTACTGCTACAAGTACATCTACTGGAACTAGTACATCGAAAAGTACAACTTGTACTTCAACATCAACTTCAACGTCAAAATCAACCTCAACATCAACGTCAAAATCAACTTCAACGACTTCAACAACTCCAACAAGTACAACTTCAACAAGTACATCTTCAGCGACTCAGAATACAGCTACCCAGAAAAAGGATACCACATCTACTTCAAATTCAATCACGACTTCAACTGGTACTAAAACATCAAGTTGTGTTTCAGCCTATGGAACATGTGGTGGGATAAACTATACTGGTGCTTCGTGTTGCGTTGATGGATGGTATTGTCAGTCTATGAATCCCTATTATTATCAATGTGTTCAAGGTACTGCTACAAGTACACCTACTGGAACTAGCACATCGAAAACTACAACTTCTACTTCGACTTCAATTTCAACTCCAAATACTTCAACATCAACTTCAACATCAACTTCAACTTCAACGCCAAAATCAACTTCAACAAGTACATCTTCAACAACCTCAACTTCAGCGACTCAGAATACAGATACCCAGAAAAAGGATACCACATCTACATCAACTTCAATCACAACTTCAACCGGTACCAAAACATCAAGCTGTGTTTCAGCCTATGGAACATGTGGTGGTATAAACTATGTTGGTCCTTCATGTTGCGTTGATGGATGGCATTGTCAATCTATGAATCCATATTATTATCAATGTGTTGAAGGTTCTGCTACAAGTACATCTACTGGAGCTAGCACATTGAAAACTACAACTTCTACTTCGACTTCAATTTCAACTCCAAATACTTCAACATCATCTTCAACTTCGACTTCAACAATCGCAAATGCAATTTCATCAACAAGCTCAATTTCAAGCACATCAGCTTCAGCATCTACATCAACATCTACATCAACATCAATATCAACACCAACATCAATGTCAGCATATACATCAACTTCAACCGCATCAAGTGCGATCACACCTCTTTCCACTTCAACATCATCTTCAACTTTGACTTCAACATCAAGTAAAATGATATCAAGTACATCTTTAAGCACTTCAAATACAAATACTATCACAAAAAGTTCATCCACAGATCAATCTAGTACAAAAACATCAACTTGTGTTTCAGCCTATGGAACATGTGGTGGTATAAACTATGTTGGTCCTTCGTGTTGCGTTGATGGATGGCATTGTCAATCTATGAATCCATATTATTATCAATGTGTTGAAGGTTCTGTTACAAGTACATCTACTGGAGCTAGCACATCGGAAACTACAGCTTCTACTTTGACTTCAACATCAACTTCAACTTCAACAACCGCAAATGCAATTTCATCAACAACCTCATCTACCTCTACATCAACAACCTCATCTACTTCTACATCAGCAAGCTCAATTTCAAGCACATCAGCTTCATCATTTACATTCACATCAACTTCAACCTCAATGTCAGCATACACATCAACTTCAACCGCATCAAGTGCGATCACACCTCTTTCGACTTCAACATCATCTTCAACTTTGACTTTAGCATCAAGTACATCTTTAAGCACTTCAAATACAATTACTATCACAAAAAGTTCATCTACAGATCAATCTGGTACCAAAACATCAAGTTGTATTTCAGCTTATGGTACATGTGGTGGTATAAACTATGTTGGTCCTTCATGTTGTGTTGATGGATGGCATTGTCAGTCTATGAATGACTTTTATTATCAATGTGTTGAAGGTTCTGCTACAAGTACATCCACTGGAGCTAGCACATCGGAAACTACAAGTTCAAGTTCAAGTAGAATATCAGCTACAGTGATAAGCCCATCGCTCACTAGCTCTTCATTATCATATAACACCCCAGATTCAACTTCGAATAAATCGTCATCAACTTCAACATCGGGAAATTCAACTCCAACCACCTCATCATCAAGTATCATGATATCAAATACGCCTTCAAGCTTTTTGAATCCAAGCAGCATCACCAAATCATCTTCTGAAAGTTCATTTAGTACCAATAGTTCTAGTTGTGCTTCAGCTTACGGAACATGTGGTGGGATAAACTATGTTGGTCCTTCATGTTGTGTCGATGGATGGCATTGTCAGTCTATGAATCCCTATTATTATCAATGTATTGAAGGATCTGCTACAAGC